TTGCTTTCGAAAAGCCAATCACTAGCAATTGCGTCATCAATGATAAACTTTTAATACGTAACTAGGACAACTCCTTCACATTGAAAAAGCATAGCGGACACACGTGAGGAATCTTCAGAGGAGTCTTCTGACAGTACTTCAAACGACAATTTCAGTATTTACACGGAAACTAGCAGTTCAGAAGAAGATTTGCAAAACCTAGCCAGGACGTCTACTTCATCGACGACAACGCATAATTCACGCAAAGGGAATTAAATCGAAATCATCTTCGAAATAGCCGACTGTGAAAAGGTCCAAGCGAGCTACTAACAGTCTAAACGACGATCAAATGAAGGAATTGACCTCGTGGAACAGTTATTTTTCGTGGGAAAAGCTTATCTAAAAATAAACTCACTTGTAAAAACGCCGTTGCACGAATTTATGGCAGTTGAACGCTCCGGGTTATGGGCTCCTGATTATTCTTAATAGAAACAGTGGAGACATGGTTGTTTGACTTGTTAATGTTTGCTCAGGGAAAGGCTCAGCCTGATGTCAGCGATGATGTAAACCGTTTTTACAGTCCACCACAACTCCCCCCCCTCCCTCCCTCTCCAACTTCAAAAGAGTTGGAGTGGTCCCCGCACTTTAAAAAACTGCACCGAAAGGAAAAAGGTTCGCTTGATCGCAGGGTACTTCACATATGAAGTACCTACTCGTCTCCTGGGTGCAACCGCTGTAAATGGTTTTAAAAAAAACTGAATGCTCACCCAGTTGGAAGCCGCTTCCAACCTACATCAAAATGATTAAAATTTGCATAAAATCTTGAACCTGCCTCTCTCCAATATTTAAGCGTTCTGTGCGTAACTAACAGCTTAAACCTTGGTCATTGCTTCAAGCATCGAAAAAGGGATTAAAATCCTCTAACAACGTTGACTAGCAATTCAGAACGTTGCCTTTCACCTTTCTGTTGACGGCAGTAAGAAGCAAGGATGGTTTCGAATCCGTGTGACGGAGAGAGAAAGAGGAGCAACGGCCACCAGAGGTATCGGTCATACTATATAAAGATTAGCGGTTAATTTAAATACGTCAAATTTCAATTTTAAACCCAAGAGAATCTAATTTCGTAAATCCAGTGTTAATCGTTAATTTGTACGACTGTATTTTATCTGTCAACGATTAATCTGTCAACACTTGTTACGTAATGGAGGCGAGTGTTATTGTGAAATGACATTTCCCTGAGAATCGAGTTTCGCAAGTTTTTGCACTTTCTCTTCAGGTAAAGAATTTTTCTATAGATTCGCTGACTGGTTAAAATGCCAAAATGAACTACATATTCTCGAATATACTTAAAAAGTTGAGTGTTTGACAACCTAAAAATCCCCCGCACAGCACTTCGTGATGCACTTGGGTTAGCTACTTCCTCTCATGAAAGGTGAGTTTTTCGTGGCAATTTCCCCTCGAAATCGCGAGGCCGTGATCGAATTTGGTAAATCTGATAAAAACTCACTGCACTACTCTAACTCTGGAGGAAATTACGCAGCGTTACGTAACATGAACTATGTGCTTCGCTGAATCCTCTTGCGTGTTTCAGGCTTCGGAACTCACTAAGCGACATTCAAATAACCAATTTGTGACATTTGTGCTACTTGTCCTAGCAGCAAAAGACATTCATGAGTTTCACACAAATTCCAACAAATTCATAAGTATACATTTGAAGCGATCTGGCGCTGCGATGTGTGTTTCTGCTCTGATATTAAGCTTTTGAATAAAACAGATTTATCTATTCAGGCTGCCCTAAAGCGCAAAGTCTTGTTCTGTTGAAGAGCACATGCGAAAACAAAAGTTAAACTTATAGCGTATTTATATCGGTCTGGTGACACGCGAACAGAAAACATTTTGTTGATTCCAAGTTGTTCAGGAACGAATTGTTAGCGATTCGAGTGCTTAAAATGCGATAAACAAAACTTTAAATAAAAATGACTCGGAAGAAAGTTTTGTAAACAAAATATTAGGCCACCGCTTTGATGATGCTCGAATCTTAAGGGAAAACGGGCTGTCACCTAAAGTTACTTTTTGCATGGATGTACTGTATTGATAAAGATGATTTTTTTTACTTATATACCAGCAAGACTGTTGCCTTCCCTTAAAAGCTCTTTATCTTTTGAGAATAACCTTCTTAAAGTTGTTTGTGTTATTGTTACAACATTTGAACAAGAGCTGCTATCCTATTGATACATCTTTATCCAGCGGATAAGTATTTGGGGAAACCTTAGTTGCGTTACGCGGTGGATAGAGCGATCCACTTTTTGAACGACCACGGCAGCAGGAGTTAGTTACGTAACAGAGATTTATATCGGCTTGCAGAAATAAGATATTTCGCTACAGGATCCTACAGGCACTGAACTGAAACATTGAACGGTCACCCGGCTTAAAACAGAGAGCAGCGAAAGGTGTCGATTGCGGCAGGCGCTTCAGAGTTTACTAAAAACTAATCATCCGTGTATGAAAATGGTTGTCACGATACTGACGATACTGGTTAAAAGATATAAACAAAAAACAATATGCATGTTAAAAATCTCAGCTTTTAGGGTAAATCTTTAGCCTTCATCAGAAGAAATTTGTAAAGAACATTTTTACAAGAAGTACGAAATATAGAGAAAAATGCAAATTGTGAGCAATTTAAATTTAATTTGTCATTTAGCGTAGAATTTTAAAATCCTCCGTCATGCGGCAAGTGAATGCCATCGTCTTGATTGAGTGGAATATTACAAATAAATGTCCCTGTCTCATTATAGTGTCTGTTACGCAATTTGCACCTGTGCGTAAGATAGTGGAAGATTCCTGAAGTCGGATGGCTGAAAAGTTCGCGATTGTTTAGGATCTACTGCTTTCTGGTGTTCTTTCAGTATGGTAGCAAATTTGCGTACCGTTTCAGCATCATTGCAGCTCTTGTCGCAACCTTGTCTCGGAAAGCCATGAGTATACTTTTTTTTTCTGTAACAGGGACTGACTTAATTGGGGAGAATTAATCTCCATCATTTCCATCGTTGTGCGAAAGATGTCCTGCTACTTACCAGGATTTTTACATCATTAAGTGGATCGGACTGCGTTCGCGAACATGTCGTTGTATTTCTGTTGTTGAATTATTCAGTTGCGTGCATAACTTACAACTTTTGCTCAAAGGCTTGTTGCAATGATGAGTCACTACCAACCGTATTCTGACGATGGCATTTCGAATGCCTATATAAGACTATATTACCTAACGGAGTAAATTCTAGATGTGTTGCTTTCACACATCTACAACAGATCTAGAAAGCTACTTTTCTATTCTAACATGTCCTGCAAGTGGATTTGTTCTAAAAGGAGGTTAAAACATCTCTATGAATATCATTTGCTCACTGACCTACACACAGACCGAGAGAGAAATAGAGACTCGGTGCATAGTAGATCGGGGCGGAAAAGAATCTTGGTGAAAGGGCAACCATGTTATACGGATATAAATTAATAAACTCATTTCAAATTACTTCTATAAACCTTTTTTGGGGCATTTACAACCAAATGTACTAAATAAATTTCATTGAGCCAAGTTTTAGAGCTGATTTGTCCGTGGGATCATCAGTCAAAGGCTCTTCTTAAATTTCGTATCTTGCAAATTCTTGCCTGAAATGGTCATGATTCCCTAGAGGCATGCGGTCTGTATGCTCACAAAAAAGTATCAGAAATGTTCAATACGGTAACTCAGTAACTAGAACTGCTGGCTGCTATAGCCTATTTGATTCGACAATACAAGGAGGGATATGCACGTACACTTGTTTGGTATAAAACATTTCCAAGTGGTTTATTTAATTGTACTTTTCTTTTCCTCTCAGTTATTGCTGTTCATCCAATCTCAGTCCATGTTTCTGGTGGTCAAGGTTCTGCTCTTGGTATACGAGTGTTTTGGAGCGCTTCTTTGGTTGGTTCGCCGATAGAATCACGAGGCATCCGTTAATCGTCATTTCCATATGTCTTGCCTTTGTCAGCGTATGTGCTGTGGGTTTTGTCTGGTTCCAGTCAGAGAACAGAACGGTCAAACTCTTTATTCCCCAACAGAGCCGGGCCATTGACGACTTGAACACCGCCGAGAAATACTTTAGAGTGAAAGTTCGTCAAGAAATTATTCTGTTAGTGGCATCATCTGATCATCCCAATGTTCTAGCTCCCGATTGTCTGCGGCAGGCCTTCAAGGCGCATCGCGCGATTGGGGATTACTCTGATTTCTGTGTCACCTTCTCAGGAGAGAAAGCAAGTACGGAGGACGACTGCATGATCATTAACCCGCTGGAATTTTTACAGTTAAATGAAAGTAGCCTAGATGGTAAAACCTTGGAGCAGGTTCAAGAAGACATAACTACAGCATATAAGAGCTCAAGCCGCTTGATGCGGAATGGCCGTACTTTCTTTTACAACTTCAAACGCACTTTTGGCGGCGTCAATTGGAAAGATGGAAATATCACAGGCGCCAAAGCATTGCAAATGGTGTATCTGATGAATGACCCCACTGATGACAAGGAAAACAACAAAGTTCTGGAGTGGGAAAAGAAGTTCATAAACAAGATAAATTCGTTAGTGGGTACTCTTTCCTGTTTTGAAGTCCATTACTCAAGTGAGAGAAGCTTAGACGACGCAATTGCCGAAAGCAGTGGCTCTGACGTCAGTTTGGTAGCAATCACATTTACTATCATGATTACCTTTGCCTGCGTCGTACTAGGCAAGTACCTCAATCCGCTGACCGGTCACTCGTTGCTCGCCAACGCAGGAGTGTTTGCTGTGGCCCTTGGAATACTATCTGGATTTGGCCTTGCCATGTGGTGTCGAGTTCCCTTCGTCAGTATCGTAGGCGTGTTACCGTTCTTAGTTATTGGAATTGGAATCGATGATATGTTAATCTTAGTTGATGAGCTTGATCGACAGCCACGGGACATGTCAATAACAGAAAAGATTAAAGCTGTGATGTCTCATTCAGGAGCCACGGTTACCATGACAACTATGACTGACTTGGTAGCCTTTGCAGTTAGTACTTCCACTTCATTTCCAGCAGTAAGGTACGTAGAATTTTTATGATGATCTATTTATTAAAGGCACGGCCAAACGGTTGGACGAATCGGATGCTACATGTTAGATGCAGCATTTGGACTAAATGGAAGTGTGGGACTGTTGTTTAAGAAGCAAATTGAAGTCAGTTATTACGATTCTAAATTCAAAAGAGCTATTTGTGCTGGGGCATTCCAACGAGATCAAAAGCCTTCCTCATCTTCTTAGCGATAACGTTCCTTCACCTTTGGGCACATGCTAGCGCTGAACAAATTTTCGCAAAGAAATCTGTTTATAGAGTGTGGCTACATTGCTATCATAACCTTTTTCATTTTCTCTTGTCTTTTTTGTCAATTTTGCATCTAAGAAAATAAAACGTTATCTACATGGTTCAATGTAACCGTTGAAATTTACAATATGTAGGTGAAACTAAGCGACGCCTCAAGGACAGATTTAACGAACACAGACGTCCAGTCGACAAAACTAACATTAAATCTAAACCCACTACTGTTTCTGAACACTTTCTCTCTCACTCTGACCACTCTCACACTGACAGGCAGTTAATCCCAGTAAAGAAAATTCATTCTTTACGTGACTCAGTCCGTAAGGTGAGGGAGTCACATTTGATAGATAAGGCTATGATTCTTGAACCTAATGGCTTAAACCGCCGTGAAGAATTATTGTAATCCATATCCCTATTAGTTTTCTTTTCTTTTTTATGTTGAACGTCATTTCCGCGTCTCCCTATTAAACAATTTTTTTGCGACATTCTCCGTCTATATAATGTTGTAATTCCTATCATAAATTCAGTAATATCTGTAAACCTAAAGAAGGCTGGTATAGCCGAAATACTGTTATGAATAAACAATATAGGTTTTTTTTAAAGTATAAGCTTTGCAGTAGTCTTTGGATGTCTCGTTTTTTGTTCTTAATATTTTATCTGATTTGATCTCTTTTCCTGAGATCCAACGTTGACAACTGGCAGGATCTTTCGTCCACGGTTTTTGTAGTTAATTTCCTTATCGTCTAAGAAAATAGTCGTTAAGGAAAATCTGTGCATCGTCCATGTATACACTGATGAAAGATTTCTTTGTTGATTCTTGTCTTTTTAGGAACTTCTTAACAAGATTAAGTCTCCTCATCCTCTAGCTGTCCGCGTTTAGCTTCTGAAACCCTCTTGAAACGTGTTGCAGCCATATCTTATGCAAATTTTGCTAAAACATTTATTCGCTAGATAGCACTACCAGTCTTTCAAACAACCCAGACTTAGGATAGAACACATCGGGAGTTTCGTAAGTTCGGTGCAGACCACATCAGTGTGCAATCGATATCAAAAGCCTTTAGGGGAATCAAAAGTTAAGGCCCTGCCATATTTTACCGTCCCACCCGCCAATTCTTACTACACATGCTGGCTTTTTGGTGAGATCATAGTTGAACTCATTTTCTAAGGGGTGCCCAAGCGCGTTTGACGTAAGGTATGAACCAGAGCGCCTTGAAGAGCATAAGCGCCTAGCCTGAGCGCACGTTTTAGCATTGTTTCTCTGTCTACGTGGTTTTAAGAGCATCTATTTTTTCCCATTCAGGTACTTCTGTATCTACGCGGCTTTGACAGTGACCTTCTCCTTTATAATGATCATCACATATTTTGTGGCCATCATGACATACGACTTAAAGAGAATACAATCAGGTCGTAGAGACTGCTTACCATTCTGCAAAGCGCCTCCGCCTAAGGAGGGGCGGCCAGCCTGGGACGAGCCTAGCCCACAATTATCAAATCGCGCTATGGAGGTCTGGGGCAGGTTTCTTACATATCCGGCTACAAAGGTGGTCGTTATCGTTCTATCTCTGGGGTTACTTGGTGCTGGAATATACGGAGTTACTAAAGTAGATGAAACATTCGACAGAAGAATCCTGGCAAAGGATGATTCGTACTTGAAACGATTTTTGTCTGCTGAAAAAGAGCATTTTGAACTGTCCATAGACGTTAGCATTGTAGAAACTGGAAAGATTGATTACGAGAAACCCTCTACACAGGAAGCCATCAGAAACCTAACATACATTGTCAGTAGCAACAAATACTACATTAACCGTTCTCTGTCGTGGATGGACAGTTATTTAACTTTTGCTAAAATGTCCAACATCAGCACTATAGGTCCATCGTTTTTGCCTGGTTTAAAGACCTTTCTCAGTCAGCCAGAGTTTTCATTTTTCCGTCAAGATCTGAAGTTTTCCAGCAACGGTTCTAAACTAGAAGCGTCGCGCATTCTCTGTTTCATGAAAAGTAACGGCGAGTCTACATTCCAAAAAAGTGCTATGCAAACAATTCGCGACGATCTCGAAACCAAGTCCGAACTCGGAGTCTTTCCCATTACACGGTCCTTTATTTTCTTTGAACAGTATGCGATAACATCACGAGAAACTATACGGAACCTTATAATCGCTGCTTTAACAGTCTTTGTCATTACCAGTCCCTTCTTAGTAGATTGCACAGTGGCAATCCTCGTGCTGTTCAACTTTGCCGCCCTGATATGCGAACTGTTTGGTTTAATGGTTATTTGGGATGTGTCCCTCAACGTCGTGTCTATGATAAATCTTGTTATGGCTATTGGCTTTGCAGTTGACTACAGTGCACACGTTGCACATGCGTACGTGATGTCCAACAAGTTATCAGCAAATGACCGAGTTGTAGATGCTCTGAGTACTGTGGGCGCGAGTGTACTCATGGGAGGTAAGTCAAAATTCTGAACATATATGGCTCTTGATACACGGCTTTGTCCGTTCATGGGTCCAATCGTTATGCCATGCTGGTGAGCCTGTGTAAAGCCGATCCCCCCTCCCCTCAAACAAAATTTATCAAATTCCTTCTTCCCGATTTCTTTTGGGGCAGGGGGTAGCTGTACACAGGATATAAATGCTGATGAGTCCAAATAAAGGCGAAACAGCTGTAGATAGCTGCCACTGTTCGTCCGAGTGATAAAGCTGTCTAAACGTTTAGATCCCAAGCCAAATTTAGAAGGATTTGTATGGAATCAACAAAGCATAACTGGGCTAATATCTCAGAGGCAATTTGCCCCACAAGGCTAATTTTTGGCGAGTAGGCGTCTTGGACGTTGTTCTTTCAGTATATCTTGACAAATCCCATAATTTCACAAATTCAATTTTTATGACGTCTCACTTCAATACTCTATTTGGGATTCTTAAGTTCAATTTGAACTGTTTCAGGCATTTGCTCGGCCCCAGTAACATTAGTGCTATAAATACTGCCGAAGATAAATAACAGAATTATTTATTTATATTTAGTTTACTTCCAGCCCAGGTTTTCAAAGAACTCTGGGAAGTTTGACAATTTGAATAATGTACTTTTATAAAGCTTTTGCACTAGTTTTCAATAACTTCAGTAACTTCCACAATTTTAATTCCGTCTGAGCACGGTCTTCTGAGTGTGGATTGATCATAGTTTCATCCATAATTTTAACCTGGAATTGCTTTATTTCGGTTTTTGGGGGGTCAGATTTACCAAGCACTCTCAAGTCAAGATTTCTTAACAAAAGGCTGTTACTTTGAAACAATACTTCGGCCTCAGCGGCTACCACCCAGCATATTCAGAGGCAATATACCAGACTTGACAAACAAAGGAATGGCATGAGCTCTGCTGTCGAAAAATTACAGCAACCGAAGAGCTCGTTTTTGCAAAATTAAAATTTCGTTCAGATTTGAATTGGCAGCTAGTCCCCATGCAGTTAGTCCATAGGAAAAGTACGGTTCGATTAAGGAACGATAAAGCTTTACGAGAGTTACTGGTAGGCAGAAAATTCCTAAGCCTGGACATGATGCCTACCCCTTTGCTTATTTTTGACGAAATATAGTCTGTGGTACTTCAAAGAATGGTGACTATCAATCGAAACACCGAGGTATTTCACATAATGTTCTTGTTTAAGATAAGCCAATATCTTCAAGTCATTAACGTTATCAGGCTTGCGTTGAAAGGGATGAAAAATGACAAAAGTAGAGTTGCTTGTGTTTAGTGATAATTTGTTTGTCTTTAGCCATTTACAGACTTCAATTAGTTATTCAATGATAACAGTTTTAAGCGCTTTCAAATTTTTGTTTGCGCATAATATATTTGTATTGTATCATCAGCAAATAAATAGAGGTTTATTTTAGGCGAAATACGGTAAATGTCATTAATATAGATTAAGAAAAGCAGCCGTTACGGCCCTAGGACCAGACGCACCCAACGTCAATTTTCGGAAAATATCTGTTCGGAAGATAATTTGAGATCTAGAATTTATCGGAACATTTTTTGTAATATTAAAATTTCTTGCTTGCCTGCCTCTCCTAGGGTTTTCGAACATCTAAAAAATGGTATAATTGCTCTTTTTTAACGGATTTTTACCCTAAAAAGATCACCTAGAATTTTCGGCTTCCTTTTATCTGGCTGAAATTTTCGAAAAGATAAATTTTGATCACTATAATTTTCGGATCACTAGACTTTCAGCTAGGAAATCCGAACAGATGAAAAATTTTTAGGAGATATAATATGCGTATATCTACCTTTCAATACTAAATAGGTTTGACAGTGCTCTGTTTAAGTGGTTGTGGACTTATATTCTCTTTTGGTGCCCCTATAGGACGGACCCTTGATATTTTTTCTTTGCTAGAAATGGTAGCTCCAATTTTAGTACTCTGGGTCCTGTCAGTTAAATACGAAGCGCGACACAGTTATTGAAAATTCCACGTATTCCGTATACCGTATTATTCTTCACATTACACTCAGCCTCATCCGATAAAGGAAATTTCGCACGATAAGAAATTCCGGGAAGGAAGCCCTAGTATTGTTTAATAATTACCCCAGTGAGTAGATTTTTTTAGGTCTTATTTAATTTTGATGAGGCCCGAATTTCTTCTTTTTTCCCTCCGGCCAGGTTTCAGTACCTTCCTTGGAATGATCGTGCTTGCTTTCGCTGCATCCGAGATATTCCGAATCTTCTTCCGAATGTTCCTTGGAATCGTCGGGTTTGGCCTTCTTCATGGTCTGTGCATTCTGCCAGTTTACATGTCCTTGCTGTGTTGGAGGCCTGCAGTTAACACATCCCCCTCGGTCAGAGTTAGCGCGGAGAATCTTAGCAAAACCCAGAAAGACAAAAGTAGCCAGGAGTTGCATGTGGCGGACATAGGAAGTGAAAACAGAAGTTTTGCAGGTGATTACTGTTCTTTGAAGGAAAAGCATAGTGATGATTCACAGCAAAGAAACATCGTCGGAATTTCTAACAAGGGCATGATATCAGATGAGGAGAAATTGGAGATATCGACAGAAGAAGGTGACGATGCGGACAACAAAACCGATGAGGCCACTCAGGAAACCAACAAAAATGAAGAAGAGCATTTAGCAACAGCAACAGAAAATTCCTCGAATGAATGTGACACTAAAACTACCACAACAAAGTTATAATTTACTACCCCTACGGTAGTTTAATTCGTATTTTAAGTATTGAGCATTTTATACTACTACATGGGAAATTTCTGCAATTTCTGGTATTTCAGCTTAATTTGAAACACCTGTACATGTGAAAATTACAAACCTTTTGCGGGTAGTACTTTAAACCAATAATAACATAATTTGTACGTGATATTTGGCATAAATACCACTCGTGATATTTCAAAAGTTTCTCAAATTTCACTCACCTAACGGCTCGTAAAATTACGTATGACAATTTCGAAATGTCACTGCAAATCATTCTATTACCTATACTAATCCGCGTTAAAATTTACATTACACTGGACGGCCTAATGAACCTTCCCAGCCACAGTTCGTTGCGCAAACTGAGGTTAAAAGGAGCCTCTTTTGTGATACATGCAATTTTAATGCTTTGTAGTACACGAGCCTAAAATATATTGTAAATATTTGCGACGTTTTCGCATGCCAGAGAATAATAAGTATCTATAATCAAATGGTTGCGAGTTTTATCAAACTTTTGATAATTGACGAACCGCTATAAAATCCACTTACATTCTTGAAAACTCACTTGTCAGACGTGTTCAATATATACGACGGCAACTTAAATGATGTAAACATTTTAGCTACCAAACGTTTCGGACGTTCAGAAAACTCAAATTTTAACAGGCAAGCATGCCCCCGGACCCCACTACTTTATTATGTACCCAAAAGCAATTCTACCCCAGCAATTGTGGTCTCATTGCAAAGTACAGCTGGAACTTAAATCTCCAGGAGGGCGGCAAGGCGGGGCCAATTTTTATTAAAGTGGTAGGGCAAAAAACTCTGACCCTACTAAGTAAAACTAACAGGCAGTAGGTGTTTTTGTTCTGCCACTTGTCATGCACTTATCATACATATGCGCGCTTCAATAAAAACAAAATGGTCGACCCCACTTGGTAATATCATTCAATGCAGTAAATATGTTAATACTTAACCTAAATTTGCTGCTTTTTGAAACTGCCAAAGTTTCTCTCGCGGTTCTTGTTATTAAAAACGGACTCCTTTACGACGTTAGCTGTACAGAAACTGTCTGTTTTCTGCTTGTAGCCATTCAAAACGTCTATGTTTCCAAACTTTTTAGTCACTCGTCCTGGATCTAAAAACCACGCCTTCAAATGCCGGGCAGATGAGAACGACGCTTACCAGGAGCGTTGAAGGAAGCTGCACGACCTTCTTCTCTGGTTTTGGCCTCTTTGTCACCGCCGACAGTATATATGTCATCGAAACACAATGTCTCGTCATCCTCCGGTGTAACTTTAAAACACTTAACAGGTTGGGTAGCGCCCCAGTATCAACTGAAGATATTTGCTTTATGATGCTTAAGTCAAATCACTGAGCAGCTCCTCTTTAAACAATATTGGCTCTATCTGGGCGTAGGCCCTGATTATAGACCCTTTTAAAGACCCTTTTAAAACCTTTGGTAGTTAGGGATAGGTTAGGACACCAACCTCCAGCCTGGTCGAAGTGCGTCGTTTTCTTGAAGGCGTTGGATCGCCAACCAGGCCTTCGCTCTTGCGGGTAACGTTATGGGGTAGAAAACGTCGAAGCTCTGATCAATGCACATTTTAGTGAGCGTTTCCTTTGTTAGATTTGCCAAGGGTTTTCCACTGAGAGCAGCCATCTTTTTCTCCTGATAGTCATAGATTATATACTGTTGTAAGGATAAAGCAGCTCTCCAAGGCTCGAACCAATGAAAAAGTCAGATCTTTCCATGTGGGATTTGCATCCAAATAGAATGGACGAGCCATCGGACTGTTATTAATCCAAGCAAAAAAAGTGGTAGGGCTATAGTATTACCAGCCCCTCCCCCTCCACTGTCTCTGATTCTCGGGGAGTGTGATCACTCGAAATGACTTTCATGGGCTTCTGCCGCACTGACTTAATTTTATAAGTCTGATCAACTGATAAATCTGTCAAAAACTGGCTATGGCTTTCATAACTAGAAATGCGTTCTTCTAAAACCTGAATAAGTAGAGTCTTCGCACTAAGAGCCGGATCAGGGTTATATTTTCGTATTGATTAAAAGTTAAAACTCAGGTAAACTCTTTCTCAGCTTTCTGATAGGATAAATATGGCAAGAGTAATGTTCAATTCTTTTGTTATCATTTCACTGAGTGATAAAAATTGACCATGTTCCAGGAAGCATTCAAAACACCGTCGACTGTGAATACTATACGCAGCACCTCTTGAGGGTTGAATATCCTCGAAACCACCAACTCAAAAGAGCTATTTATCCTATTAGACACTCAAAAGAGCTTTGACGCGCAAAAGTCGCCATCGGCAATCTAAAGTCTGAATAAGAGAATAAAATGGGAAGGAAGTCCTCCTTTCCGCGAAATCAAGAATGGAGCAGTGCGAATGCCAAAACGCTCCGATCTTGATTTCTTCTAGTGGGAAGAGGGGAGAGAGGCCGTTCATCAGTCAACAAATTCGCTGGGAAAAGAAGCGACCACGCTTTATACCGCAAGGCCAGGTCGCCAATCGGGACTAATCAAGCATTTGTCTATCTAAGTCGGAAAGTCTCCTGAGTAGAGCTCATAAGTTCTTGCCACGTTGTCCATCACTGTAGTTTTGATATCTCAAACTGATTCAACGAAGGTGAAGTGTCTTCTTTCACGGTTTGTGGTCCCTTTGATGGTTGCCACAGCACAACTTAAAAGTCATAGATTCTGCTTTATCAGAATGGCGTACACAGCTGTGGTCCGCCATTCTCAATGAGCCCTTCTGATTCTTTCAATAGTTTAGTAACTCCCCAAAACCTTTTTGTAATATGCTGTCTCCATATATGAGCACCATGCGCTTGTAACATCCACCGAAGGATCTGTCCATGTCCTTTCTTGTCAGGGTTCAGGGGTTACTGCAGTTTACTTCGGACTACAACCACAGAAAAATAACCTAGCCCAAGTGCCCGAAAGTATACACACTACTACCGCAGAGGAGACTAGTCAGCGGACTGACTAACAGCAAAACTTTGAAAAATGAAAAAAAAAAAAAAATGGCATGAATGAAATTAAAGATATCTTGTCAGGGTACGGTCCCCTTTGCTTATTTTATGACGGCAAAGCTGTCTGTCATGAATACATATTTGTGCCGTTGAATGGTGTACGTTACATTTGTGATTATTAGCGATCAAGAGGAAACTAAATTCGCTCTTATAAAAGAGAGGCATATTCAGAGGAGCAGTTGGACAGGAAGGACGGGTAGCAGGCTTGATGGAGGATTTAAGATAATCTCAGTTTTAGGTTACTGCTAAAAAGGGGGCTCGGTTTGACTGTATGGCTAGAAGCTCAATCAAACCTCCATGATCTCTAGTTTTAATCGATTTAAGAAAGTTAATAACTATGAAGCAAGAAGGAAAGACCCAAAAATGTGGCTAGATACTTCAAAAAAACGTGGGTCTCGAAAAATTTTGGGAGGATCTCGAAATCTCGAAAGCATCTTTGATCAGTCTCGAAGTCTCGTTTTTGCATGGTTTGTTTTTACTTTTTATGAGTCTCGAAACTTTTTACCAAAGAGTCTCGGGCTCAGATTTCTAACTAGGATCTGGGCGTCTCGGCGAGTCTCAGATCAAGTTTACCATTCGCCACCCCTATACTTGTGGGTTTGCATGCGAGAAAAGGAAACGAAATGAAGCCTGTTGAATGATTGACTCCTGAGGGTATTGAATAGAACGAAAATTAGAATAGCCAAAGCATTGAAAAAGTACTTTTACTGTAATAGGTATTATCGTTGTAGACGTATGTGCTCGAGAATAGTTTCATTTCGTGTTCTGCAATGCTTGCATCTGTTCAGATTCCCAACTCTTGAACCTTTGTAGCTGTGGTTCTTTTCTTCCTTATGTCGAGATGGCGAAATAACTAAGAATGCGTAAAGTTTGTTTTCAAAACAATTTATGCACAACTGCTAGAGAAATTTGGCATTATATTAAAATAATAGGAAATTTTGTTCACAACTGTGGGACCCTGGTTCTTTGCTTGGCAAAAATGAACACTGCAGCTGCGACAATGTCCGCAAGATAAACTTTGAAGGCCCTTCATTGAACATCTAAAAACGTTTTCTGGCAGAATTTACCCGCAACGATTTGGTTTAAAATGCAGAGATCAATAAATTTAGAATACAAATACATATCTTTTACAAAATTGCTGTAATTTTTGCAGTGAACAACATCAGCCGATTTCTTTCCTCAAATCGTGGAAAGGAAGGTGTGAGCGGGGGAAATGGTCGCCGTGTGACGTCACCTTACGCAAGCGCAGTTGCTGATTACTTAGGGAAATCAGTTTTAGTTTGTCCGTTTTGTTCACTCAGTTAATTCGACATTTCCACATTCGCGCTCTCGAAATAACACGTTCGATGAGCTACACATCAAAATGAAGAGAAGAAGCATTGACCCTTCGAAACTGAGAAGGCCTTTAAAACGTTCTCGTATCACAGAATCTATTTACGGCAGGTAAAGTCGATGTGTCGAGTCGCTCAGTGTTGTACTAGCACTGTCGTGAATATAATATAAAGGTCTTTTCTTAAATATGCTTTCCTCTTTATTTCTTCTAGTGCATTTCTGTATGTCCGGTTTTTCTTAGTATGGATAATGGTCTTGACTGCGGACTTTCTATTGGAGTTTCGCTTTGAATATCTTTGGCCTTTCTGGTTACTTTTACGGAGCGCTTACGACTCATTTAAGTACCAAGGTTTGGTAAGTTTTCAAGAAAATTAAACCTTGCTTCTGTCGTTTCTTGCCGCTCATTGGCCTTTTAAGTGATCCCAGGGTTGCTATCATAACTGCGGTTTTTACTAAAATTTATTCTAAATGTTTTGATAGCTCTAGCAGTTTATTTTCCGGTTATGTTTTTCAGGCTTTCTCCCTTCTATTTCTCACTTTGGCTTTCTGTTCGGATCTCATATGTTTGATGTTTCTACCTGTGCATTGGTTGTTCTTTGCTGCAAGCACGTATGTTTGGGTTCAGTACGTCTGGCATACAGGTAAATTACTGGACATGCTATCTGCCAGAATATTAACGGCGTTAAACGTAGTGGTAGTTGAAAACGTTGACCACTAAATTCGCACAAGGAAGATTTCAGTGTTTACATTTCGTCCAGTATTGGTGAATCAAGAGTATGGGAGTTACATTCGAAGGTGGGGAATTTCCGCGAATGTGATCACCGGCGCGGGATTTCCATAGGTGAAGTAAGAATCCATAAAATTTGTAATGAATCTAATGATTCTCCGTTTCTAATAATTTACTGTTTTCACGTTTCAGATCGCGGTCTATGCTTGCCAACCGTTAGTCTATGGTTACTGTTTGTGTATGTAGAGGCGTCTGTACGACTTAGAGAGCTTAAAAATCTTCCCTTTCACTTAGATCTCTGTCGACCTTTTGCCGCTCATTGGTAAGTAAAATGTTTAAGTGCTTTGAAGATGGTTTTTGGCACAATGGGGTCAGTAAATTATATTTTCAGATCAATATGTGAACAGTTCAGACCTAGACGGTGATGAACACTTCCCAACCTAATTTACATTTTAGCAAAAGATTTCCTCAAACTGGCAGCTGGTTATTCCATGCAAAGCAGCCTTCGTTCAGATATCGTCGGAAGTAAACCCTTATTGTAGTTAGAATTCAATGGTTGTCTTTAAAATTTCCTCGAAAAGCCTCCTCACATCAGTTCCTGTGGTCATCGCATTTTATCAATAATAACATTTTTACCGCCAATTTGTACATTGGTCCTGGGAGTTCTCATTTTCGAGAGATTAATCATTAAAATCTGCTTTATTTTGAAAATGCTTAACTGATAGCTAAAGAAATAAGCTGCTTTTACTTAAAATAATTGAAACATTTTAATCATTTTTGCTATGATATATTTTATTATGTCATGGAAAACTGCACATGTGTGAACATTCGAGGTATTGAAGAATCTTAAGTGATATTTGATTCATTAATTTTGACCACCGTGTTATAGAGACTGTTCATTTGAGGAAGTTTATTCTGATAAGGGTAGACTTTGAGGAATTATTTATGTTTTTACTCAGAAATGTTACCCTCTGCCCTTTGTACTGTTGTCCTGTGATTTAGAGTTGTATACCTGTCAGATCTGCCTTACCTTTCATTCTCAATATTTGCCACCAGTGTTAATTTCAAATTTAAGGTAAACTGTGCAGTGTTTCAAGCTAAAGTTTCTTCAAAGTTGTCTTCTGGCAACCTGAAATCTTAATGTGGTTGCAAGCATAAAATATTGGTCACCAGAAAAATGGACACAATGTTAGATGAGGTGGATGGAATGATCAAAGGGGCTGTCTGTCTGTCGAGGTTTTGTAGGGCTTGAAATTGTGACTGATACAGTCACATACGATTAACATTTTCTCCCTGGTGGCTAAGAATTCTGGTTTAGTCACCACTTTGGAGACCAGATTTCTCTATGATTTAGATTTAAATTAAAAGAGTAAAGTTAAAACAAACATTTCATGTGCCAAATCACATAAACAAAGCCAGTTAACCTCCAAATTTATACCCACTTCTGTCCACAATATTTTCAAACAATCAAATCTGATGGATTGCACCATACTAAGAGCTGCTTCATTTACATTCTGCAAACTGGCGACTAAAAATTTGACTTTATTTCTCCAGTTCGACGGGAAGATTATTTTTTAATTTCAAGGCCTGTTTTGCCGTGACTCTGAAACCTGAATAACCCTAGGGAGAGAAAGGCAAATATTAAAGAATTGAGAGTGTAAATAATATTTCTTGCAAACGTTAATTTCACTTAAACACAAGAAAACCATAAACATTAATTAAACACTGCAGTTTGACAACTTTTGTTGGAGTTTTAAATGATGAATTTTTTGTTGCCTGCCATGGTGATGGAAATAGTTGGCGCTCTGGGTAGAGGATTAAATCGAGGGGGTGGGGTGGGTGGAAGTTGCTTGTTTGATTTTTCTTTAATCATATATCCATTGAATTACATCTCTCAATTACAGTGTAACCTCTCCTTTGGGACACATCTATTTAAGGGACATGTCCACAATTTTGTCCTCTGTTGAAGGGACACCTGTTTGGGAAAAGGACGTTTTGGGTCCCGAAACCTGGGTTTAACCTCCATTCAGAGGACATCTTAGCACTAAAAAAGTTACTGACCATAAAAAGCATTGATAAGTTTAAGGTATTAGATCTGCTATAAACCCTTCCATTTGAAAAATTTATTTCTCAAATGATTAAGAATTTTGCAAAATAAAAATTACACAGGCCTATCAAGCTAGAGCTGAGCTTTCAGAAAATTGATATCTGAGGTGACAATTTTTACACCTAAGGTGTTATTTCTGATTTATATCGCAGGCTCAAGAATTCTATAATTCCGTATTTCTGCCTTTCTCTCAATGGCTAGGAATAAAAAAAAATTGAAACTGACTTATACTTAGTTTGTTCATTTACCTTTAAATTCCTGGCAGTAGCCAGTAAATTTTTCCTGAGATATAGAGGTTGAATTTTTTTGTAATGCCCTGTAACTTCTAGCCTGCGAACCGCAGACGCATTTCCGGTCGTCGCTTCTCTCCCTCCGAAAAATAGTGTCTGCGAACCCGAGCGGCAAAACGATTTCCGTGACGTAAAACCTCTTGTTTTGATGTAGGCCAATCAGATCAAAGGATAGAATACAGCTCGAGTGACTCCTCGCGACCTCGCGCGCTGAAGTGTCTTGGATTTTGGAGAGAATTACCAAATACGCTTTGGAACGTGAATTTCACGACCATAACAAGGTTTCCTGCGACGTTGAATGCTGACTTCTTTATGAAGCAACTGCTTCTTAAGCTATGTATCTGATGTGGGCCTTTGGTTTCGCGTTATAAAATACGGTAGTACGTGACATAAACAAAACCTGGACAAAATAATCGCTACAGCGAAAGGAAAGCAACATAGCTTAATGACATCGCGCTCAGACTTATTTATTTCAATTTAACCAGCGCTGACAAAAGGTGGTGAATCAATTATACAGGCACATCCTTGACTGATTCAGAAATCTCTAACAATCGCTCGTTAATAATTCTAGTATAGCCACAACACAATGATCTGAAATATTATAAACCTGGGCCAGACCCAGCATGAAATAAATAGTTACAGCACTAAATAGATCATAGTCAAAATGACATTTCAGCTGCGACGCTTCTACAAATCTCATAAAAAACTATGGAAATGAGAACCTTGAAAAGAACATGTATTTAAAGAAATATACCGGAACAAATATAAAATGCTTTCGATCTGATCAAAGTTCTATCTGAACCAAGAAGCAACCACGCATGGGAAATCAATTACCACATGTCCTACCTTTCAAAGATAAAGGATATCTACTAAAAAATATCTAAAACGGCACACGACAAACTATCGAAGAGTTCTCCAAGGTATACTTTCCTGCCAGGAACCAGAAAGGAACAGAAGCAACAAATGGCATGATGCGTCTACTGTCATTAGGACAGTTATCGTTTCAAATATGATCAAAACAACTAAGTCTGATAAATCATTGACTCCGTAGGCAAATAGATGAAAAATGTCCTCTAATCTTTTCTTCGATATGAATCCTCTTGATACTTATTTCATCTTTCAGTCCCACAATCCTGCCAAATTAACTTTCGTAAACGCGTCGTTCTGATAAAAAAAGGACGGCTATACACAAGCCACGTCGTCCTTTCAATTTCGACTTGAAAACATATCCATCGCGCACGATCCTGCGAGAAGTCTCGCGAGTTAGTTCCTTGATTTTAAGAGCGTGATTGGCTAAAAAGGTTTTACGTCATGGAAATCGTTTTGTCGCTCTGGTTGGCAGACGCTATTTTTCGGAGGGAGAGAAGCGACGACCGGAAATGCGTCTGCGGTTCGCAGGCTATGTAACTTCAGGCCGCCGTAAAAATTCCAAAATATTCTGGGAATTGCGGGAATTCAATACATTTTTCCTTTACATTATGTGAATAAACCTGGCAAATTTCAGCGTGGTATTATAAATCTTCATCTTTTTATAGCGATTTGTTTTCACGGCGGTTCAACACAGCCACAAAATTGCTCTTAAATCGCCGTTAATTTTCGTCACGCTGTGCTGTTTTCTTCGTCGCCATCTTGATTTCTTACGAGTAAACCGCTGTTCTTAATGTTTATTGTGACACTGACCCGATTGTAGCACGGAAAGTGGTGAGAAAATACGAAAGTCTTTGTTTGAACTTGTCGCGTGACGTGCTCTCAATATGGCGTCATAAACAGTGTTTTAACCTTAGCAACGTGCTAATTTGCATAATAGATCATTAAACTGCGGCCTTATCTGTCATCGACTTTACAAGGATCTTATATCTGTGTCTCTAGAAGGCTTTTTACGGCCATAGACATGATTTAGAAATATCAAAACAATCATACTTAATTTGGGGAAGCAGAATGTTAGGGAATTTTGCTACAATTTGCCTTGGCTTATTTGAAACTCATAACATGTTATTGCGTGTCGGGTTGTAAAAATTGCAACATTTCTATCAACGACGGAAACTATCACTTCGGATTTCAGCCCTGTGATTATAAATATTTCCAAAAAAGCGCTTTTAGATACCAACTTTGGCCTTCATTTTCTCACCTTATATTTAATGAAAATGCTTCATTTTTGGAATTTGAGTTCAGGTCAAGAGTACATTTCAAATAAGAGATTTTATACGCATGATCATTTTTTGACTTTATAGCAGTTCTAATATCTTAAGTATACACCAGTCACAATGACGACAACTTTCGCAACATGAACGGTTTCACCGAAATCAAATGAATGTACCACATTCACACAAAAGTTTGCTTAGATAAGTTAATCATGTCTTTTATGCATTATCTAGTTGCCTGAAATATTGGCTGTATTCACACTGGAGATGGATTATCCATCTGAGAAAGGTTATCCGTTGGATAATTCGCATCAGATAGATAATACGTCTTAATTTGAACATGAAACCATTTTAATTTTGGATATACAATCCACTTGACTTTATCCATCTGTTCTTCCCTCAATTTTGATGGATTTTGAAGATGGATTATCCATCTCAGACGGTTACCCTCTAGTTTAATTATTATTTTTTATTTAATTATTTATTTTTTATCGTAAATAACATTGTCCGTTAAATTTCAAGGTAATATCTAAATAATATTATGTATTAATTTACTGAGCTGTGTTTGTAAAGTAGGAGCAGAGTTTGTATACTTAACCACATTCTGCTGAATGTAGATGTAAATATTGGTGAACAAATCTGTTTTCTTGAAATATCTTTGACACTAATTTGTGGATGGAATAATGAACAAACTTTCCAAATAATAAGGAATGTATCATGTCTGTTTTCTGTCTGGTACTGTGGAAACCTGGCAATATTGGTTGATTTGTATCAGTTTTTTTCTACTTTTCCTAATTAGACTCTTATTTATTTTGGGCCCATGGGGTTAAATTTGTCATATGCTACAGTCATTAAAGAAATTCTTAGTTAGCATCCATGGATGCAGCAAAGCTCAAAACCCTTTAGAAATTCCTGAAATGATCTTTATTTTTACACTTATTTTGGACTTATAAGCCCTTAAATACCTTCTGTACTTGTGAGGTAAGGAGTTGCTTCTGGTTATTCATCCAGTAGTATTAACCAGTCATTATACTTTTTCTTTGCAGTATTGGTTATCCTGTGGTGACACTTGGTTATGGGGTTAAAAGCTATGTTGGCTATAAAATGCGTCAGGTAAGAACAGTTAGTCTTATTTACAACTATAATATGTTTACTTCTGTTAAGGACCAGTGTTGCGTGTTGAAATTTATCAAAGTGTGTCTTTTGACTTGCATCTTTATTACGCATTTGAAAGTGGTTCTTTTCAATAGAGTTTCGGGTCAAACTAAAACATAATGCTTAAGTTATGCTGACTTTTAGAGATACTTACTGAACTCTTCTCCCTCAGATAGCAAGGCAGCTCAGTATTTATGTTCTTTTTTTGGCTTTCATTGTTCTGTACTAAAATTATTAGGAAAACTTTTTGTGCTTTTACAGCGAAGAGTCCAACATGTGGCAAAAGAAAATGAGTTTTATATGCAGCTTATTAACCTTGCACTGCCACCTGAGACAAATAATCACACAGAGGCCACAGAGAGGCCATCATCCAGAGGTATGGCTTTTGAAATACTCTTATATGGTACTAGTAATAACCAAAGATTGCAGATTGTGGGTGACATTGATCAAAGGTCATAATACTTTTGCTCCAGTGCTGTGCTTTGTGTAGAAATCACTTGATAGATAGTTAAAACACACAGGATTAGATTATGAGACATAGAAGGTCCAAAGATCACATTCTGTGTATTCCATTTATTCTCAGTGGAGGTCCAAAAGGAGCTGGCTATATACTTGCTGTGCATGTATAATAGCAACCTGGAGATTATGATTGCGGGCTCCTCTTGTTGCCCAAAAATATGCTGGTGACATGCTAGCCTTGTTGTAGTAAGTTACAATTCTGTTAAAAAGAAAACCGCAGACTTCAAAGGGGCCAGGGGCCTGGGGCCCATTTCTCAAAAGTCTTAATAATAAATGGGGCGGGAAAGTTACTGTTGTTTACATTCAAGATCGAGGTTTCAATAGTTTTCCAGATAATAATATGACAAAAATATCAATTAACAAAACAAAATGGAGTTGTTTGTTAGCTAAAACCTGCACTCTTATTCTTCCTATTTTCTTCATATTTGATTAAGGGCCTGAAAAGTTACTGGGACTTTCAAAAGAAAGGCCCAAAGGATTGGGGATTTCCTTATGGCTACTTTGTATGCAAACGCTGGCTACTTCAATAGGAAATTAGGAGAAAGATTGAACCAGAGGAAATCCCTAGCTGCTTTATTCCAAGCCTACTTTTTGTATTTACCACTACAACTTGAAATCTTGGTGATAGCCCTGGGCTGATATTGTCCTGTTCAAAGGCCACTGTAGTTTGAACCAATCTTTCACACAGCTCTTTTTAATCCTCACTGAGAATATTATGTTTTTGTTTACTTGCTTTGCAGCTATTTGTAATGGCAAAGTTGCAAATGGAGATGTATCATTACCAAGAGGACGGTCACTTCCTCTTATGACAAATGGGATAAATACAAAAACTGATCTTGATCTCATTATAGCAAAAGAAGCTAGCCGTCGTGGATTAAAATTAAGTGATATAGAGTCAAGAGCTACTTTAAAAGGAAATAATTCTTTAGATGTTCATCCTTCAAAGAAGACTAGCGAAGACCATAACTTAAATGAACTTGACAAGCTGTCTCTGGAGGAAAAACAAAAGAGCAGTAAAGGAGGGCATCATAATCGCACTGCTTCTTTTGGAGTCTTTTCAAAGAAGAAACATGTTGGAAAACATAATGATGAGGATGATGATGAGAATGAGGAGACAGATAGTGATTCTCTGAGTGCATCTGGTAGCTCCATTAATAACAGTCGTAAGAACAGTAGGAGTAATTCTCCCAAGGTAACAACATTTGCTTTTTATAAATAAATAAATTAATTAATTAATAATGATTTAAAGGTAACATGTCCACTTACTGCCTGTTTCCTGGTCAAATTGGAATTTGGAAATGTTGGTTTTTGAGAAGGGAAAACTGAAATAGTGGGAGAAAAACAGCAAAGGAGAGGACCAACAACAAACTTAACCCTTATTTAACCCACGTATGGCTTTGAAGTAGGGACTTAAACCCTGACTACCTTGGTGGGAGGCAAGTGCTCTCACTGCTGTGCCACCAAAGGCACCACCCTTGTATTTTTGCATAGGGTTAAGGGAGGTAGGAAAAACATGTGGTACTGTAAAAACCTGCATTTAAGAACCCCTGTTTGTTTCACAGTTCTGACTTTCGCTTAATGTCTTTCACATTGCGTCCTCTTCATCAAAATGTGTCATGTTTTATATTAAATGTTGCATTTTGAGTTGGTTTTACACAGTTTATTTCTTTCTTCAGGGGCATGAGAAATCTCAGTCTGTTGACCTTGGACCCAGTGTTTTCTCACAACTGAAAGAGGAGCGGCTGTTACGGTAAAAACACTGTTACACTTCACGTCATTCACTTACCACTTATTGAACTGGGTATCGGGAAGAGGGGGAAACTCTGTCAAATTTTGAGTGGGACGCGCTTCAGCATTTCTCTGATTCCTGGAACCCTCATCCCAGACTAACTCTAAATATGCATACAACTAACCGATTTCCCTTAAACCGTACAGTACCCTGTTCTAGACCAAAATCCTCTGATTTCTATCTGCTTTCATGAAGCTCTTCGGACTACAATTGGCGTTTGTACTAATTTCGTTCACGTATTTTCTGGCATGAAACTATTGTTTTAAGGGTACGGTCTATTCTTTCTTTTGAGTGTTAATGTTTTTCTCACCCAATTATCTTTCACCTGGCCCATTTCTACACCCCATCCCAGAATAAACTGCTTGAAAATCCGACCCTTCACTGTCACCTCTCTCCATAGCCTGTATGAATTTCTAAAAATAGAATAACTGAGCTTCACATAAACGCGGGCCAACTTGTTAAGAGTTCAAACCACTATAGACACTGGTCTTACTGGAAAGTCAAGATGCCAAAGCGGATACCACAGTATAAATTGACAGACTGAGCAATACACTTGTCCTTCGTTGTTCCAAAGCTGGATAGCGCTACTTACCGGATAAATCACTATCCAGCGGATATAAAACCAATTGCGTTACCCTCTGGGTAGAGATTTATCCAGTGGATAGCACTTAATCCACGTTTTAAATAACTGGGGCCTGAAGGTGTCTGTGGGAGATTTCATTGTAATCCTTTTCCGTTTCAGTCGTCGTGCGGAGAGTAGTCTCAGTCAGTTGGAGAATGACAGCAAGCGACTGCGGGTAGAGCTGCAGACAAGCCGTCAAGGGGAGCAAGAGCTGAGATCCACCATGCATAGCTTAATGGCCAGTGAACGCTCCACCAAGGTGGAACTGCAGCAGCTCAAGTCTGAATGTGAAGTTATACAACAAAAGTAAGTGAGATCGGCATGGTATTATAAATTTTGGTAATAGGACTCAGTGGACTTGGGAGGTACATGCATAGAATTTACTTAATCCATGCTAGTCCGCGAGCGGTTGTCTTTCTGTCCTCAGATCCACGCGCGGCGAGCGAAAAAGTCAAATTATGCATATAAATGGTAAAAAGGAGGAGAGATCGAGTGCGGAGAGAGCTTCCGCCCTCGAGCATGTCTCGCCAAATGACCTTTTTCCTCAGTCTGTGAATAAAATTGTCTGTCGGTCGACGGTTGGTCTTCTGTCGGTTTACGGGAGTTGTTCTTCACAATTACCAAAGATACTGAGACAGGCAAAGAGAAACTTGCCACACTCGCTCAACTATCCAAAGAACGGATGAAGACATCCACACTGAATTAATCTTATTCCTGTTCTATATTAATGACATCCTTTGTATACCAAAGTTGGGTAATTTATAGTGTTGTTATCTTAAAAATCCTACAGGCTGCAGACCATGTCCACGCAGCGGCAGCAAGATCGCAACTCAATGGCATCTTTGGAGCGCAAGTTAAAAACAGAGCGCGATGCGAGGCTTTTGGCTGAAAGTCAGCTTCGCGATGAGCGCAGACGACAGAAAGCAGAAGATGCTGCGGCCAAACAACGCGACGAGACCACCGGGCATGATGCGTGTAATGCACTTCGTTCCGAGCTGGAGGAAGATAGCCGACAACTGCGCGCTTTACTGCAGGAAAAGGAGGAAGAAATTAAACGTCTTGAAAGCGAATCTGAAACACTGAGGCAGAAGACTCGTGAGTATGACAGTATGCAATTAAAGAAGGAAACAGAAGTGCTAATGTCCGCTCTTACTGCAATGCAAGGCAAGAACACTCACTTAGAGAACAGTCTAAGCTCGGAGACGCGCTTGAAACTGGATCTGTTCTCAGCGTTAGGTGATACTCGACGTCAACTGGAGATAGCGCAGGCGAATATCAAGACCAAAGATCGGGAAATTGAAGCTTTCAAGCGTAAGATTGCCGAGGTCATGGCTCTTGTGCCCGCTGCTACCACCTATACTACCGGAGATTCCCCCGGAGTTCCGCCTCACACCCCTCGTTACGCCTCCAATCATCTCATCGGCCCCAATCACATCGATTTGGCAGGGAGTGGGTTGGACCCCAGCGCTCCTTGCTACATTCCCTCATGTAAAAGCCCTAAAGGTTTGCTGTAAGCCCACACTTAGTTCGGGGCTTGTTTAGTTTACTGCTGCCCGGAATTAATTTTAGTTTGTTACGGTCTCACATGGTGAATAAACGGTGAATAAAATTTAACGTGAACGAACCAAGTTCTACCTTCAGGGACGGACGTTTTGTGTGCCTGTCACGGCGTAATTGCCTTGTGGAAATTTTGCTTCGGGAATATATCCCGAGAGAAAGGGATTACTCGAATTCTGGCAGAATTGACAGATTATGTGATGAACACAAATGTTTTTTTGTAGTTGTACACATTTTCGTCTTCTGTCACGAACGTCGTTCTGTACAATGTGAGTTTGTAACAGGCTTAATTTGTTCTTAAATTATAGTGTTCTTAAGTTATTGGGTTTGCGCAACAAGTTAAGCAAGCAAATACGGTATTTTTCTGGGCTTGCATATCATAGTTTACGTGTCGTTAGAAGTAACCACAGATGTTATCCCAGTTTCAAGACGAAAAGTTTTAAACATTGTCAAACTTTCACCTGATACTCATTACTTCCAATTTTGAACTGTTTCTTTATTTAATATGCGTTAACGAATTCTCGTATGAAAACGTCTTCATCTATCTAATTCCTTCTCTTTGCAAAATAACACATTTTCTGGTTGCAAGAATTATCTTCATAAGGAGAGCTTTCTTTGAGACGATCTTACATTCTATCAAATAGAAATGTAAATTAGGGATTTGAATTCTGAGGTGAGAAACTGGCCAATTCAATAAAAAATTTCAAAGAAAAGTAAATGCGGTCGATTTGAAATGGAGTTAGCTGCGAGCTCAGAAACGTAGGCTTATTTTGAGAAAATAGTCTTCAATTTCGAGTGTGAATCGACCAAAGGAGCTCGATCTAGATTCGTCAACAAGTATATACCACTCTTGGAAAAGTCACCCGGATAAAACGTCTTTTGGGGGCCACTAACTAAGGGATCTTGCTGTTCGGCTTTTTAATTTGCAGTCTTCCCACATCTAAAAAAGTATCAAAAGGTGTAAAACCAATCAAATTATTTATTTAATACCAACCTACTGGCTTGGCAATTGAAGCTTTTCTGTAACTTGTATGACTTCTTAAGCGCCTTTCGTGTTTTTCACGGTCACAAGCAAGGAACGATGGGGTTTATTAACAATCAGATTCATAACATTAGTTTAATAAATTATGACACAGTTGACAACGGTTTGTGTTTTATTGATTTGTGTTCCTTCTAATTAGTTCAAAAATAGAACAGGGCTCATTGCTTTCATGGCAATTCAGTGTTATTCGGGAGAAAGAAAAAATAACGTAATTCATAAGTGATTCTTGCTACGCTCTATTTTATTGTCGTCACCTGAAAGGATTTTGATAGAGGTAGCCTTGTCACATACCCCAATAACACCTCTCAATAGCCTGTGTAGGGCACAGCCTCCCCCTCCCTCAAACAAAATTGGGGAGTTTTTTTTCTGAGTGGAGGGGAGCGCAGTGTAGTCAAGAAAACAGCCGACATTTGGCGACGCTACCACTGGTTTCCCCGTCATTTGGCGGGGAAACCAGCGGTAGCGTCGCCAAATGTCGGCTGTCTTCTCAGGCTAAGCGCAGTGCACATGCTACCTCTTTGGAAAACAGTACAACATATTTTGGACGGCGCCTTGTCCACATTAGTTCGCATTCTTGCTAGCGTACGGGATGCGTTTTCGACTTCTCTCCTCACGAGAACAACAGTTAACGGATCCGTATTATGGTATTAAATCAGTGTTGGCAAAAAGGATAAACATCGTTCTGAGCGTGTTCTTTGCCAGGTGTTAGCCAATGGACACGGGTTGTCGTAGGAAAAATCATGCCCTTTTTAACGTTAAGTCTGGTCTTTCAGCATCGAGTGACCAATTTGCCCCATCGTTACTGGTAATTCCAACTCGAAAGTGTTCAAATTCTCCTTCTCTTCTTCATGCATATTTTATAATTTTCTATTTTTCTTCAACACAAAGTATCAGTCATTTAACTTCAACTCAAACTATTTTTAATCAACAAAAAATATTCATTCAACTTTTGTATTTAAAGTTCCCGGACATTCCTAATGTCTATTCGTCAACAAAAACTGCCCGTCCCCTCCCAAATTCGGTGAAAATAGTTTGAATATTAGAATGAATATTTGTGTTGAAGAAAAATAGTTTGAGTTGAAGTTGAATGAAAGTATATGGCGTTGAAGTTGAATGAATATTTATTTGTTGAATATAAATATAAATCCTTGATTGAAAATATAAAGTTCTTGAATTTTGCTACAAACGGCTAACCATAAGCGCGCATATACATCTCAAATTTTCAAATTAGCAGTTAGCAGTGTTGCGCGATCATGTTGCGATGTGAACTTAGCGATACCCCACATTCTTGACCCCAGTGCTTACTTTAAAGTGCTTACGGGTTTGGGAATGCGCACATGCGCAGAAGAGCTCTGGGTCAACATTGGATAGCTCAGTGTGTACTGTGTGTGTATGGGGATTAACTGATGAGTGGACCAACTACCGTAAAATTCCAAAATATGCCCCGGGGCTTATATTTTTCAAAGGCCCTTTTTAAGGGGCTTATCTTTGGAGGGAAATTTGCGTTTCAAAATCGATTGGGCTAGCCTTATAGTTGGAAGTAAATTTACCGTTTTTGCTTTGTTTTACTTTGCGTTTGAGGGCAATTTTCCAATTACAAGTCCCCGGGGGGCTTATATTTGGAGAGGCGATTTAACGGAGGGTTTTTTACGTTACCGGTTTGGGAGTGCTTATATTTGGAGGGGCTTATACATGGAGGGGCTTATTTTCGGAATTTTACGGTAGGTTAGTCTACGAAACAAATTTGTATTAAACTTCATATGTACTTATACTGAGTAGTCCATCTACTACTATATATGTACATATTTGTTTTTTATTATTTAAATATTTATTTGAAGTTTACTTTTAAAACTCGAGTATAGTTAATTAAAACTGTTTTAGGAGTATACTCATTAACGATGTAAGATTAAAGGTAGATCAGGAGGGAGTTACTCTGCACTGATCAGTGTGGGCTTTCAAGTATTGTACGTTCAGATTGGTACGATGTCTGCGTTTGGGACGCGGTCAGTTTGCAGTATCCTTGCGTGACACAACATTTGTGTAATAACCATCGCATCGGTAGCCTGCAGTGCAGGCGTTTTCTTTTAGCGCGCAATTTGCTCGCGAACGCGCCATGTTGAAACTTCCCGAGGAGAGGAGGAGATGGGGCGAATCAAAGGGAGCGGGGAGGGGGCGAGGAGAGAGAAGAGAAAGCATTTTTTTCTCCTCTCCCCCTCCCCCCTTTCCTTCTTTCGCCCTCGCACCTACCGTAAGGGTTCCGTAAGGGTTACTATTTCTACTCTCCCCAATCTTCCACTGTCATAAAATCAAAGATGGTGGCTACAACAATATCACGAAGACGAACAAGGTTTCGCCTACCCAAAATACGCCTGCACTGCAGGCTAGCCAGCGGAGATTACAGACTTGATAAAATTCGGTGCTTATCTTAAGCCTTTTTCCCAAATCAAAGTTAACGAAGCCGCTATTTTTCCCCTTTTTTTTTAAAAATGTTTTGCCCAAAATTGGAAAATTTGGGAAAGTTCGAAGTGATCGTTTCCCATGTGCCTCTTTGAGCTGACAAGAAGGTCACATGGCTCACTTCTTTGCTTACTCACGCTTTCTAAGGCGTTGAATGTACGCTGCGAATTTTTAGCCCCATATTCCAATACTCTCTGGTTGCTGGAGGAAAGCAAGATGCCAGGAGAAAAGGCCGTTTGCGTTCTGTTGCCCAATGGTAGCGATGTTAAAGGAACCATCCATTTTGAGGAGGTAAGAGAATTTCTAAATGTTGCTGAAAAGCTACAGGTTTGGTAGTAAATAACCATATTGAATGTGTTGCGTTTCGTAAAGTTATTATATCTACTTGACCCTCAGAGTGTTCGTTTAGATAGTGCCTCGCTAGTAAATTATGAGGTAATGAATTATGACTTTAATTTAGTTTCGTCCACTTTCTCCTTAATTTCATGCAATCTTTTATTATTTTTGAATTTGTTCCAATTTGACAACTCCCACAGTTGTTTGATTGTTGGCGGGAGCAGATTGTTGACCATTTGATGACCGTTTTAGTCCTTTTCGTTCCATGTGGATACTCCCGATGCATATTCCCTTCCCATAGTATTGAGTTTGAGCTATTAATTGAATCTTTCCACAGGTTCCACATTTAAAAAATTCTGACCAATCGTGACAGAGTTACGCACATAATACCAAGTAACATGTTGGGGGAAAAATCCACTGCCAATTTTTCTCTTTGCAAATTAGATTTGTCCCTTTCCTGCAAAGTTAGCCAGTCACAATTCCATGCAATAAAGGCAATAAAGTAGGCAACAAAACTGGCCTTAAGAAGAAAGGCAATTACAGGGAAAAAAGAAAATGGGAAAAAAATGCTCGAATTAAATTTGCCAAAAAAAAGTTATAATGTTGGTTTATGAACATTCACAGGGCATTTGGGTGCCTTGTCATTCTTGGGGCAGGGCAGAGCAAAGTTTGTGTGACCCAGAGGTCACCTCAGGATAAAGCATAGAGCATGCATGCCAGTGGGACCTGACATGTCCCTGAGCAAAAATCACACAACACTTATGGGAGTGAGCAGACAGTTGTGAAAACAAACAAACAAACAAACAAAAAAATAAACCCAAATATTGCTTGTTATCCATTTTTCTTTATCCAAGTCTTTCTGTGATAAAAGGATCACACAGATCTACTGGGTTGTTGTGTTGATCGGTGTGGTTTGTTGTTGTGGGTCTGTTTGGCTAGTTCCTTGTCATAGTAACTACAGGAGAGGTTATTTGGCAGTTGGGATGCATTTTCCATGGAGAGGTTCCGGGCCTTTGTAAAGATATTAAAACAAGAGTGAATGTTTAGGGAATCCCCTTTCAGGACAAAGTACTGTGGCTGCTGTGGAGAGATTGCTGTTATTAGAGGTTCAACTGTATTAACCCTTTAAGCCGTAACATCAAAATTCAAATCCCCATTCGCTGTCCCCTTATGTTTCCTGTAAAAGAAATGGCAAGAAGTTGTTGAAGTGTCAACTCATTGTATTGTGTGGTCATCTCCTTTATTCTCATCACCAATCTGTTTTATAAACTATTGAAATCACAAGGAGAATTTTGATACTGATCACACTTAAAAGGGTTAAGATACTTTTATGTGGACAGTGCTGAAAACATTGCTAAAAAACACTTGCATTCTTCCAGTCTTTATCATGATTATTCAACTCACCAACTTCATCAATTATAGGTGAACTCTGCTGGGGTTGAATTCCTAAGAACCATATGAAGGGAGAGAGAAAGAAAATTTTGTCATTTACATCCTCCATAAAACATGAAATAAAAATTAGCCATTTTCATGATGAAGTCATGCAGAGACAGCACAGAAATGTACAAGAATAATGTGCTGCACATGCAAGGTTTCTGAGTTTTCTTTTTGTTTTCCTGATGTTCTCATTGCTGTTGTCATAGTGATGTCCTGAACTCCGTATTTTTATTATTCCACTGCTTTTTCTAGTTAAACCTGAACAGTGTTATTGTGTTGATTTCTCCAGGTTGTTTAAACATGAATTTCTACCTCTTGGTCTTTTAGAATGACCACATCTGTCACAAAGTGCTGAAAAAATGCACCTTTAACTTTCCAGTAATGCAATATCTTTTTCACTGCAGAAAGAGGGCCAGTGTCGGATATATGGAGAAGTGACTGGCCTTACCCCTGGAAAACATGGCTTTCATGTTCATCAATTTGGTGATGGCACAAATGGTATGTATCTCAAGGAAATCGCCTCTTTTCAAAGAAAACAGAGAAGCAAAAAAGGAGGGACTTTAACCTTCATGGTGTGCTTAACCATTTAACTTCAACATTCAATTTATTGTTGGGACTTAAGGTAGTTCTTTTTTCGATTTGGAGGAAATTCTATGGTCTCAGCTGTACTCTCACATGGTACTATTTCTGTAGTGGATGATCTGTGGTTTGACCATTCAAATGAAACCCTCTCATAATTACTTTCCTGTGGTAATATTAATTTGTTCTTTAAGTAAAGGTGCATTTTGAACCATAAGAACAATGCAGGTAGAGCTTCTAATGGTTTAGTAACATGATGCACCTAGGAGTATTGGTACTCTCCCCTAACCAACCTTCCCCCTTCCCCTCCTCTTGAACCCAGACAAAAAGATCCGAAGCCGTGACCACAAGTTGAGACCAATACACCACAATAGCTTTGGCTCAAACTTCCAGTCCCGTTGCTTGCATATTACTCACTGGCAAAATAATGGCTCAGTTTATCCCAAGGGTGTTCTCCCGCCACTTCCCCCATGCCTTTTATTTTGGCATTTTTCATTTTTTCTTGGGAAAGCTGCAAAATTAATGCTTGATGGTGGGGCTAAGTAAATTCATATATTAATTTAACAGCAACATAGTCCAGTTAATGTATTAAACTATGATTTACAGAAAGCAACAAAAAAAGGCAGCAGTCTAACAGTTTTCCAGATTTTTCAGATAGTCAAGTTGTTCTTTCTTTGGAGGATTAATAGAACTAATTATGACATGACATGAAAATTAACTGTGTGGTATAAAAATAATCATTCCCATTATAATGTTTTTGTTTTTCAGGCTGTACAAGTGCTGGCCCTCATTTTAATCCTGAGGGCAAATTGCATGGAGGTCCAGGAGATGAAGAACGGTAACATTCTGTCAGTTTTCGAGCAATAAAATTATTTTGGTTTTTGGCCATATTTAAAGTATCTCCAACATAAACCTTTTTCATAATGCCGTTACGTACTAGATTTTGTTGTTTGTAGGTGAAGTAGCAGGGCACAATAATGTCCTGAACTTTAGTAGTATGTGTATAGTATTATTTCTGGTTGACTCCGATCTTACTGTTTTGGTTTGTGCAGTCATTATGGAGACCTTGGTAACATCACAGCAGATGATAAAGGTGTTGCAAAAGTTGACATAACTGACAAACTTGTCTCTATTGTTGGAAAGGACTCGGTTGTTGGACGCACTATAGTGGTAAGCCAAACATCAAACCTTCATATAACAACTTATCTGCATTGAGGAAGCTTTTTCTTTTCTAAACATTTACAAACTTTCATTACTTGCTGGGCAAAATACAATCCCAGAAGATTTTTAGTGGCTTTGCTAAATGCTGGTTTTCAATGGGTAATTTTTGAAGCAAATGATAATTTTATTACTGCTTTGGGGTTTTTACACCATTCGTCATCTAGAGAACACTGTATTTTTGTGAAGGTGAAAAATCTTGGCAGTGGGGTTATTCCTACAAGTATTTTCTTTAAGATAAACATTATCTGCATGCATGTTTATGGCACAAGTGTAAACAAAGAAAAACTTGTTGTGGTTTAGTTGATTTGACATTAATTAAACCAGTCAAATTTTTATTTTCCTCTGCCTATCAGAAATTGGTCTAAAAAAATTAATCGGAATATAAACGGAGGAATATAAGCATGGCCAAGTGGTTAGGGTGCTAGACTTACAATCCTGAGGCCCTGATTTCAAGTTCCCTGTGACTGCTTGTTGGATTTGTTTACTCTAGCCTAGTCTCTGGTACAACTGCCATCAAGCCACATTTTCTAAATAGTCGACTAGCCTAGCTTTGTGCTGTACTTAAATATTAGTACTTACTAGCCTTTGTGCTGCACTTACTACCAAGTAGTGATCAAAAATCCTTATCAGTGTTAAGCTATTTTCTTCATTGGTAGCTTCTGCTGCTATTTTCCTTTTGTGTGGCTTGTGCCCATCATACCTAGGAAACTCCTTTGCTCTGACTTTTAGTTCATTCACACAAATAATTATACAACTGCTAGTAAAAAACTCCTCTTTAGTCAAGATATTTTAATTTGTCCATAAATTTTAACCCTGTCATCAGGTTCATGCAAAGGAAGATGATTTGGGGAAAGGTGGTGATGTAGAAAGCACCAAGACAGGGAATGCAGGTGCACGATTTGCCTGTGGTGTGATTGGTATAACCAAGTAATTAGCGCTACTGACTCTGGACTGACTCAGGACCTTGTAGTTCATGTTAAGGGCTCAAAGCCTTCAGGCTCAAAGTCTGTAGTAAAAAAGCTAAGAAATACCAATAAAGTTGATTTTATCATTTCAGTTGTTTTGGTGCTGAGAAAATGGTTCAGTTTACTATACTTTGCCCCTGAATTTGAATTTGATTTTTAGATGATATCTTTTATTTTTGTTTTTTCAAAAATTTAAGTTAGAAACACCATGGAACCCTATTGTGAACTGTCAGAGTGCCCTACAACTGGGAAATTCTTTTTGAAAATTGCCATTTTCTGTCAAAGGCTTTTTCTTTACTACACCTTCACTTTGTTGGCCCTAGCAGAACTTTGTTGAAAAAGCCTGTTGCTGTATTGCTAAAGGGTTATGTGTTTCATCTACATATTGAGAGAACAAAGTCCACATAATGTGAAGGTTTGAGCCTAGGAGTCAATTTCATTTCCGGGTGAGCGTAGCCCTGAACAAGACTTTTTTTGACAGTGTCTGTTGGATTATGTTAGTCACGTTTGATGTCCTGCAAAGTTACTTTCTCCTTTGCCATGGTAAGAATTATTACCAGAGGACCAGAAAAATAGGGGGGTGATAAATTTTAGGGTTTTGCACCCCAACTCCCTGTTTTTGAAACAGGCAGTTTTGCTGAGATTCTTTGTTTGGTTATTAAGGGTCTAAAGCAAAATTTAATAAAAAATTGGAAAAAAGAAAAGAGCAGATTTTATTTAAGCGGGGTCTTCACCCATATAGTCATATCAGGTATAGCACAGGTGCCCGTAAATGAAGTAATAACCTTCAGCACCCAAAAGCGCCGGTATCGAGGCGACCAGTTTGTTTGCCGAAATATATTTCATGAAAGGGCAAACAAAAACCTATTGTGCTTAATTTTCACCCCTTACTTTATTATATGGCACGGGCAGTGTGTTTCTTAGCAGGATCTGTCCAAGGATCGTTAACGTTTTCACAAGAGGTATGGTAAGCTTCAAGTGTTCGTACGTCTTATATTAATTGATACCATATTTATATTCATAAAATAATAAAGCACCGAGAAGCCATTTAGCTTAAGCTCCTCCGAGCTTGTTAATGGTTTCCGCAGCTTTTTTGAAGTCGGTGTTAGCGGCCTTTCCTTGTGCGCTCAAAAGGCAATGAAAATAATGGTTTGTGTAAATTTGGCGCCTTTGAAATTGAAGCGAAAATGGCGCGCGAGGACAGTTCAGATAAAATTACATGCTAATAAGCTTATTCTGGTCCATTTCAGGTTTGTTTTAATACGTTAATCGCCGGACAATTGTAATGAAAAACTAGAAATCAAGAAAAATAAGGGGCGTTTCGAGTTTGTCTGTATAATAGAAGGGGCGTAGTGTGAAGGTTTGAAGGTGTACGTACGAAAAGAAAGGCTAGTCCTCCGAAGGTACCTTAAACTAGGGGGGTGTGGGGCACGCTCCCGTAGAAAAATTTTCAAATTTAAGGCCTCAGAAATGGCATTTCCTGCGTTTTCCACCGGACACAATTTTTAGAAAACAAATAATGAAGAAAAAGGCAATAATAATTTAGCTGTGTATTTAACATCTCTAGTTTTAGCGGTAAGGTACTGTGTTTACGGGAAAAAAGGGCAAAACAGCTAGTGATGCCCTCAAGAAGGTTACAAGCAAAGGGCGAGATGTCTGCCCAGATGGGCAAATACACCAAAATAATGAGAGAGGTTTATCAATCATCTTGCTTTAATGATAAAAGTGCTCCCAGGAAATGTGAAATAAACCTTATTCTCAGTTAATTTAACGAACAATCATGAGCCATATTTTGTGAGTATTTAATTTCACGATTTTTAGGGATTTTAAGGGTTTTTTAGATTTCGCAGGTTTGAAATAAACTAGCCCTCCCCCCAGGGGGGAGGCTTAATCAGTAGAGGATTTACAGTAATTAGTAATTGTGATATTCTGTTTGATTCACACAAACTTGAATGAATTGGCTACCCCAAAATGTAGTCCTCAATGTTTGGTTGGAATTTCTTGGAAAAAAATGACCTAAAAATATAATCTTCACCACAAGATAATGTTTCAGGATTTTTGACTTCATGGTAGTCACCCATTGGTGTGGGTGAGGTAAGTTTTTATGGATTGTGAGCTAGTGCAAAACCTAAACAAAATCTGCAGGTTTTATAACAGCAGTCTGATAAGAGGCTGTGGAAAGGTCTAGTGGTTGCCCGCCTTCGGGCGACCAAGTGAGTGAGTGTGTGAGTGAGTCTGATGTTGACAATTTTTCTGAAGTACAGAGGGTGAAGCTGGAAATTTTTCAAAGGGTTAGGTGGGAAATTAAAATCAGAGGGGATGCATGAAATGAACCGTTATCTTTTTCTGATATGTTCACGACTTTCTTGCAGTACCCAGGTGGAGCTTGTGAAATTAAAGGAACATTACATGGACTGACAGAAGGAAAACATGGCATTCATATTCTTGAGTTTGGAGATATTTCACAAGGTTCAATAATACATGACTCTTCATCCTTAACAGTTAATTAGCTAGCAACTCCCTCTGTGAATTTAGGGATTAACTAAAGCTGGATTGGACCTGATCGAAATAACTCCTGTAACTCACTAAATGACAAAAGGTTATAAAAAGGGTCTCGGCAGGGGTTGATTGGGTCCGGTCCAATTCAGGCTTTGTCAACAGCCATAAAGTTGACACCCATTATGAGATTTTGTAAATTTGGTTACAGTAAATTTATTAATTTCGGGAAAAAAAACGTTCTGCATCATTCATCTAGGAGTGGGGTATACTCCCTTGTATAAGTTGCCATTGACCGTTTGCAACCGCTTGACAAGGCAGCCAATTTTTTCTCAGAAATGATTTGCATGAACATTTTATTTTTTGCCCAGTGGACTGAAATGCTTTTCTTCTTGTCAACTAACGTGACTGCTGTGATGTCAATTGCAAATCAGCAAAATTATATAGGCTCATGTATGTGTGACCCCAAAAGGTATGGTTTTCCTCTTTTTGTTCTGAAATTGGGTGATACATTGTTTCAGCCGTTAATTCCTAAGATGGGTAAGGTTGCATTCTTGCTGGAACCACACAGCTGCAAACATTTTGGTCATTAGACAATGTCTGTCTAAAATTGGCTCATGTCTAACAAAATTTGCTAAACTGGCTAAATTTTTTAGATCATGTGTCTTGAAGGGGGTGTAGACTGATGCATTGGCCAATATCTTGGTCAACTGTCAGTCAGCATATTGGACGCTATATCGGTTGAGTGTCAGCCCGGGACTTGACCTGTAGTCAGTAAAGTCCTTCAGTCTGTTGGTCAACAGTCAGTTGATAGTCAGTCAATACTTCATCAAGGATCACCGATATATCAGCACAACTAAGTCAACATAACAGCTGACACCTCCTCCAACTGTTGTTGGACAAGTCAGCTGATGTATCGATTGGCTATTGACTGACTTTCAACCTAAGTGATTACAGGGGCCCAGTGCTATACTCCTAGGAAATCTGGATCACATGTCTTACAGGGGGTGTCGATTGATGTATCAGCTGATATCTTTTCAGTCAACATATCAGTTGCTATATTGGTCAAGTGTCAGTCGAGACTTGGCCAAGTAGTGTTTACTTTTGGTTGAGTATCGGTTGACAATAGGTTGACAGATCGACTGACACGTAGTTGTGATAGCATTGGTAGTGTGTTGGCAATGTATCAGTGAACTGTTGGTTGAGTATTAGTGAGGTATCGCTGGTCTATCAGTTGACAATCAGGATTGCGTGTACAACTTTTTTCCAGCTGCTGTCATAGTCATTTATTTTATTTACATCCGACACATTGTGAAAAGTTTTCATTGGCATTTTTTACTCCATAGGAGGTACTAGTGCTGGTGCACACTTTAATCCACTGAGTAAAAGCCATGGAGCCCCTGAAGATGAAGACAGGTATGATCAAAGTCTCATGTAAAGGTCATTTGCAATTTCCTTTTCTGATAGTGATAGTGTTCTAAGTGAAAAGACTACAACTCATTAGATTCTTATATCTTTTAAATACATGTATTATGATACCATAATTTATGTTATTTTTGGCCTGCATGTGACTTCATTTATTTGGGCTGGTGTATGACCTCTGGCTGCACAGCATCATCCTAACAGTCCCTTTGGCTGATCATCTTTTCTTTCAGAGTGTTGAATTGGGCAATTGGCAAGAAAGCAAGTTCTTTGGCAATTATATTTTTCTTGTCATTGTAGACATGCTGGTGACCTGGGCAACATTGAAGCAGATAGTGAAGGCCAGGCAGAAGTAACCATCACTGATTATGTGGTGTCATTAATGGGAGAATATTCAGTGATTGGGCGCACTTTGGAGGTATGTAAACATCACTGATTCCTTGCAAAGTGAGAGCTCAAGGCCAGAACTTGGGCATCCACGGTCAGTAACGAATCCATGGGTAAACAAAACTGTGACAAACTTGGCCCATTTTTTTTTCAAATCATCTTTGCAGCTTAATTATACATGAACCTTTTAAGTTGGTCATAGAGGAGCTCCTCAAGAGTATTTTGGTTTGCTATAAAACACATAACAAGCTATCCCAATTGTAGGCTTGTCCCCTACACTTTCAGTCATTATTGAAACACTTGCGAACTTCTTCTCCCCTTCTCCTTCAGTGTTGATTTGGATTGCCCAAGCAAATGCACGAAACTTCCATTGGGGGATAGAGAGGGAAGTAATTTGTGTATTCATAGAATGACTTAGTTTATAGGTTTATCTCACACAAAAACTGAATCTTATTAATCCTGCAGTTTCTACCCACTGAAGTCAGAGCGGACTTTCAAAACTATAACTTAAGTTTGAGTCCAAGGACACATTATTTTAGAATTGAAAAGTCAGCCTTTGGTTTTCTCTACAGGTTTGTGAAGGAGTAGATGATCTTGGAAGAGGAGGGCATGAGCTGAGTCTAACAACAGGAAATTCAGGGGCTTGTTTAGCATGTGGTGTCATTGGCATTGCCAAATGTGGAGGAAATATAAACTCCTTACAAAACAGTTCTACTGCAATTCATGATTCCTCTCAAAATAGTTTAAGTGATGCTTTTTGAGTCCTGTGAAATAACATCACTAAAAACATGGAGTTTATGAGAACTTACACTGTAGGCAGTTCTGAGCTCACCCTGCTATTTAGTGAAGTCTCATTTTGTCATCTCGAGCGGGAAGGAAAAAAGGAGGTTCTTCCTGAATTGCACCAAACCCTTTGAGGTTTCAGCAGCCCAAATTTCTGGACTAGTCAATCTTGTTTACTTGCGTCAAACTGGTTTTGTGAGTGCAAGCAGCAAACACATGGCTATTAGGCCTGGGTTTGAAAGTCTAACCAAGCAACATGCCACACATGCTTAGAAAAGATTTTATATGTACTTGATTTATGCAGAGTCTTTCTTGAGTACACCAAAATCAAGCAAGTGAAAGAAAGGTTCTGCTAGGAGCTGAGGGTGAGCTGAACTAGCAATGCTTGCATGGAAGCCAGTGATGACCCACTTCTGTTTTGGGGGAACTAGGAAATCCCTCAGGGGGAATTCCTTAAAAAGGGGACCGGGATGCTCTTCATCCCGCTTAGGGGTGTAAATTGCAAATTTTGTCTGACTTATGGTGTTCAGGACAAAAAGCCAATGTTTTTACCCATACCGGTACATGTATTGCTTGGTGTTCTGTGCAAAGCAATATCTGTATAAACAAATACTGTCATACTGTGTTTAAGACAACACTAACATGATGTCGACATCTTTAGTGCTGTTTAAACCACTGTTTATTTGGTTGTCTGTTTGTCTCTTTGTAGGGACCAAAAGTTTGTGCCACACCCAAACTGGTCTCTTTTCGGGGGTTGATTTTAATTTTCTGCCAATCAACCCTGTCTCTTTTCACATGGGAGTGCCAGGTACCTCCTTGGGAAAATCTTTTCTTTACACAGCACCCAAAATTGAGCACCCTAAAACAGAGCTTGGAACTTTTTCCCTTCCCCCTCCCTGGAAATTTTCTGAGAGTGTAGCTTTTCTTACCAGCAAGGTTTTTTGCTGGTGCTAATGTAAATATCAATTGAATATTTATTTGACAGGATGCTGTAAGTGTCACTTGTCACAATTATTTTTAACGTGTATATACTAATATTCCTTGGTAACTTGTGGCAATTCATTGTAGATTTTTATATGGACTAAGAAAGACTTCTGCTTTCATATCAGTTAAGTAAGCAACGCATGCAGTAGCCATGTTTTTAACAGTTGTAGAAATAAGTTAAATCTTCATATTTATATGCATGTTTGTACAGCTCTATTTATGTTGAAGTAGTTTTATCTTGCATCATGATTTGTATTAAAATGTGATAGATTGTCACAGAAATGAAAAAGTAAAGAAATAAAACATCTGATTTTACTATGATTGTATCATTTGATGTGTATATGGTACCTACAATAAAATTCCTCTAATGTTGTAACCACCCATTTTATTTGTGGTTTCTTGGACACTGGACTAAGGTGGCCCTACTGTATGAGACAAGCCACCTCTGTCTGCCTGGCCTCTGATGGTGGCCATCTTTATAGGTGATTTCTGAGTTGCCCCAAACCTCCATCTTAAAGTGAGGCTAAGTGTGCCATTGATACAGTCGAACCTCTACTAACAGCCACCTCTCCACCCCGGGGGGGAACTCCTCATATGCAACTGGTGGGGATGCTCGTTGTCTCGCTTAGGGGTGTAAATTTTGGATTTTGGTCTCATTTAGGGTGTTCTGGGCAAAACGCCATCATCATTTAGCCGTGAAGGTCTCGTTTAGGGTTGCACACGAAAAAATATAACAATATATATTTGATATGTATATCTTTAATTCGTTTCATTTACTCCTTTCATATAATCCAAGTTTTCTCATTTGTCTGTGTTTTAACATGGCCTCTTTTAAGGATCAAAAAAATCTTGGGCCACGCTCAGATCAGTCTCCTTTAGGGGTTTAATTCAAAATTTCCGACGAGCATTATCCACCCCCGGGCTCTCCACAACAGCCACCACTCTACAGTGGCCACATTTTTTGGTGGACAGTCCATACATTGACTCTTATTTATAAACATCTCTACAACGGCCACTTTCTTCTGTCCCCAAGATGGCCGTTGTGGAGAGGTTCAACTGCATGAAAATGATGTTTTATTCTTATGCAAGTAAAACTCATTTTTGCATGAAAGGTTTTGCACTTAGCCTCGGTTTGACAGTGAGAGTTTAAGAAACTGGAAAATGAAATGGAAATGGGAATGGAAATGGCCCATTGAAAAAGGGGCCTGTCCAGGCTTCTTTAGGATCCCCTATGCAATACCTACCTTGCTATAATTTTTTTGTAACAATTGCCATTAATTTAATTTTTTAGGATTTAAATAGCAAATAAAATACTTCAAAATGTAAGGACCCACTTAAACTGGGATTATTTCTGAAATTTTCAATTTTGGAGAGGAAAGAATATAGTAGAAAAAAGTCTTCACAGCAGGATGAAAACATTTCAGAAATACTTCGAGTTTTGCATGAATTTCTGAGTTTCACAGATAAAAAACCAGTAACAGGAAAGTTTTTTTCCCGTTTGTAATCACTATAACGTCAAAGGTAGACACTTGTTAGAAAGCACAGGATTTGCGACACCCCTTCCCCCCTCCCCCAGAAATATTAATTTCAGTGGCTAACATTTCCGGGAACTAGTTCCAGTCAAAAATGAATAGAAGAATAGTTATGAAAGATGCACACTTAAATCTATATCAAATCTAGAAACTGATGGAAATCACCTGAGGAAGGAGCTGATTACTTAATTGGCTCCTGCCTGAGGTATGTGTATTTGGGGCCAGCTTGGCAGCTGTCAAGGAAAGTCAAAGAAAAAGGCTGGCAAAGACCAAGTTAAGCTCTACACTTAAGCAAGGTGTCTGTCTTATAGCGAATTGTTTTTTAGTATTTCTCCTTTAAATTCTGCAGTCCATTCCATCTCTTCTGTTCTACAGGTGCGAGGGGAGCCTGAGTACCAGTACCTACAAAGTACCCACAATCCATTTAAGCAGTGTGTGTATTTGATGCGACTTGATGTGATTTTCGTTGCTACACAAAGTTCTTTACAATTTTTCAAGCGTAAAGGAAACTATAAGCCGAGAGAAAATGACATCACAGTATAGGGTTTGTAATAATTGAACTACTGGTTGCATAAAAAAGTTACTAACGGGAACTTTCTGTCGCTAATTTTGACCTTCCTCTTTGAAGGTGGCTGATTCAAAACGCGAGGAGTTCAGAAAGTACTTGGAAAAGGCGGGAGTTATGGATGCCTTGACGAAAGGTAACTTGATGTTATTAAGCACATAGACAAACTTGGATTTTTGCGACGTTTTACTTGAGTGTCAATGTTTTGTGTTGACAGTTTTGGTTAATCTGTATGAGGAGCCTGAGAAACCAGCCAATGCATTGGAGTATCCTTTTGAGGTAGTAGTAATTTGAACCACTTGAATATTAAGCTTAAGCTTTACTAATCCATCTGACTAATCCATAACGTTAAATTCTCGCAGATATATATATAACAGCTGACAAACCAGAGACAAGTTGGAGGGCTTGCTATCATAACCTTTGCTCTTAACCATACTATGCATTCCGTCTAACTTGGCTATGAGTTGTATTAACTACAGCCTCAATAGAAATTGTTTGGATACTTTGCTGTCTTCTTGCCCTCCCAATGTTGGTGTGCAAGATTTTGGTTTAACTGCGATCAACAACATTGGGAGGACGAGGAGACAGGCCAGCAGCAAAAAACGGCATTGGGTGGAAGTGTCCCAACTATTTTTGTCTGAGACTGTAGCACACCTACATTACACAAATTGAAGCTTTGTTTATGGTGGAAAGTGCACTTAGCTTATCCAGCTAGTTTACAGGCACTCCACTCAAGTAATAAGAAACAAATAATTCAGATAGTATATAACAGCATTAAAAAACCCAATTGACAGAAGGCAACCAGTTGGTTATTTATAAAAAGAGTGGCTGGGGGTTGAACTTTGTGGTGAAATATTTTTTTATTAGTTAAGTGTGAAATTTTAGGGCTGGCTTAGATGCCATAGTTCGTATGAGCCAAATCATTTGAATTTAGGCCTGCTGAATTGATTTAAAAACAATTATGGCATTTGGTTTGGCTCATATGAAGTTTGACGCCTGATTTAACCCCAGTCCACAGCCATCTTTCTCCAGCTCATTGCCGAGCACAAAATATTTTTGGAGTTAGGTTAATATGTTATCAAAGCCGACAGAAACAAAAACCTTTCGAAAGGAAGCTAGCTTCAAATTTTAAGAAAGTTCCACAGGAAATTTTGATTGCCTTCAGTAAGACCCTTTTAGGGTCAAATTCTGACAAACATCATGGCCTTGACTACTAGTAAACGGAATGGTGATATACAACATATAGGCTAAGGGTTCTCAATAGAATTAGGTGCTGTCGTTGCTGTGCTTAACTTACAGGTGTAACAAATGGTATGCCCCAAATACTGCCCCCAACCCCCTAGCCCATGGCTCAGCTGAGCAGACTTCAAGCCCTGCACATTTGTATGTTTGGAGCCCGCAATCCTAATATCCAGGTTGTTATTACGCATGCATTGCATGTATGTAGCCAGCATTCATTTGGACTTCCACTAAGAGTGAAAGTAATGCACAGAATGCAATTTGATCACGCACGTTGAACCTTCTTTCACTTGCAATCTAATCCTGGGTGTTTTGACTATCTGTCACTTGAAACTTGCGCAAAGCACAACGAAGGAGCAAAAGCATTTTGACCTTCTATAGTTGTCACCTGCACTCCGTAACCTTTGGTTATTACTAGTTCTTAATATTCTTGATGATCTATTGATTGTACTTAGTGTGGGTAGAATCCTAGTATATTGTTTTTGGAGTTCATAATGATTTTCAGTAAACATTGAATTGCCATCGCATTTTGACTTTTTAAAGTCTTTTCTTTACTGTAAGGTCATCTTTAGTCTTTATAGTTTAAAGTAATCAGTCTTGTTTGAGATTGTCATGACTTAACAATGTGCTACAAGCTTTATGAAAGAACATCTTCATGGTGGTCCACCAGAGACAGCTGACATTGAAGCCTTAAAAAATGAAGTCTCTGATTTAAGGCAGAAGGTCGAGCAGCTGACAGCAGAAAATACAGAGCTAAAACAAAGGGTAAGTATGAAAATTTGTTCAAGTTTCCCTCAGGCCCTCTATACATGTGTCAGCAATCATGCAAGGCTAAATGATAGGCCCACATTCCTGCAGTAAACTTTACAATAAAATATTGTTTGTTGTTGTTTTGAAAACCTTGCATATTACAGTGTTGCAGTCTAATCGACTGGTTGTCGGAGTTGACAGGGTTTGCTTTCTTAGTAGGAACTGTTCCTTAATAGTACACAGTGCATTAAATGCCTTTAAGGAAGGCTCTTCAAACGTAAACTCTTTTAACGAATCATATGGTACAGTGATGTAAAACTATCAAAATTCTGGATCATCAAGATAGAAATTAAACTTTCAAGGTATCCGAAACGTTTTCAAAACTTAATATTGTGTTTTTTAAATCATTTTTATACATTATGTGAACTTGAATTCAACATAAATGACAGTGTCTATATTTGAAATTATCGCATACAACAGCACAGGATCATGAGCAAATCAGAGGTGAACCATGACAGGCATTTAAATCAGGCCGCCACATAAATGGAATTTGTTTTCTTGCATGCCTTTTCCCTTAGGCTGAACATTACAGTTGGTTTTCTGCCCTTTCATACCCCCTCTAAAACTCAGCAGATGTCAAATCTGTTAGGGAGTCTTCCCCACCCCCACAGTGTGCTTTCCATTTATTCAAGCATACCTCTTTTTAAATCCATAATAATGGATTAAGTGATTGTTTGAGCCAAGGTTCTGTCTCAGTATTTTGAAGCTTTGGTTCACTGTGTATTTTACTCTTACTATTATTATTGTATGTTGCTTTGTTCATAAACTGTATTAAAAGATTCCAGGTCAATAAATTTCTACCCCCCCATTAAAATGGTTTTTAGCCTGCAAAGATGACCTTTTTTGACAACAACTGAAAGTAATTTAACCATAACAGATCATATCACTATCTGATACAAAGAAAAACATTGATCCAAAGCAACTATCGTGGGCACCAGCTACAACTCCTGTAAGTCTTATCCAAACTCACTCCAATATTTTTGCTATTTTCTTTGCTTCTGAAGCACAAATGTTTTCTCGTTTCTCTGATAAATCACTTTTTGACAGTTTTATATGAAAATATTTTTGTTTAAAAGTGGATGATTTTTTACTTGCACATCTTTTGCATGTTAAAATAAAGACTTGTATTTTTTGTTATTAATTCAATTAAGACATGGCAAGAAATAATTAATTGCCTGTTATCACGACTGTGAATAAGTTTTTATAACATTTTATTCTTTTGGTTTTAATACTGCGCAATGTTTACTTCATCCTGAATAAGTCAGATGTCAGTCATATATATTTATTATCAACTGAATAGAAATATAAACTCGCTAGTTTCTCATAAAAAAGTTCACAAAGTCTGTGAGTCAGTTTAGTTGTCCCTAATCAAAAGTTAACCATGCCTCACTGTGGGGTCAGACTAGAGGTTGCCCTGTGATTGTGATTTGTTAACTATAATTATAAATTTTTATTTTTCCCATGGTAAAAAGTTGCTGCAGTCATAAAACATTGTAGTTAATAAACAACTAGCAAAACCACAACAACAGTAAACAAATATAAATCTATTCATTGGAGACCAATGTAAAATTTATTACTTTTATTCAGCCTGATCTATGTTCATAATAAGGAGAAACTTGCTAAATAACTTTAAACTAGATTCCAAGCCGCTCCAATAGCCGTAGGTCTGCAAGGACCCCTGCTCCATCTATACCACAGCAGCAGCAGCAGCCAAAAGTTGAGTTTTTTGAGAAGCCATTAGTTGAGCTCTCTGAGTAAACTGTGAGTAAAGTTTTCCATGTTCACCTTGTTTTATTTTTGCACTACTACACAAATTTTTTTGGATTCATGAAAAAGCAATTTTGTATTGTAATTCTTCTGCTGTCAAATTCTATAGCTCAGCTATTAATGTCTGTTTTAGTTACAGTTTTAGGCATGAAAGAAGCAGTTGTCATAGTTTTCAGTCCTGCTTCACTTATTTGCACGTAACACTTTTTCAACATTAGCTCTATTAAGTTATTTTTTAAATTAATATTTGCTTAGTTAAACTTTCAACAATAATATTTTAACTTTGCAAAGACGTTACATACGTGGCACTTGCTGTGACTTGAACCCAATGTTTTTTAAAAAATTCTTGTCAATATTTTAATATTGTTTAAAATGTATATAGGCTCCTTTAATAGGAAAGGAAAGGTCCGCCAAGTTGGTACCAGATGCTTGATGTTTTTAAAACTTATAGTGCAAACTGTGAGTTTACTGAACAACTTCAAAAACATATACAACAGTACTGTTTATTCATTAGTATAATCCTTAAGTTTCAAATTGTACTGGCAAAAAAGTCAATAAAATTCAGTTGAATTTCAAAATGTTTTAAGTGCCTAGGTCGATACTGCTTATAGTAATAATAATAGTAAAGTCCGAATAGGGATTTCTCGGGCTTTGAGGCCATTCTTTGCCCTGCTGAAATCTCAGATTTGTCCATGGTACCCTGGCAAAATAATGAAAAATGAAAATCAGTCTTCTAAACTGCAAGATTGGTATTAGTCCAGCGAACTGAACTTTTACATCTGTACTTACTCGTAACAACTGAAAATTTAACAAAAGCACACTGGCCCTGTGGGTTGTTGCACCAGTCTTAGGAGATTGAAAAGCCTCCTGTCTCACACCTGGGTAAGCTTATAGAATGTCATTTAGGGCCAAGTGGCAGGGGGATGTTAGGGACTTCCCCCACCCACTACAAAGCATAACCTCTGACATAATAGGGGACAAATGGAAAATAGAACCAGGAGAACCCCCAAACTGTTTAAACTGTACTAATTGCATGTACTCGGCAACATGAAATAATTAACAACTATTGGACGAGGTTGAGCAAAATATCGTGATTTCTCGGTGGCGAGCAGATCAATTATTTGCCAAAGCCTGAAGGCCAAGGCAAATAATATTGATCTGCGAGACAGATGAAGAAGTGATCTGCCATTTTCACACAAGAGTGATCACAAGAAGGAGAAAAGTGTGATTTCTTTTACGCATGAGCAGAATATTATTAGCAACCAAACACAGTTGGACGACATTGCACATGAGCGGACCATGAGCAGTTATTGCTCAAACTACACTGGAGAGTTTTTGTGAACTAGCAGAAAAATACAGGTGTTTAAATTAGTAAACCTAGAATACTTTAAATCTGTTTGGTAAAGAGTTCTCAACTAATTTTTTCACATCTGTACCCAGCAGGGACATCAAGGCTGTGCTCTACCAGTGCCTGGTGGCCGCTGGCATCTTAGGCGACTAGAAAAACTTAGTTTTTTAATAGAAATCCTATGCTGGGCACCCCAGATGTCACAGGTGACAGATGAGCAGAGATGAGCACCAGGCTACCTTTCATTTTTCTTAGAGCACAGCCTTGGACATGCTTAATTATCATGTTAAACTCATTGCCAATAGATGAGCTTGGGAACTGGTGCCTTAAAGGTTGGAGGGGAGCTTGAGCACCTCAGCCATAGCAAGGAGGTATCCATGGCAACCCTGCGAGCAGGAACTACCCTTCGTGCTGACACCAACTGGCACTGTCACTCTGAAGGAATTCAGTGGAAACTGCTCACCTGACCCCATACTTAACAATGCACAAACCCAAAAAAGAGGGGGAAGGGGTGGGGGCCAGAATCTGCAAAGATTCACTTTAACACCGGGGCCCAGTTGTTCGAAGGCCAATTAATGCTAACCCAGGGTTAAATTTTAACCCGGGTTTCTTTTCCGTTTGTTCAAAAGCATTTTTCCTGGATAATTTTCACTCTTCTTTTCAGAGCATCCAATCATCACATTGTTTGTAGGCAAAAGGAATAAAACAGAATTTACATTTTAAGCTTTCCTGAATCAAATTTCCCCACTAACCCTGGATTTACTCAACCCTGCTTTGAGCAACCTGGCCCAGATTGGCAAAGGTCAGCTCATAAGGCAAGCATGAGATGTAACATAAGTCAAGATAAGCAAAGGCCTCTGCTGTCACGCCACAGATCACGTACACTAGAGGAGACCACATTGGCTTGCAATTTAACTTTGCCTAAATTACATTTAGCCACATATAAAATGGAACATGAGCAAAAGACCTTTATGTTATAAACCTTTGGCACAGTCTTACATCAAAATTCTATCGTAATCACACATGCAGGGTCAAACATAACAGGCTGACTGGTAATCTCACTAGCCATGGTGAAATTTTGCAACCTTGACTTGTTTGAAATATAATGTCATCCAAAAAATTCTTCGTGGATTAGTGGTGTTAATCAGTAGTCATTATTTTCAAATCCTGTCGTGTTTTCATGAAGTTTTTACTAACAGTTCTTGTAATACCTTGCATAGTGATTAATTTAAAGAGCTTTAGGGACCACAATATATACTGTTATCCCTAGTTTGTGTTAACCAAATAGGTCTATCTAATTCCATGTACGTTTATTGAAATTGGCTGAATTCAGTCAGTTCTGAAGTGTACATGGCCTACTGAAAACATGTAGATTAGAGTAACTGGTAGTTGAGGGTGAGAATTTTAAAATCCTCATTCTCATTAACTTTTGCCTTCTTGACTTTTGAAACAAGAAAACCTTCTGTTTGTGAAATTCATTATTTTAATTATTCATTTTTCTTTCTTTCAGTTACAAGCCTAAACCTATGAACCACAAGAATGTCTTGCACAGGTTCTCACCAGGATTTTGCCTTGGGAGTCCCAGGGCCCCTCTTCTGAGAGGATAATAATAAGGTGATCCAGTATAAAAGTCTAAGAATTTGACTCATTTGTCAAACAAACAGAATGCTTTAGTAATTAAAACTACTTAAGTCCGAATATTAATTTTGATATTATTTATATTATTTAGGATTAGTTTTTAATTCAGTTAATATGTAACTATGTGTAATCAAATGGTGATGAGATAGGCTCAGGAAATTATTAGGAATTGGACAAAACGTGCATGAAATTATTCCCTAATTTCATGAGTATACTATTTGATTACCTATTAATATCATGGGTGACGAATTGTGTTAGCAATTGTGAATTTTTGACATTATTCCTGTATCGTATTGATCGAGAACTCCACTCTCTCAAATGTTTAGACCTTAAATTTGGCTTAGGTTCAGAATTTTCAAAATTTTTTGACAAAATACCTGTTAGAATCCTTCTTGATGTGCTCTTTTGTGTGTTAGGTTCTCTAAAGTGTCTTTTTGTGCCCTGACATCTTCATTCACGGCATTTAAAACTTCGTCACCATCTTGACACTGAGACAGACGGAAGGTTGCCATGGCAATTTTGTAATTTCACATGTGAAAGTTAGAAATATTAAGGTTCAAATGGCTTACTCTCATAGACATACAGTCACACCTCCCATAAACCAATTTTTTGTGGGTGCTTTATACTGTTGTATGAGAGGTTCCAATTTAGAAGGCTTTGACTGAAAAACTGATAAATTTGGATAGATGGTCACACATAATCAGTTTCCTCGACTTCCTGCTGAGTAGTTTATGTATTAGGGCTGTCACAGAAAAAAAGACATGTTTTTCAAACTTTGTGTGTATTTAACAATTATTCCTCAAGCGTGAATGGGCTCTGAGTCAATGGCCCATGAGGCCGAAGGCCAAATGGGCTATTGATTCAGAGGCTATAAGGGCGAGAGGAATAATTGTTTTAGTAAAATCCAACTAGTTGGTCAAAAATATAGAGAATAAAAAAATTTTAGCTAGTTTATAAAGCTAGACTTTACTCCTGTTTTGCTGCCAAAAAGCGCACGTTTTTCGCTACTAGTAGGCTATAACATATAGCCCAGTAGTAGCTCAACCAATCAGAATGTAGCATTGATAATAGACCACTAGTTGGATTTTACTAACATTGAATAGCTACTAGCCAAAGGTTATAGTTTGTTGGCAACAATGGTATTTGATTTCTTGCAGCAAATACCTGCTGTTTGCAAGCACAATAAATAAAAAGTAATTCCCAGATGGCAGGCTATTATTTAGGACTGAGTTTGCTTGTATATTATTATTTCTTTATTTGCCTCATATTTTAATGTTATCAAAATATCAAATTTCAACTCATTGAAGTGAGATTAAGCCCATTGAAGCCAATAAGGCTTAAGATGAAAGGCAGTGTGGCTGAGTGGTCAGCTCATTGGACTCACAATCTGGCAGTCCTGAGGTTTGAATCCTGCTCTGACCACTGGATTTGTTCTCGGTCATCCCAAGTTCAAATTCTCCGCCACACTTGTAAATAGCCAACTGATTGCCTCAGGCCAGTTGGGGTTAATCCTGTTATGTTGTATTTGAATTATTTGTTTCAAAAAAAAGAAAAAGAAGCCAATAAGGCTATAATGGGCTATATAACAAAGGAACCTTGTCATCTGTGAGTTAGGTTTCTATTGTTCTTGTCAGAAACTTTTTTCGTGTTTAGCAAAAAAGTGAAATCTTAATTCTTCATTTGTATCTTTTGCAGGGAGAGTAGCAAGGAACAGTACAGTTCATGCAGTGTATTTGTCACTTGTCTTTTTATTTGTAACAAAATCAGTTTTGTAAAATATAGAGATTCAAATGGCTTGTTAAATGTGATGTGAAACTTGTTATTAGTGTTTAAGGTCCCCCCTCCCTCCAAACTCTTGACTAGCTACTCACAATAAAAGTACCTAGATTATGCATTGCTTTGGTGTGGTGTATTGACCATTGCAACCGAATTTAGATACTCTCAGTCAATATCATCTAATATAACCAAAATTAGAGGCATGACAATTGATTCTTAGTAACAGCCAACCCAATTGTCCTTTTATTGGTCAGCATTGACTGTGATGCAGGGTTCGCACAGTCTTGAAAAGTCCTTGAATTTTAGGGGAAGTCCTTGAAAAGTCCTTGAATTCCATTTTTCCTTGAAAAGTCCTTAAATTTCTGTGCAAGTCCTTGAAAAGAGCTTGAATTTTCTTCAACTTTGAATGTAGTAGCCTGGAAAGAATTTTTTGATGCTTTTTGGTTGTCCAAGACAGAATATAAATCGTAGCTCAGTGAATGTAAAGGTCATTTACATAAAGTGCGCCATGTTTTATGCAATAATTAACTATCAGTTTAAGACAAGTGAACTGAAAAATGTAGAGAATTTGGTGAAGGAAACAGTTAAAGCCTTAAAGTCTTATTATACTGGGAATATACATTTTTGTACAATCTGTGAAATTATATTCCTAGTAGGTTGTCCTTGAAAATCTAATGTGGTCCTTGAAAAGTCCTTGAAAAATGGTTGCAATTTTTTGTATGAACCCTGTGATGTTGTTGATGGCCTGTTGGTCAACTATTGGTTGAAGATCAGTTGACTGTTTGTCAAGCCTTGATCAGTACCCAACCGAGTTGATTGACATCAATATTAAGGACCAAGATCTAAAGCATATAAGTAAAAGCAGTTACTGAGCTTTTGTGTTCACTTAAAAATACACTTGAAAATTGTAGCAGGGGTTGATGACTACATAGCTGTACAGTTTACTCACAGTAGAAATGCACAGAATTGCTTACATTTTAGATTTTGTGTCAGGGGCAGATCTAGGGGGAGGGTGCAGGGGGTGCACACCCCCCCTGACATGACCTGCGGTTTTCTAATACAACTGGTATTCTTAAAAAAAAAAACTATGTGGTTTATTGGTGTTGAAGTAGAGCAAGAGACGAGCGCACCCCCTCCTAAAAATCCGCCCCTGTGGATCCGCCCCTGTGTGTGCTTTGGGATCGCCCGCCTCGATTAGATTTTTCTATTTGCAGGGGAACATTAAACTCTATTGCATTGTTGATGTGTTCCTAATAAAGTTTGTTAATTGTTGTTGTTGTTAAAATTTTTAACAGTGTCTGAAAAAGTCATATTCCAGGTTAAATGTTGCATAGCGCTATCCGCCAGATAAATCACTATCCAGCGGATAAGTACAAGGGAAACCAATTGCATTCGATTTATCCGATGGATAGTGTTATCCACCTTTTGAACAACTGGGGCTGGAGCACAACAAGAAAAAAACTACAAGGATTGTGTTTATTTGGTTCACTCATAGGTACTAGGGTGTACTTAAAAGTGTTGATGAGTTAATAAAAGACTGGCCTGTTTAGCAAGTGTTTTGGCTTGAATTCATTGAGAAAAGTTTAACGGGAGAGAACTGGCACAGAAACACTTGCTGCACAGGCTAATTAAGGGCCACCTACTTTTGCCACTGTGCATACTTCCTACATATCACAGGGGAAATAATTAGACAAATTTGACCCTACTGTTTTAGATTGGTACACGTACCTCTTTTTTTTCGGTCCTGCTAAACTTATTTTGCACTTAAAGCTTTTTCACCTTTAACTCTATTTTACTTATTATTAATTTTTTTAAGTGACAAGATTTATTGCTGAGCTATGGCCTATGACTTTGTGGGATAATAGGTTATAATAGAGCTTTACTGTCAAACTCAACCCTGTTCCCGAGGCCTCTTTTCTTCCTGTCAATTACAGTGACAGAGCGATGGGACCAGATAGGAGGAAGAGACATCCTGGGTATGAGCTAAGTGTTGAAATAAGATCATCATAAACACCCGAAATATTTCACTTCTTAACCCATTCGCCCCTGAACCGCCCGTGCGGATCCAGCTCCTTTCTACCCTTTGTTACGTCATCAGTTTTAACGGTGAAGGACAACTTTCTTCGCTAACTTCTGTAGAGTGAAGAGATCTTTCAAACCATACCAGAATGAGCACAATTCAGTCAAGGACACCGGAGAAAGAAGCAAAAAACTACGTGACATTGACCTGAAAATCTCCATGAAAATCTTGTTCCATTGCCCTCCTACCTTTCCTTTCACCTAATCCTAAGATCGTAAAAGCTTTCCTAAAAACTCTTCCCACCAAAATGAAGCCTACTAAAAGCCCAGCAAGAGAAAAAAAGAATGAGGCAAGAAAAGGGAAAAAAGAAGGGAGGAGAAAAAGCGAAAAGTAAAAGTCAAGACTGCTGTGTCACTTTTAAACCCAAAAACTATGTCGAAATTTTGCTTTCTGCGCATGCCCGAACTTCGCAAGCTGATGTTTTGCATCTGGCTCAGAAGGCCGTCAAGTGTACGACCTGTAAAACGGTTTGTGCGGTTATCCCTTCCCTCAACAGGGCTTCTATAACTTCTGAATATATTGAAATATAATCTCAAGAACTCTTAATTTTTAAGTTTGCTCTCAGATTTTACCATTCATGACCCCTTTACCCTTAACCCTATATTAAAAATTCTCCAGACTGATCTCCATACTTTTTCTTCAAAAATGAGAGAATTAATTTGATAAAAGATCAATTAACCCAGTTTTCTAGGCCGATAATTATGTTTTGCCATCTCAATTCAGTGATCCAGTACATAATGTCAAAGTTTTCATTTTTAATACTGTCTCATATGTGGAAGATTAAAACTGATTTCTGTCCCCTTGATAATTTATTTGGCTGTGTATTCAGTCACTTTTTAGTAACATAACATTGCATAAGTACGCTGCGGGTACAGTCACTCAGTTAAACCAACACAGGCATTAGTTCACCTGGAACTGTGATAGTACAGCAAGCAAATCCTTCAATTCCAACAGGCAAACTTGCTACTTCTACCCACTCACATTGATTTGTGTCATAGCATTCAATACTTCTCAGCTCTCTATTATTTTTATTGACTCCACCAAGGAGAAAAATCTTATCTCGAATAACTGTTGCACCAGCATGAGATCGAGGCTGTAGGCAAGGAGCAATAGCTGTCCAGGTATCATTTTCAGGGTCATATACTTCACATGATGCCAGTTTAATGGGAGACTCTGAAATGTCCTCTCCTCCCATTACAAATATTTTATCATTCACACAAACAGCAGAGGCATCAGAACGTCGCTGTTTCATAGGGGCAATCTCAACCCATACATTTCTGTCTTGATCATACATTTCTGCTGACATCAGAGGAATATCATCATTACTAGAATATCCGCCAATTGCATACAGATGGGAGGTCCCTGCAACTACACAATGTCTTGTGCGAGAAACACTCATGGACACAACACACTCCCACTGGTTTAATTTTGGCTTGAAACGCTGGACGACGCTTTGTGGCCAACCATCTGCATCACGTCCCCCTACAGCATAGAGGAATCCTCCAAGCACAGCCACGCCCACACCAGCTACTTCCTTTCGCATTGACATTACACTTGACCATGTGTTACATCTTGGGTCAAAGAGCTCCACACTTCTTGTTAAACTACTGGTTTTTGTAGTCCCTCCCATTACATACACTACACCCTCATGTACTGCAATGCCATGATTATTTCTGGGGGCCATCATTGGTGTCAGCTCAAACACTTGCTGAATGCTTGGCATAAACACCTTTGTAGAAGAAGTGACATCACAATTTTCCTGCCAACCTCCCACGATGAGAATTGCCGTTTGGCACGCGCGAGGCTGGAAACATAGTTGACCTGTGCTTTGACCTGTTCCCCTCGGGCAAGAGAAATATTCTTTAGCCGCGTTGACAAGGCGAAGACAAGATTCATCTTTCTTCACTAACTCCTCTTCTTGCACTTGTGTAATTAAAAAACACCTCGCTAGATAAATCAGTCGAATGTATGGAAACAAAGTAGAGAAATGCTTCTTACGTGTTTTCAAATCATGCTTCGTCCATTTCAGCACAGATTCGAAGACCTTTTCCTCTCGGGCGACAAGGTTGTCACTAGCTATTATTGCAACCAACTGTTCTATTCCGAGCGTTTCAAAAGCACTGTTGGCTGATACTGCCACAAAGTTCTCGAGGATGTGTTTTTGTGCACTGTCGCGTAATTCTCGAACATTATACTTTTCTGCCATGTCCAACAGAAATAAACAATTTTCCGAGTTCAGATCGCTAATCAGAAATTCACAAGCCTTCTGTTTTAAGTCAGTCAAAATTAAAAAGTCTGCACCAATAGCAACGTCAAGAGCATTTTCTCTTTCGATTTCTATTCCGCCACCATACATGTAATTGAGTACTTGTTCCAAGTTTTGGGTTCGAATTCTTCCATGTGTACGGTATTTTCAGTCTTTTCTTTCATTTCATTGGCGAACAATGCCCTGAAGAACTCGCTGTTTGCCGAAAGGACGTTTCGATGAGCAGGGAAACAATTCCCCTGTACATTCAATGTCACATCGCAAAGCGTTTTTTCCTTCCGAAACTCATTTAATGTGTTCATTATTTTGCTGCAGAAAATCGCCCCTTGTGAGGACATGTTGCTGGAAGAACTTTGGTTGAAATGAGTCACTGCACCTGTTCGGATTTTATCATCATCGGGAAAGCAATGTTTACATTCAGCGGTGGCGGGAATCAGCATAAATAGCGGGAATTTTACCCAAGCCCGTCGTTCGAAAAGCATCGCATGACGTCTCGCATGGCCGTGTATTCGCTTTCCCGCGAAATGGATACATCAAAACAATTTTAATTTTTGATTATACTATCAATACTTCTCTTTCATAACGTGGCAACGTTTCATCCTAAGTATTCTCCTTCTTATTAGCTTTCTCCTTCAGTTAAGGCGGATGTTGGGCGCGTCTAAACCGCGGACTCATCATCACGCGAGGTTTTGTTTTGTGCCGCTGGCGTGTGAAAAGAAATGTGTGGAAATGCTCTGTGGGTGTCTACACTTTCCTGTTCAAACAACTTTTCTTTTCTTTTATTTGTTACTGTAGTCAATTTTGCTTTGTCTGTCGCTCCACCAGGCAATGCAGTTACAAATTCAAGAAGGCGCAAGGCTCGTGCTTGCCACTGTCACGGAGTCTAACACTATCGCAACGTACGATGGGATAGCCACACGCCAAGCTGGGCGGCCATCTTGCTTTCTCTTCGTACTGACAATGGCGTAAAATTAATGTGCAATTTCGGATTAGTTTCAAACTTTAGAAGCCTTGCAAAATGGGGGACATGGAAATTGTTAGACAGTTCAATAGCGAAGTATGTATATCATCATTTAAGCTTGTCCTTGCTTGATTAATGTTGTTTAACACGTTGTTAGGAGGACGTGTTTGTGTTAATGCTTCGTCGAAAGTATATGCTTCGATCTTTTTTCAGCTGTCAACAATCTATGAAACCAAGCCACCTATCTCGAAAGCGAAGGTAGCTTCAGTTACCAGGCTTGCTGTTAAAGCCATCAAGGTAGATTTTGTCCTTCGATAAACTTGTTTTTGCGGAAAAAAGTGGATGTTCGCAAGGGTCCAACTTCTAATCATTGTGGTCTCATTGCAGTATTACAAGCACGTGGTGCAAAGCATCGAAAAATTTGCACAGAAGGTCAGTTGAAAATATTGTTTGACTGAAGCGGTATTGTACATTTTGATTAGTAGAAGGGATTGTGTTTAACTTGAAAAGAAACTCGTCGAGTAACTTTCGTCATGTCTTGTTTTCAGTGCCGACAAGAGTACAAGATTCCGGCTCTTTACGTAATTGATTCGGTGATAAGGCAATCCAGACATCAGGTAATGGTTGGTCTTAATATACTGATTGAAGAGATCTTCGTCATAAAATCAAGCAATGTTTGTGTATGTGTATATTGTGATAGATATTTACAGAAGGCTTGTGTTGTAGGTTTTATATTATGCAAATTATTGTGCGAATTTTATCATACTTCCTCCAGATTTCATTTGTTCAAGAGCATAATATACTACTTCCCTTCCTCTTCCTGCCTATCTTTGTCTTACTTCCTGTAATAGTAATAACATCAATGAGTTAAAATTCTGCTCTGGCCATGTGGTGATTTTATAATATGCAAGCTAAAACCAGCTGACTTTTTCTTTCTTCACCAATGGTTAATAAAATTCTTCTGTATTCAGAAGTGACCTTTCTGGATACCGCTTATAAAAATAGACCCTCCCACTTGTAAGAGCATTGCGGCTTTTACAAATGCTAGAAGGCTGGGGGCAGAGGGATGATGACAATAACATTGTGTTACCTTTGGTAGGGTAGATGTATTTTTTAGAATTACAGTAGTATCCCAATTTCTTGAATCCTCACTTTTTTAAAGCAAATTGTGTTAAGGTTGGAAGGGGTTCATATCCAGTACCAGTAAAAACTCTGTTAAGGTATATGGATATGAAACTAACCCCTTGTCTGTTGATTTGTGTGACATTAGCTTAACCTTCCCTACGAACTGCAAAATGTATTTTAATTATTTTGGTTAATTTTGTTTCAGTTTGGGTCTGAGAAAGATGTGTATGGACCAAGATTTGCAAAGAACCTCACTCTAACATTTCAGCATATCTTTAAATGTAGTCCAGAGGAACAGGTATTTTTAAAAGATTTTTATGACTCTACAGTCTGTCTGCCTTGTAAATATGCTAAGTTATTTTAGCTTGGTTCTAATGGACCTTTCCCACATTCTGTAGCTCCAGGAGATATCTATACATCACCCTCAGAAGATATTTTTCTTAGACTCCCCACCCTTCTGGAAATTCCAATTAAGCTTTATACATTTCTTTTAACTTTTTGGGCTTCGAGATCCTCTCCTCACCCAGGAATTTCCAATCCCCTCTGTGGGGTTGTATGGAGATTTTCTGAAACTACATATTCCACACCAGTGGGCAGGGGCGTAGCAAGAAAATTTTTTACCAATGAGTGCAAAAATGTCATGGCTTTTGTGTGTGTCGAAATTGTAAAAACTAGCCTGTACATTTTGTTTTAAAGGAATGATTTCATTGTGGATCAAAAATCCTCGTTTTGGCAAAACCATTTGTGAGACCCTGTGTACATGTCAAAATATAACATGATCTCGCAATCGATCATTTTTAAAAATCTCAGCCGGTGTGAGGTTGACTGGTTGGCTATAAAACTGTTAATTGCACATACAATTGGACATCATGATATTAAATCTGAACTTAAAGCTACCCTTAAACCAGTCTTAAAAGCAGTGGTCTTGAATACTTAAGCCTTTGGTAAGGGGACAGTAGTAACTGTGTTTTATTATTATTATGATTATTATTATTATTATTTATTATTATTATTATTACAGGGAAAGGTGATCAAGGTACTGAACTTATGGCAGAAGAGTGGCATTTATTCTCCCGAAGTCATTCAGCCTCTCCTGAATTTGCCATCATCTTTGTCAGAAGGTAAGAATGATCTGAAAAAATGACTTTAAAAATGTGACTCTCCACTGATAAAACTAAGCTTATGAAGTTTTGCCATAAGCATGAAATAAATAAATAAATAAATTACCGGCACACTGCTTGAAATCAATTTTTTTTGCTGTGAATTAAATATTTTTACTCTGGTTTCACTCTACCTGTTAAATATCATTTCACTCTTTTTATGAATTTGATCAATTTGAAAAACAAAATTAATAAGAGTGAATACATGTATTTTCATGGCATGACATTTATGATAAGAAGCTGTACTTTACAGTGGTGAAATTTATTAGGTGATTCCCTTGGAGTTCCTCCTGCTGTTATGGTTGTAGTGTTTTCTTTTGCCTGACGTTTGAAGGTTGTATTTTGCACGGTTATTTTCTCAATTACAATGTTTGTTTGTTGAGGCTGGGGAATGTTTCCATATGTACAAGTGCTTGCTTAGGTTCTACAATCACAGACAAAAGTAGTTGGGAAGGCTGTACAACTTAACAGTAGTCCATTTTAATCCTGAAAAAAGAGAGTTTTCTCTTTTGCTAAATATCCCCCGTCCCCCCTGTTCAATGTTGGGATATACCAAAACAATTATGCACACAAACATTAACGTTTTGATCAACATTGGGCCAGGGGCAGGGGGAGGAAGGAAAAGAAGAGGTAAAAAAGGCAACCTTCCCAACACTTTTGACGATGATTGTAGGAGAATAGGAAATCAACTTTAAACGCTTATAAAACTTGTCGCATTTAACATCTGATTGAGATATCTCGCCCTGGAACTGTGCTGATAATGCACTTTCCAAAGTATATAAAAAATACAATAAAGGTTATATTTCAGTAAAATCATAAATAGGAGAATTTTGCATCTGACGTGCGTGACATTTCACAGCGTGACCACAAAGTCCACAGGGTGAAAACGCTTTCTTTTAAGAACGTCAGAAGAAAACATTTAAGGCCTTTAATTTTTCTCATAAACCAAGAGACGTTTTCTTCGCATGGGCTACATAGAAAGAATGGCCACAGGTGGTCTGTTTCACTAGATTTAACGAAAAGTCATGAGGGTATTTTTCAGCAAAAAATGGTATACAATTGCTGTCGTTGTCATGTATACATGTATCTTTTTCATCAGCGGCATTATTCCTGGTTAACTTTTGCCGTTTCCTATCAGCGAAATATTTTGAAAGGTGTTACAAATAGAAATGCCATGAAGGCTGCCACAATAAAGTTTTTTTTGCATTCTGGCGGTGTTAAAGTATCGTAGAAAAACGTGATGTTTGTAGTTGCGAGGACGGAGTGAGATAAGTGCCGAATTAAGACCTTCTAGACTGTATTTTCGTAAGGCTTGAAAGTTATATGGAACCTCTATAAAAGAGTTCATTCAGCCATGTTCAGTGTTCATATAAAAATTGCTGTGCTAGCGTCGCCTGTCAATCATTCGGTTAATTTGAGAACAGTAAACAACATGGGTTTCCACATTACTCCATCACATTACTCCACAAGACCAACTTTCAAACAAGAAAAGGGTAAAAACATGTAAATCATGTAAGAATATGGACAGGTTTTGTTGCATTTATCTATGGAGATAAATTTAACAACTGTTTCCCAACATTTCTCCATTTAAACAGTACCCCATAAAGGTCAATTAGCAAAGTTAGTTTAATTTTAACGCTATCCATGGAGTACTGTTGTATTTTACTTAGAATTAAGCTAAAATGTCTATTAAAAAACGTTTGGTTACCGTAAGTCCTTACAAAGCCCCGAACAAGTCAATTAGGCTACTTTGTCGTTAGCGCTACTATAAAGGAATTATTTTCGACTACGAAAATGGAGTAATGTGGTGTGTGATGACTTTGCATGTGTTACCCTTTTTAATTAGATTAACGAAGACAATAGACGCCTTATTCTAAAACAACTGCGTACTTTGTTGTCGTTTTCTGAAACCAGTTTCGAAAAGCAGTGCCACAAGGGCTTAACTAGAGTTATTCAGCCGGAGAAAGTAGCCTCTGGAATTTGGCAAATCTCCACTCAGCCTCATAGTTTGCTCGCCTGGCAAACTGGCATGTGCTGAATGTTGTAAAGAATGGGGGAACTGCTAAGGAAGATGTCAGCTACACTGTCGCAATCCGAATGATTTTTGCGGCAAATTGGTGAACGCACTATATCTTGCTTTAAGATTTGGAGCATATCAGCCTATGCTACAGTCAATAGTTTTCACCGAAAATAGTCTTTCATTTGTATTTTGGCCCTCTTCCTTTGCTCCGGAAAGAGCAATAGTTGTACTTACCGGGTTGCAAAACATGCCGAATATAAACAGGCGTGTGCACCAAAAACTGTCTTAGCAAGGTACGGCAAATATTTTTCTTCAACAGAGTACTGTTTACGAGTGTTTTTTTGAAGATGTTTCTACTGACAAAAAGTTGTCGAGTTTTGACCTTTCACGGCCTCACCCAGAATTTTCAGACAATCACAGACAAAAGTAGTTGGGAAGGCTGTACAACTTAACAGTAGTCCATTTTAATCCTGAAAAAAGAGAGTTTTCTCTTTAGCTAAATATCCCCTGTCCCCCCTGTTCAATGTTGGGATATAACAGAACAATTACGCACACAAACATTAACGTTTTGATCAACATTGGGCCAGGGGCGGGGGGAGGAAGGAAAAGAAGAGGTAAAAAAGGCAACCTTCCCAACACTTTTGGCGATGATTGTAGAACCTGTTGGTTTTCTTGTAGCACTACAACAAAATAATTTTATCCTGCTTATCAGTTTAAATACGTGTAATCTCATGACAAACTACCAGTGTTAAATTTGCAAACGTTTTTGGTTTGCTGTCATCTAGCAGAGTCCCTACAAATCAAAAAAACCTCCCTAAGATCAAAGAGCCTTTGCTTGCAGGTTATATTTAGGCACATTACAAATAACTTTTTGTTTTGTTCAGAAATGCTGCATCCGTTAAGCATTTTAAGTGAAATATCAAGAAGGTAGCTGATGTATTGGATTCCCGCATGACAATCATGTAAAGCAGTTGTAATTAGTTTTATTTTTAAACTTAAGCTTAACTGATGATTTCCCATGTTTAAATAAAGATTTACATACATACATACGTCAAACAACATAATTAGAATCAAATAGTGTACTAAGACTAAAGTCAAAATGTATTAAAAACTTATAGAGGTAGTGTATTTTTTATAAATAGTTCTTGAAAATACAGTAGTTTATTCTTCTGAACACCGTACATCCAGAAAAAGCTTGACATTCGCACCTAAAGAGCTTTAAGTTTCAAATATTGCTTGGTTTGGACAGGGTCAGCCTTCCGCCAGAGTTTCTTAAGTTGTAAACAGAGTGATGCTGAGAGAAAAGACTTTGTAGATATTCCTGAGCAAGGTCATTCATGGTTTTGTACATCATTAAGGCTTTTTGTTTCTTTCGTCAGAGAGATAGCCTCTCCCAGTCGAGGGTTGAGAGAAGGTGGTTTGAGCTCGTATCAAAGGGTGATTTAGTAATAACTCTGGCTGCACGATTCTTTAATTTTTGGAGCTTATCACTCAAGTAACCACTCAAACAGTCTCAGACAGGGCTGCAGTAATCAAAATGAGGCATAATTAAAGCATTATAAATTTGAATTGCAGTTTCCTTGGATATATAAAAGGGCCGCACACTTTTTAGGGCACCTATAACTCAAGAGACTTTCTTGCAAATCTCTTCAATGTGTTTACCTCAAGAGAGTTGAGCATCTATGGTAAGACCCAAGGATTTGGTATGATCGACTCTCCTGATAATTTGGTCATCAATTCTGATTTCTACATCGTCACATTGGGCAGATAGTCTTTGTCTTGATCCAATAATCAGTAGCTCTGTTTTAGCAACATTTAGACTGAGCTTGTTAGCTTTCAGCCAACAGCTAAGGTTATTTAATTCAGGGGTTAGAGCTAGCTTAAGCTCTTTTAACTTCTTAGCAGATAACGTAAGATTGGTGTCATCAGCAAACATTCTTGGTACGGTGCCCCGCAGGGAGTTGGGAAGATCATTAATGTAAATTAAAAATAGCAAAGGACCGAGTATGTGGTACATGCAAGTTTGTCTGTGCACGATAAGAATTTAACTTGAAAAGTAATGGTGTGATTTATTAAGACTGCTTTTTTGGTGTAATGTCACAAATGTGTATGTTTTTATAGACTATTTTGAACATTCCCTTGCGAGCTACAAGGGGTTTTTCTGACAGGGATTTAATCGTGTTTTTGTACGTGCTCATTTCTAACAGCTCAATTTGTGATTGTCTATCCAGGTGAAATGCCATCCACTATGGATGCTGTTGAGGAACCTACTGAAGTATTGCCTCAGAGTGTAGATACATCAAATGTGAATAATCCCCTAACCTCAGCTCTTGAAGCACAGCGACAGGAACACTTACAACAGATCCAGCTACTTGAGCAGAAATTACAAGAGCAACAACGAATAAATGAACAGCAGCAGCAGCAGTTACTACAGCAACAGCAATTTCCAACAATCCCAGGTATGCCTGTGGTGTCTGGTATGCAGTTAGCGCCACAGGCTCACCAGCCTGGTTATGAAGCCCCACAACAGTCTCAGGCCAATACTGAAAGTGCTGTTATGGATGCTACAGAAACTCAAGGGAGCAGGGTTCTTCCATCAGCAGTAGGGCTACAGCAACAGCAACCCAAGTTTCAACTGCAGCCCGAGGTGTTTGCCCAGATTCAAGCTCTAACAGGTTGGAATTTTGGCAGCTATTTCTCATGTTTTTGCATTGTTACTGAATGTTGCATCAAGGCTTTGGTCTAATAAGCCTTCATAAGGAATAATAAGCTTTCCTAGTCTCTCAAAAGCAAAAGTAAGGCTCTGCATCCTAAAAGATTAAGATTGAGGTCATGTTCTTAAAATTCTTTTTCTTTTAATTTTTTGGTTGACCGTAATTGATGATGATCTTTATTATTTTACAGTCAAGCCAGGTGTGATTATTGTTGGCATGAACTTCTTTGCCAACAATGTATTTTTTTGGGGGGGAGGGAGGGCTCACTGGTATATCTATATGGGAAGAATATTTTGTTGAAGGGTGGCTCATATTTTTAGTTCTTAAAGAGGCATTTCAGGAAAATTTTAGTGCTACTTGGAAACCCAACATAGATGTTTGTATCTGTAACAGGAAATCTAAACTTGTCGCCTAGAACAGGGCTGACATCAGTTACGTTAAACATGAAGTTTAAAATGATAAACACCATTGTGATCAAGTTGCATTTAATTGCATTTTCTGCTTGAAGGAATTGTGTTTATTTGTTTTGAACTGTAGTCTCCTGTTTGTAAAATTTTCCAGGTATGAATATACGCATGCCTAATCAGGCCAGTGCACCAGACTCTGTGCCAGGACCTCAACCATCAAATAGTGTCCAAGGCGCTAATGTTGAAGCAGGTCCACCCTCTGCCAACCAAGGCACAGCATTTCATGATAGTACAAACTATGGGGCTCCACCTGGTATGCCTGTGTGGGCTCCTCATGGGATAGGACCTACTGGCATTGCTCCAACACAGCAAGGTTTCCCACAAGAGGAGGAAAGAAGAGCAGTAAGTAGTTGGGAAACTGCCTACATACCCCCCCCCCCCCCCCCTCAACTCAATATTAACACTTCTCACTTAGGACAAAATGTTGGCATAGGGGAGGGGTAGCTGGGTAGTTTCCCAGAAACCTAAATTGATTGGCATCTTAGTTATTCTGTGCGTGAAATGTCTCAAGTAACTTGAGCAGGATGCACAGTAGCCGCTTGTGTTGTCGTAATAATAATTATTATTTCTCCATTTCTGATTGGTTTGAATTCTCTGGCCAGATTTTCATAACCAACTACACTGACCAAATTTAGAAGGCTTTTTCTTTTTTGTGGTGATGGATATCAGTTGTCAAATAATAGCCAGTCAAATGAAGGAATGACATTTCAGAGAACTTAGCTCCTAAATTTCTCAGCGAGGGCTGCGTCATGTCCCTCGCTTCACTACCCACCCCCCACCCTCCCATTTCCCCTAAGAAAGTGCGCCTCTGGGGCATTTTTTGCCTTACCGGCCATGAATGGTCCCTTACCTGCTGAGCTAAAATTTAAGGAGAATTCTGATATGTCATGCCTAGACAGCAGCGATGCAGTCCAGCTGTTTTGACGGTACAGCATGCAAGTACAAAATAGCTGATCTACTGACTTAGGGTAATCAGTATAACAACCCCTTTCGCTCATCAGAAAAAATATCAAATACAAGGTGCAGAGTCAAGGCACTAAGGTTTGGAATGAAAATGCAGGGCAAGGCATGTGCAGGAAAATTCCTAGGAGGTGCTACCCTAACATGTGATTGTTTTTGTTTAGTCTGTCATAGATGATTTTGATTACGGAGATGATGATGATGATGCATCAAGAATAGCAGAGCAAAGGCGGCATTTGATGGAAGAGGAAAGAAGATTAAGTCAAGAGTCAGTAAATTAAATTTAGATTTAATAGACTTCGAAGGAACTTATGTATACTTCCTTATTCTGAAACAAGCTATAAATAAAAATATATATATATATATATCACGTCAGGCTGGAGGATATGTGGATATGTGGTTTGAGTTTGTTGTTGGTTCTCTCCCTTGCACTGAGATGTTATTTGCTGGGTACTCTGGTTTTCCCTCTTCTAAAAAACCCTCATTTCCAAATTCTAATTAGCTCCAGGACATGTAGTAGACAAAGAGCCTCTTTGTGGCTGTGCTACTGTAAGAAACATTTATTAATTCTATCCATAAAGTTTGTTGTTTCCTGAGCCTGCTACTGTTGGTGGCGTTATTTTGAACTCATGGCTATGGCGGCTCAAGTTCCTTGATTGATCAGGCTAGTTTTATTTTCCCATTTTTAAAATTTTCCAGCAATTTTGCAGTAAAGCCTCAAACTCTCTTTAAAAAATGTTTGTTGTAAGGCATTAAAATAAAACTAAGCAATGTGCCCTAAATCAAACTGTAATTTATTGTTTCTTATGTCTACAACACCAGTGTACTGGTAAAAATCATACATGAAATTTATACAACACTGGTTATTAATATTGCAGATCCAATCCTCGTATGGTTGAGATGCAAGGTGAATTCCAGAACACTTTCAGACCAGTTGGTGAACTGCCTCAAAGACACCCTGACCCTGCTGGTATGATTACAGCAAATTCCAAAACTCAAAGCAAAAAAACTTCAAAGCAGTTTGAATGTTTTCTTTGAATAGCTCAAACTTTGTCAGTGATGTAATATGAATGAGATTTGGTTGAATGGCCAGGAGGTACATTCCCTCATCCCTACTGCAAACGTTTTTTGCCTTGATTTTTGGAATAGACATGTTTGGCTCGTATACTTTGTTTGGCCATTGCAGACCGAGTGATGTTACCCCTGGTAACTGTTTCTTCCAAAAGTTTTGCTATCAGCATGCATAATGTGTGCATAACTAATGAAAAGACGAAAGCTCATTCCCCTGCGAATATCATGTGGTCTGAATTGGGAAAAAAAACTGTTGTTCGTGGTATGTCTTCACTATAGCAGAAGGACAACCTTTTGGTTCACATTTCGTTAATAGTTTAATTTCCTGCTTCCAGAGAATGCACTAAAAGTACAAGTACCACTGCGTAGTACTACTTAGAGACTGTGTGTGAAATTTCATCACTACAGAGTATCAGAGTCACGATTTATTTGTAATCATTTTTAGGTCCTTTTGGCAGACGATCCCCAGATCAACACCAGAGGGAAAGATCCCCTGGTGACCGTTACCATAAATCCAGGTCCCCAAGAAGGAGAAGCAGAAGTCCAAGGTGGAGAGATCGCTCACCTCGACGTCGATCACGCTCACCCTATGGAAGAGACCGAGACAGAGATAGAGATAGAGACAGGGACAGGGGGCGGAATCGTGATCGAGATAGGGACTGGCACAAGGATCGAGATTCTGATCGAGATAGAGATAAGGACAGAGGGAGAGGCAGTGATAGAGAGACTGAGAAAAGACATGATTGGATTCCGGTACCAAAGAAGGAGACTTTGAGTGGTAGGTGTTCTTAATGTGTATTTTTACCTGTCAACATATATAATCTTGCCTGTGACAAGTTCCAAAATTTTCTCCTACTCCCACAGCCGGCCTGTAGGCTGGAGTGGGTCGATGGGTTTGTATGATCCCCCTACTGCCAGAAGAAGTCTGCTGACAGGTTTTTAAGTTTACTTATCTCATTTCTATTAATTTGTATTCAACTCAAACTGCATATGATTTCCAATACTTTCCAGTCCTCTGCTTTTGATGAAACCTATTTTTATAGCATGGCCTTACATACATTACATGTATTTGTTATTTAACAAAAAAATCAACAAGGAAATGCCTTAATAATTGTGCTTTCAAACACAAACGACAAGAGAGTTTGGGAATAACAAATGGGGGCTTTATTGGGAGTTGTAAACTGGTGGGAACCGAGTTGAATTAAGATAAAACTCCTGTGCCTAACTAGACGAAGGGAGATTGGGAAAAGTTTCTAGTTGACTTGAGATTACTTAGGTGATGATTATTAACACAACAAGAGCTGTTTGGTCTGTTAAAAGAGAAAAAGAACCTAGCCAAACCAAAACCAGGCTGCAGGCCTGCACAACAACATGTTCAAGATAAAGTTCTCCTAGCTTTTGAAACTGTAGATGTGGTCGAAGGGTGTAACCATTCAAATTAAGTCGAGATTCTCTATGAATTTTGATGTAGGGGACAATCTGGGGTGAGTTGATGGATGTATCATCAATCATTCATTTTTTTTATTGTTGTGCTTAAGTTTGCAGTACCACAATCTGGGTTGGACATTTGGGAAAATCAGTCACAAAGGAAAATCTACTTGAAGTGTTTGAGGATCATAAGCTGCCAGTTTCATCTATTGATGTATGTATTTAGGGGTTTCAATTCTCTAAAGGCCCACATTTGCCTAGTTGTTAACTTGTATGCAGACATTGTTTTCTGTTTCTTTTTGAAAATCGACAAGCAGGCGAACAAAGTGAGGATGGAGCATAAGAAAAATAAAAAGAATGATTCCCTTTACTAGTAGTCATTTAATTCCCTGCAGTTTTTATTCTCATATGTGTGCTCAACAATCTCTAAAGAGGAAACAGAGTCTGTCAACAGATTATGTAGATGTACCCTTTCATAAGAAAATCCTACATTTACCAAAGAGTTAGAGAGAACAGTGAAACATCTAAAAGTTTTAAAACAAATGGTCATAAAGCATATCAGAATGATGAATGTACAGTGTAGGCCCCCCAACTGTGGCACAAAAGAAAGATTTTTAAAACAGTAATCAGTCCACTGTTTTGTTGGCTTGGAATGTGATGATAACGAAGAGACGGGCGGTCAGAAAGAAGTTTGCAGTTTTGTGGACTTGATGTTGATTGTCTCTTAGTTTCTGATTCCAGCATCTTGCTTGTTAAACCTTTTGTTTACCTTTTTGTCAAGGATAGAACTGATAGACTGTTCACCGTCCCCTATTTTTTGGTGAGATTGTCGAGATCGAGCACTTTGCATAGCAGGCACTTATCTTGGTCTCAAGTGTTTTGAGTCTAGCCTGGAGATGAATGTCCAGTCCACTTAGGGGTCAGGGGATGGTTTGGGGGGAGGTGCCACCTCCCCGACTTCTATAAACTGCAACACCTATCCCCTCAGTACTTATTGAATCAATATGGTTGCTCATACTGGTAAGCCTGCAATCCTGATGATCTTACAAAAACATACTGTAGGGGACTGTGAACAGTGTCCATCAACGACAGCTGTTGTTGCTTGAATGTGACAAGAAGACATCAAAATGTCAGAACACTTCTGAAGTATTGCCAGTAAACAACTTGTAGCATGCATAATACTCTCTTGATGTTGCATGACAGAAAAGTATGGAACTTGCTACAAAATAGTTTTTCATCAGTTACTAGCTATAGCTCTTCAAAACTAATGTTATACACATTTATGTTTAAAACTTGTCCTTGTCCTTGCTGAGCTCTCATATCAGCCATTCTTGTGTATAGTTCAGTTTTAATACCTTTAAAGATAATTTTAGACTATTAGGTATTCGTTATGATTTTCAGAACATATATTTTCATCTCTTCATTATATTAATATAGTATTTTATTTGTATGTGAGCTTACCTGCAAAATAGCTGTTAAGTTACATGTGAACTCTTATGAAAAAGATTGCCATGTCTGTATCAAGTAATGATAGCTGGTGAATGTTATGTTATGTTGGGTGCTTACAGAGAGAAAAAATATAGTGAAACCTGGATATGACAAAGTGCCAAGGGATTGTGAAAATTTGTTCGCTTTAACGAGGTGTCGTTATATCATGGTTCTTTTTCTTATATTTTACTATTAGTGGGGCAAAGACAATTGTTTGTTATAGTGAGGCGTTTGTTATGTAGAGGTTTGTTATATCGAGGTTCCACTTTAATTACATATACTGACACTGTTTTTGTCTTATAACAGATGGTTCCCCCTAGAGGATGTGCATATGTTGTCATGGAACACAGAAAGGAAGCTTCAAGGGGGCTAGTTGTTCTAAAAAATACAAGGATGTATAATAATACTCTCAAGGTTTGTAGTAATTTCTGTTGTTATATCTTTTAAAGCAGCTTAAGCCTTAGAATGTGTGCTGTTTCTCACTGATCGATTTTTTCAATGCACGTATCGGATCAGTACTTGAATAATTATGCCTGTCACTTGTTTCACACTAGTCTGCCCTGCCCACCTATCTGTCCAAATTGAAGGGGGTCAAGAGCAAAGAGGATTACGTATGTGATATGTTTACGCCATTAAAGGGGCCGTGTTACGGCAGTCCAGTTCATTTTGTTTAATTTGGCCAATTACTTGCCCTCAATTGCTATGGAACTTAAAGTAAGCAAAGAAATAACATGTAAATGACAAAATCAGAGATCCGAGACAAACAAATATGTGTCCTGAGCATAATTTTTGAAGTTGCAAGCAGCAGGGATCAACTTTGAAAAACTGTTAGGCTGAACAGTTTTCAAAAAAACCATAATTTCAATCCGTTTCAGTCTTCTTCAGTTTTTCCCATCCGTGGCATCTGTTGTTTTTGTTGTGTTATTTTAACCTTTCTTTGATGTTTTAAGTGGTTATTTTCATGTTTCTCTTAATTTAATGGGCATTTTGTAATTACCTAATTGGGCTGAATTTCGTGACACAGCTCCTTTAATTTTCTCCTAACGTTTTCAATACACAATCAAGAGAAAAGGTTATAAGAAAAAATAAAATGATCACCAAAGAGTAAGTGCTTTGATCTTTTAGCAAATTCTCTTGACTCAGGGGCCATGAGGGTGAGAGGAATAATTGTTTAAGTAAAATCCAACAAGTTGGTAAAAAATATCTAGACAAAACAATTTTAGCTGGCAAAACGCGATTCGTCTGCCGTTGTTTTGGTTTTCAAAGCCTGCGTTTTTCGCTACTAGTGGGCTATAACATATAGCCTAGTAGCAGCTCAACTAATCAGAACGCAGCATTGATAATAGACCACTAGTTGGATTTTACTAAAGCAGTAATAGCTGTACTCTCAGGGTCAATTATGCGTAGCACAATACCCATATTGCGCCTATTCCTTTTTTTCGAATTGCCTACAATACCCGTTGTTTACCCTCCAAATTTTTGTGCATTTTGAGACGATTGTAAATGCCAGGACGAATTGAAAGCAGTGGTTATGCAAAATTTGGGGATACAAACAAAGTCGGAATTCTAAAATATTAAATAATGTTATTTTATTGGTTGAGCACCAAAAGTGAACAGTTGATGTGTTTTTTACAGTTGGCTTGGGCACCAGGAAAGGGAGTGAAAGGAAAGGAATACAAGGAATATTTTGACACCGAACAAGGCGTGGCTTACATTCCATGGAAAAAGCTTGGAAATGGTGTGGACTTTCAGGCACTCAGTGATGGAGGCTGGATTGATCCAGAAACTCTTCCGCCTGGTACACAGAACACATCTAAAGAGGGTCAGTTTTATTTTGCTACTTTCCTCGGTCAGTTACTGCATCATTTAAGTTTTAACGTATCTTTGAAGAACTTTCACCTTAAGTTTCTAATTTTCAATTTAAGATGGCTATACTGCTAAAACCTTTCATTCAGAGCCGTAGAGAATTAAAATTGTCTCGCAAATCATGTTTGAGTGGTAAAGTTTTCGTCTTGCGATCATGTCTATGCGTTTCGTCTGGCTTGAGTGTTGACTTAATGTAGACTCAAAATTGTGGGGAAGTTCAAAGAAAAGTGTGCAACATGTGGTATTAGTCAGTTACTCAAACCTGTTATGCACTCTTCTTAGTTCTTGAAAAGTGATAATTGAATTGAAAAATACAAACATCATGTGTGGTTGTCTCGTTCTGGTTTATCATTACAGTAATATCTGGACTTTTGATATTTCACTTTCAGGTTCAGAGGCTGGCAGTACAGACACAAGTAATACTAAGGATGAAAAGGATCTTGGAACCATGAGCCAGGAAGAGCTTATGAAGCTTGCAGCTGCACAAGCAAGCACTGAAGGAAAGGCCTCGGAGCAAGGCCCACCTGTAAACCCGTTAAGCCAGCCCCCTCCTCTTGCACCTCCTCCTGGGCCCCACATGTTTCCAGGGCCCCATCCAATGGTACCTCCTCCAATGATGATTCAGCCTCCATTCCCAGGAGCCCCAGTGCCGCCCAATATGGTGCCTCCGCCGAATATGGCGGGAGTTCCGCCTCCAAATATGGCAGGGCCTCCCCTCCATCAGTTCAATCCACCTGGAGCCCCTCCTGGTAGTGTCCCCAATGGACCACATGGGCCGCCACCGCCAAATCTTGCCAGACCTCCTGAAGGGGGACAGTTTCCACCAGATAACAGCCAGTTTCCTCCTTCCAGCTTGCCTCAGGAGGGAGGGCAGTTTCCACCGCGGTTTCCAAACCGACCACAGGACGGTGTTCAGTTTCCTCCTCACGACAGCAAGTTTCCACCTGTTAAACCGGAAGAAGGAGGGCAGTTCCCTCCACATCACCCAATTGATGAAGCTCACCTGCCAACTCATCAACCAGTTGACCAGTTCCCTCCACACCATCCCAGTAGAGAGGGACCGTTCCCTCCACACCACCCTACTAGACATCACGAAGGAGGACAATTTCCTCCTCCTCCTCCTGGTAGATTTCAAGGAGGACACTTCCCACCAATGCATCATGGACCTCCCCCGTTTCACCAGAGACCGCCCCACCATATGAGAATGCCACCCTTCCATCCGGGAGGACCAAGGTTCCCTCATGACATACCGCCTCTTATGCCCGGTGGAGGGCCACCGCGTGGACCCGACTTTGGACCTCCTCCGTGGGGTCCAGGACCTGGTCCTATGAGGGGCCCACCTCCTCACAGCATCCCCCCATCTGGCTGGCCAGACAATCGACCACCTGAAGACGTGCGCAGTCTTGAGGAACGGGATAATCAGGGTCAGGAAGAAAGACCCGGAGAAAGACCTGGAGACAAGAGCATAATTGACAAAGGAAACCCTGTGGAGCAGGCGGAAGCCGAAAGAGACTTTCCTGGAAGACAGAGAAGGGAACAAGACGATGGAGAACGCGATCGTGTTCGTGATCAAATCTGGGAGCGTGTACGTGACCGGGATGATCGTGGCCGAGAACGCGACGATCGCGCTCGAAATCGAGATCGCGATGATCGTTTCCGAAATCGCGATCGTGGTCGAGATCGTGAACGAGACCGTGATCGTGGTCGAGATCGGGATAGGGATTGGGAATGGGATCGGGATCGAGGTGATAGACGTCGTGAACGTGAGAACTACCGGCCACGAGAGTTCAATGGTGAAAGAGATGGTCCAAGAGATGCTTCTCGGGATGGCCCGAGAAGGAGGAGCAGGTTTGAACCACTGGAGGAAAAACCTGTACCCAACCCGTCAGAGCCAATATTAAACATTGTTAATGTAAGAAAAGAAGAACGATCCAGCGAGATTACAACTTCTATTGCTACTCAAAACTCTCAAAGTGAACTTGCACCAAGAGAGGAGGGCGAAATTGTTGAAGGAAATGAAAGTGAATCTATGAACGTTGCTGTTGAAAATGAAACTGCTCACAATCCCAAGGATAATGGAGTTACAAACATTACTATTGCCACTGATACTCCTAACAGTTCTGTCGGCAGCGAAGCTGCAAATGTTATCCATCATAATAAAGTCATGGCCATACCAATGGATAATGAGGCTGTGAATGTTCCGGGTGATAATTTTAACTTTTCCAAGGACAGTGACGCAGAAAACGTTTCTCTTAAAGAAAACAATTTGTCTTCAGTGCAGAGTGATGATGCGTCTTTAAAGTTGTCGAACCAAGGGATAAAAGTCGATGGCGAAACTGAGCAAGCTTCTAGCTGACTTGGCGTTAATAAAATTGTACAAACTGAACATTGGGTGGCAAAATACCGTGGAATTCACATCCCTGATTTTGTTCTTAGATCATTCGCATGGCAACTTTCACTTGTTAGTTATACTGGTTTGGATGCCGCCTTTTATGACCTACCTCCCTGCCTGTCTTAAGGCAGACCGTTTATAAACATTCCTTTTTTATGTCATTTGCGAGTAAGACGTGACTTTGAGTGGGAAAAGTGTCTTTAGCCTAGCGAACATGTCTTAAATCTTAAATGTCTCCTTCGCAGTTTCAACTGTGCGGCAATCACAGAATTTCATCAGATTATATTTATTTAATTTTACAGCATAAGATGGGTGGCTGATAAAATCATTCGTCTGACATAGTTCCTTCAAAAGGCGGATAGCACCGTGAGGTAATGATTTATCCTCACAGCGTTCTCTGCCTTTGGAAAAACCAGGGCTTACTGGGAAGCTAATGAGGTCTGAACGAGATAAAGTAGTTTTCGACCTTCTACACCTGTCTTGCCCTAGTTTATGCGTAAATACGGTCCTTTCCTCAGTTTTTCCTTCCTTGATGAATATTTTTCCGCGCATTAGGCGCCGACGCTTCCGAGAGTCTGGTTGCACGGGACGAAAACTGCTGTATGTGTCGCTCAGAATCCCAAAGCCAGAACTTGCGATCCCATAAGTCCTGTCGGTCTCTGACCCAAGCAAACACATTTGCTGGCGGCCTTACTGGTTTTTATGCATCGAAGGAAGTAGAAATTTGTTATCGTTGCGGCTGCTGTTACGGACTCGGGAGGATTTTAGAAGGTGTGTATGGTATTTTAGTTTTTATTGGACTGTTAGTTATTTTGTTTTAAAGGCATTTTAGAGCAAGTAGGCTATATAAAGAGTAGATCGAAGCCATTCACAGGAAGCGCGCGGTTCCAAGGAATTCTTCTCACAGTAAGCTTTAATGCTAATAGCTGTTTGTGAGCTTTCTCGTCAGCTTAGTAACTTTTTTTATTAAGAATACTCTCGTTCGTTTTTAATACCTACTTACCACTTTTCTGGCTTCGTATAAGCGTACTTGTAAACCCTTGCACGGCTAGGCTTAGTATGTCTAGTTTATAATTTTCGTTTTCTTAACGTATAGCCCATGACGGAGTTGTATACTGTTGAAAAGAAAAATGTATGCATACTAGAAAGACGTGTTTCGCAGAACCTTGCAAAGCTCAGAGAAAGGGGCAATAGTTGGAAATTGCTAATGAGTGAAAAAGGCAAAAGCCAAAAGGAAATGAAAGCGGAAAGACAAAGTTTAAAATTTTCTTGAGCACAATTCTTATGAGCTTTAATCCCTGCGAAAACAAAAAGGTAGAAGTCTATTCATATTGTAGGTTTCGAGTGTTAGCTGCGTATTTTCCTGAAGTTATCCACTATCACACCCGTTTCCTTTTGACGTGTAGGAGGGTCAAATAGGATGAACATGGGACCTATGAAACACTGGCTACCCTTCCTTAACAACACCAACCCCATTTAAATCCCAGAAAATCCTTTTTAACGACAGAGCACTGTGTTCAAATTTACTCCAACCAAAAGGATGACTCCAATATTAGAGCCAGTGTTAACCCCCCCTCACCAGCTGTACAATTTTTTCCAATTCTATCCCCCCACCCCTGAGGTTCACAAGGTTCTGTGATACACGTATTTCTGAAAGGTTTTGAGTTTTATTGGGTGGGAAGACAAGTAGAAAATTATTAGTTATTTTAATGTGGCTTCTGTTCATGCTTAAGGCTGGTTACGCAGTAGAAGACATACTGGAAGTGATCTAAAAGACGCCCAGGTCATTTATTGTAATTTAGGGGCCCTAGGTGGAGGATTAGGAGGGGTTTAAATTAATAACTGTGACAAGCTTCACAAAACTTGTATGCTTTTAGCGAAAATACCAGAAGGAAGTTTGAGGGAGAATAACCAGTCCACCATATGCCTAGTCCCTCTAAGAGATCTTCATTGCTCTCGGTCTTTTCTGCTGTCAGAATTGTTGTTCACCCATCCTTACTTTAAACTTGACATTAAACAAGATCCAGTGTTTAAGCCCTTGTTAATTAAGCAAGAAACTAAATTTTGCACCTTTTAGCTATTTAACTATACAGTGGATGCTCTCCTAACGGGCGCTCTCGTAAGCGGAAAGCTCTACTTATGGCCACCTTCACAAAATGGGTTTTTCTCAATTCCCATACAAACTCTGTATTTTTAAATTCCCTTAAGTGGCCAGCCCCAGTTACAAACACCTTTTTTGCGTCCCGAGGGTGTTCGCTTACAAGAGCTTCCACTGTATGTTTATAGCATTTTTGAGAAATTGTCAGGGGAGCATCTATTAGAAGAGAATGTAATGATAACTTAACATTGTAAAGGGGTGTGTTTATTTGGGAATGTTGGATGGCTAGCTTTAGGATGAAGGATTGTAAGCTTGAGATTGATTGCCACAGAAACAACTGTCCTCAATGTCATGACGTACATTTAAGATTCCCTGCCAGAGTTAATTCCAATAAGCAATGTAGCTGGAAAAGTAGTCACAGCTCAGAAAATGAAATTGCAACAAAAAGCATCCTTTCTGATAAAACATTTCTGACAGCAGTGTGAATTATTGAGAAAAAGAGAAAATTGACGCAAGCACGCCCTACCTGGCAGGCCCTCAATATTAGCTCTTGAGTCTCCCCTTCCCCTGGCACTGCCTATTTTCACCTTTGGTGTCCCCTAAGATCAACTACACAGTACCCTGATTATTTGTTCATAAATAAGTCACTACCAAACAAGTTATTACTTGCATAAGCAGATGAGGTAAGGCATGGGCTGGTAAGATGCCAAACATTTCACTACAGTATTTACTCAAATAAGCACTGGATACTTATTGATTTTTCAATGTGGGCTTATTTGAGCATGTTGAGGGCAGCACTTACATAATTTTTTTCATACTACATAATTTTTCTTTCTTTTTCATGGTGGGCGCATTTACCTTTACTTTTATGAGCAGTGAAAGTCGAAGGTGCATAAATAGTTTCCAACCCTTTGAATGCCAACCCAGCGGCCGGTGGCCATATTGGACTTTTTCACAAGAATGTATTTTTCACAAGTTAAGAACTTTAATGCTTTATAACTTCTCTTTACAGTAAAAATGTAATTGATATGCCATTAACTTGTGGATGTAACTTCTTTACAAATTTTGTGGCCAGCAGTTAACATTATTCCTTCTTACACCCTTTCAAACAGTAACGGACAAAATTGCTGTGCCAGTGGAAAAATAAAAGCATACTAAGTCGAGGATGTATATATATGCCCTCGGTAGTAGGGACTTTTCTTTTAGGACTTACATGTATATATACATCCTTGGCATTCAAAGAGTTAAGGTCCATTTAGTGATATCAACATTAACAAACAAAAAATTTTTGAAAATTAACAAGTGTTGGGAGGGTGCTGCACTTTTAAGGAGGTGGTACTTATTTATATTTATGCTTTGTAGATGCATCATTGCTTAATATTTACAATATTTTAAAATTTACGTTTGGTGCTTATTTGATTAAGTACCGTAGTGTTGCACAGGGGTTTCAATAGTAGCTGGGTAGCGGGTAGATCTACCCACTTGCAACGGGCCGATTACCCGCTTGGAGCCTTCACATGAACGTCAACTAAGACCAGATAATTTCACCTCAGCTTCGAATTCTTGCCAAAAAATTTGGCAAAATAGGTTTTGACTGTGACTACTTCATTGTAACATAATTCTCTTCAAATTTGTTAAAATTAGTTGACTTAGGAGCAAAAAAATGAAACAACAAAGCAACAAAAAGAGACCTGAAAATGCATCTGCGAGAGTCTAGAACTTCAAAATTTTCGGGCCTTCGGCAAATATACCTGCCTGTTACTCTTAAGTACCCACTTGTGCAAAAACTTATTGAAACCCCTGGGTGCATAAGTTTAACCCTACTGTTTAGTGAATGTGAGGCTTTCAATAGGCCATTTCCGAGTTCCAAAAACTCTCACTTTGAAAATAAGGCTAAGTTCAAAACCTCTTTTTGTGTGGAAATGAGGAGGCTTGGGGAAACTTAGAAGTAGCCTATTTACAAGACTTCACACTATTATGGAAATCATTTAAGGTAGAGCAAAATTAATGCTCTACCAGGTCCATTAGTTCAAATGTGGAATAGTACTGTATGTATCCAGGATGTGATGACTCTATTCAGTGGACAATGCAGTTAGTTTCTTTGATTAACACATCCACTGGAAATAGCAATAGTACTGCCACCCAACTGTTGAACAGTGGGGAGCTTATGCGGTGACAATGGCAGTGAAAACATCGTTAAAAAAATTAATTTGCGTCCTTTCCAACTTCATAGCGTTTATTTAGACCCACTCAATTTGTCAAATGTAGGCGACTTTTCGTGGAGTTGAATTCTTAAGGACTTTATCCAGGGTCAAAAAGAGGAATTAAAATTTGTTGTTGTATGTTACATCCTCCATAATAGTCAGCGCATTGGGTTTCACCTCTTTGTCAGTTAGTGGATGTCAAAGAAATGTACTAAAAAGCGTGATGCATGTTCAGAGCTGTTGTTTTACTGTTAAAGCCAATTATTGTTTTATTATGTTGTCATTTTCAAGGTTGCATAGTTGCCTAAGGTCCCTAATATTGGGGACAGATTTTTTCACTAGACTGTTAATTTGACTTTAAAGTCCTCTTCTGGCTAACATATCTTAACCTGACCAAAGAGAAGTTGCATGTATACGGTCACAGTATTCTTTGTTAGGAAAAGTAACAAATACATGTGAAAGATAGTCACCAGATAAATGTAAAAGAATTTGAAGTAAAACCACTGGGTGGTAATATTTTGCTGGAAAGCAGAGTTTCTGCTTATTACAAGGATGTCTTTGTGATCATTTTCATATTATATTCCTTACTTCTTTCAAAATAAAGTTTTGAAATTGCAACCATACAATATGGTACTTTAAATACAGTGTTTATGAGTGATGTGTTATTCCAGAAATGTCCAATCCCCCCACAGAAGGTTTGTTGTCTTAAACCTCCCTCCCACATCTCTTTGGAAATTCAAGTTTAGCTTTAGCCTTCCGTTTAAATATTATTTTAGGCCTTTTAGATTCCCCTCCCCCTCAGAATTTCCACTGACCTCTCAAAGAGTGGATATGGATAGTTTGTTGAAGCACACATTTAAACCATTAAACTCTAATATCAAAATTCAGATTCTCATTTGTTGCCCCTATACGTTTCCTATAGAAGTAAAGGGGAGAATTTGCTGAACCGCCGCCCGGTTAGCTCAGTTGGGAGAGCGCCGGTCTGCTGAGCGGGAGGCCGTAGGTTCAAACCCCGGCCGGACCAGCACTCAGGGTCTTTAAATAACTGAGGAGAAAGTGCTGCCTTTGTAATAACATCTGCAAATGGTTAGACTTTCTAGTCTTCTCGGATAAGGACGATAAACCGTAGGCCCCGTCTCACAAGCCCTTGCACATGTAATAAATCTGTGGGCTGTTAAAGAACCCACACACTCTTCGTAAAGAGTAGGGCACGTAGTGCCCGGTGTAGTGGTCTATCTCACTTTCACACTCATGTATGGGGGCATCATCATTCATTCCTTCAGTACTTGTAAACTGCACCTTAAGCAGTCTGGCAAAGTCCCCCAACCAGTGTTGTAAATTATCCCTGAAAAGCCCTGTGGGGAGTGGATAATAAGATATTTACAATTTACAATTTTACAGTTGAAGTATCAGTGATTCATCTTGTGTTATAATGTTTCTTATTCTCATCACCAATTTGCTTTGTAAAGCAATCATATTTGATGATCACTCTTAGGGCTTAAAAGGTTATTAATAACATCATTTCATGTTACAAATATCCAACCACTACCCCTTGCAGGTTAACATGTTTGAGGGAAGTTTGAACCTAAACAGTAATTTCCAGAGGGGTTGAGTTCTGCTTTAGGAAGTGTTAGATGACACTAAGCCAGACACAATGTCAACTACAGGCACGTACACCCAGTGAGGTTTCCATCATGTTTTCATCGCTGACTTAATTCTTTTTACAATCCCGGATAAAGATCATTTGTATCAAGTACACCACAAATGGTAAAATAGCCAGTGAAATAAAAGAACCTTTGTAGAGTGCTTTCCAAAACTCTGGCCTTTGGAACTCATTTTGAACATAGAATATTAATCTTTTCTCACAGATATTCTATAAAACCCATCACTTTGCTGCATACCATTGTAGGAAAAGCACCCTTATAATTATTACAATGTAAAATAACGTATGCATGACTCAATAAAATGAGGTTCATTGCCGGTAAGCACAGAGGAATACTCAGCCATTTTACTTCCTTATTAAAGGTATCAACATCAATAATGTCATGATTGTTTACACTTGAGTTCCTAATCTGAATGAGCTCCCTTAAAGTTTGAACATAATTATTACCCTGAGGTAAACAAGACCCAAGTGCCAAATGTATAGCACTGACACCCCATAAACACTACTAATGCTGTAAACGCCACAAGGGTCCAACCCCAATGCGCCATAAAGGCTACAAACACTCTAAATGTCACAAAACGACCAGCCCAATCGCCTCATAAATGTTACAAACGCTGTGAATGCCACAAAACGTTCAGCCACACCGCCCCATGAAAAAACTGCAAAATAATAGGACACCATAAAAGCTATAAGTAGTTGTACACTTACCCAGAAGCGGATGCTAAAGGTACAAAAAAGACTATAATATTAAATGTTATAGCTTTTTATCATACTACTAGGGTCATTTTACTTGACGTGTGAAATAGGTAGTAGAATACTACGTACTATTATGCACTAATTTCATTGTCTTCTTTTGTTTATCTGTTGCTATTATTTACTAATTGTTAGTATCTGTTTCACAGGTCAATTAAAATCACTTTAAATCTATTTACTACAAAATACTTAAAACTGTTCACAATATTAATGATGTTTAGATAAAATCGTTGGGCAAATTGAAAATTACTTAGAATGCGGCTTTCTTAAAAACTGGCTAAACTACGTTTAAATATTTGGCCCCTGGTCCCTTGGGAAACTGGTCAGTGATTTTTTTCCCTCAAGTCCTGATGTTTCCCTCAACTTTGTTTAGGGAAACATCAGGACTCTCAGGAAAACAAAACTGTAGCTGTATCTTGAGACCTAGCATTAAGTGTATATCACACTCTCTTCGTATCTAGGACCTAAAATAATTGTCAACGAAAAGAAATCACAGGTGAACAGATCAAGTTTGCTTCAGAGTCCTGTGAGTTCAATTTATTATCAAACCAGCCTTGTGCTGACAGGGCCCTCCACTGTGTATAAGGCAACGTTCAAAACTTGACTTTAGTTGTCACTTGTTATTTTCTGAAAGTCAATTTAGATTGCCACTGTTCAGGTGACCAGCTGATGCAGGATGTCATCAGAAGTGGGAACTATAGAAGTTGTGTTTGGAGATGATCAAACTGGACAGGAAATCTTCTTGTATTCAGGACAAACAACTACCGTACCAAGTAAGCTATACGTACTTCTCTTGTTTAAGAGTAGAATGCCTTTTGTAACATAATTGACAGAGTTTTAAGCATTAGTGTACCTGAGTCTGATCGACTCTGCAGTAAAAACTGGTCTGTTTGACATGTCACAGGCTAATCCCGTTTTGGATTACCAACTATCTATGTCTTTTAGAAACTGGTAAGACCATGTTGTCTGTTATGGTCTCAAATGATGCACCCTGACAAAATTTATTTTTATGTGCTTCTTCCTTTTGTTACTTAAAATAAATATATGTTGAAGACAGTATTCTTTTATGTTTTCGTTGCATGGCAATCAAGAATCAACTGGTTCTCTATTGTCTGTTAATTGTTTTTGTTTTGTCTTTTCTCTCCAGTTTCTGAACCCCTTTGTCACTGGACTCTCTTGGGAACGCCAATCAAGTTCTCTGTAAGTTGATTACTTTTTGGTGTAAAATATTTTTACTTTACTTTGCCTTCTACAGTGGTGGTAGTTGCAAAATTTACCTGCTCCACAGTCAGTGACAAAGAAACTGGAAAAGTACAAACCTGACAAATATGTGTTAGTAAGACTCCAGGTGTTGTACTTGCAATCCTTTGATGTTCACACTCTCCTAGCAAATTATTTGACCAATGTGTGCCATTTTGATAAAGAGTAGAACTTTCTGTGGTTAGCTAAAAATATGTATTTGTATTAAAATTATCTTGCTATGTAAAAGAGTAATATTGATTTTCTTCTCTGAAAAGGCTATGACAGCATCAACAGTGATAACACCACGTTATCTGGAGGATAGAGGAACTTTTCAAACAATTACAGCTATGGAAGCCTATTCTAGTAAGAGTATTGAAGTAAGTTCTTTGCAATAACTTTTGGAATTTTGTCACTTTAAGGTAAACTCTGAAGTCTCCATTTGCAGGGTGCAAAGAAAATCATTTTTACAGCTTGCCATTCGGGCAAGCCCAAGTTAGCATTTACTAGCCGAGATGTAATTTCAACTAGCCCCAAAAACTTTTTGACTAGCAGAATTGATTTCACAGTTCTTCTGTTATTCGAATTTCTAAAAAAAAATGACTTGCCCGTCGGGCAAGTTAAAAACAGAATTCGCTAGCCCAATAGCAAAATCCACTAGCCCTGGGCTATCGGACAATGCTTTCTTTGCATGCTAATTTGTGTGTATGCACTTGGCATGCTAATGGGTTATGGCATTACATGCAACTGTTGGTAATTTTGGGAATTGCTTCGATAGAGATATATTGCAGTTTGCACCTCATATAATGTGTGTAGCTCAAACACATTAGTTGATTGATCATTCATAATCTTAATCATAACTAAATAGTAGAATGTAGTTGTGATATTCAGGTACAAGGAAAGGGACAAGGTTTGTCCCAATGCAACTTACAAAATTGTCTTTCAATTGTTGCACAGGAGCTGCGGTTTGAAGATTACAGTGTGGAAAAAAAACCTTTTTCTTCAATGTAAGGTTATCATGGGTGTGTACTCTGGGTAGCCAGTTTTAGGCTGTCAGTTATTAGGAACGAGCTACAAGAAAAGTGAACACCAAAAGCAACAATTGAGAAGTGAAGACTGGGAAAAGAGAAGGTGTCCTTGCCCGCCCCCCATCCCATCTCTTTCTGATTTTCCAGTTTTTTTGCCTTAGCTTGTCTGTTTGCTTTTCCTCATGACTGAGAGCCCAAAATAGGCAAATCACTAGGTTGTTAGAAATTTCACTTTTAATAAGTAAACTGTCTCTTAATCAACTCCCACATCATTATTTTTTGTTTATATCCCAAAAGCCTGTGGAACACCACGTTGCTTGGGGTCTTCCTTGGCAACACCAACACCCAACTTTTGATTCTGTTTTGTGCTTCAAACAGTGAAGTCAATGTCTGTTTAGTTAGCAATCGTAAAACTGTAAGATATTTAATTTTCGCACATCTGTAGAAATACCTATCATGTCACAGGTGCCCCAAGCTCGAAATATGACCATCGGTGTTACTGGAACCCATTTGCTCTCTCTAAAACACCCATTAAATGGTCATAAATCGGCTCATAAACCACAGAGGAAAGAAGAAACACACAACTTAAGCAAGGTTAGCTGATTTTTATTTAAATTCTTTTACATTTGTAGGCTACAGAACCAATTTTTTTTCTCCCATACAAATCCTTAGAATTTTGAACATTTAAATTCTTTTACATTCGTAGGCTACAGAACCAATTTTTTTCTCCCATACAAATCCTTATAATTTTGAACGCACAACAGTGCCGATGGTCATGTTTCGAGCTTGGGCCACCTGTGGTCATGTTGAGGTTTTCAAGATGTGGTCACATTTGATAAATAATCAAATTATAGAAGATGCTTTTACAACAAGGAGCCCAACAGTGTGACTGCTTTTGATTTATTCACATTCTTTCTTACAGATTTAATCCAATCAGATGCCAGCTGGAAACTGTCCTCAACTTCTGATTGGTTAATGTCTGCATGAAAAAATGTGACTTAATTAAGGGAGGTCACACTTTTGGGCTCCTTGCTGTAACATGTTATAGGATTTACACTAACTTCACTATCTGGTTTATTTTCTTATACCATAATACAGCCGACTGACTTTCTTTACTAAGTGTCCGCCTTTTACCATGATACACTAAATTTTTGGGTTGTTTGATTTTGCGGATCGTCGATTTTTTGTATTTCAGGGAGACGATTTTTTCTTGGTGGGAATATATTTTTAAGATTTTCCGGTGTTCGCGTTTAAATGGATTTATGAGTGACTGTTATCGGAATACTGGAAAAACAAGTTAAACAACATACAGAGATGTAAAAGGCGTAAATCGATAATACTCTATCGTATCGCAATATGGCTGAATGCTCCGGCTAGTGATGAGCATCGACTATCGGTATTACTCTTCACGGTGGAGAAATTTTTTGTGGGATTTTTTTCTTATTTATTGTCTCAGGTTGAAACGTTTTCTGTAAATAAAAAATCGCAAAAATAAGAACCTCATATTATTCAGGACCCCGTAATAAAAGTAGTGGAAAATACAGGAGAGGCAATAAGCAGAGATGTAATACCTTTTAAAATCGTTGTCACTCTATAGAGCGTTTTCACAAGACGTCACGGCGACCGTGTTGGTTCCAAACCAATTCTCTGCCCGGAGTCAAACTCTTTTCTTATGTTAACGCTTTCTTTTGTTCCAATACATTTTCATAATATTAAGAATAACTCAAAATTATTAAAACCCAGAAACATTTAGTGGTGACTGGTAGGTAAGGATAAGGACTGAAGTACCGTAGTAACCAACTCATGCTAGGTGAGGGTCATCCGACTTGAACTCATGCTAGGTGCCTTTTAAGAGAGAGATTAGTGCATTCATTACTTGTCAATCACTAAAATCTATCAGTATAAATAACGTTAGTCCTAAAAGCAATCCACTCTTCTATTTCAGATCTATCTTTAGGTCCAAGAAGAGTTCCGTCCGTGGAGCCTGTGCTGGAATTATCCGTGAATCATTTCCCCAGAGGAAAGCGGAATCACCAGTTGCAAGTTGGTAAAATTTGAATAAAAAATCAATTACCTTCTTGTAGGCTCTCGTTTCATGCTGTCACCTACACACATTTTAATGGATGCTAAGAGCTTTTAGCATACAGCAGCAGTATGTCACTTGTCTTAAGTTGATGTTGTTTTCCTCGTAGTGTCTACAGATTGCAGCGCAGACGAGTCTGAGGCACCGTCGACAAGTACTTCATATTCCTTCAGAACAAATGTCAGACCAAAATCAGATCCCGCTCGAGTTTTTACTCCACCGCAACCGCAAGCTGCGGATAAGAAACCACTATCAGCGCTGTCTGTTTCAGAGGCTCAGGAGCTCAAGAATGCACTGTTAGAGAGCATTGCCAAGTGTATGCAGATTCAGAACTCTCTTTACAAGCTCGTGTTACTCACGTTACAGGCTTTCATCAGGGGCCAAGCTGATGCTGATTCTGAACACAGAGGGGCATCAAGTGGTGACACAGGTGACAATCAAAATACTGGTCCCGGAGCTCTACTAAACGAGATTAAGGAGCCTCTGAATTCCTTGATGCGCTGTGCTGACATTCAAAGGTCTCTGTATCAAAGGCTCGTCACTGTGAGTTTGATTTCCAGTGAAGAGACTGGACAATCCATTACAGGTAACTGGCAATCCTTTGATAATCCAAGCAGACACAAGTTCCTTACATGGGGTAATGAAAATGAGTCTGGCCCCAGTTGTACCAAAGGTGCATGAATAACACTATCCAACGGATAAATCTCTATTCACTGGATAGCGTAACTGGTCTTCCTAATACCTACACGTATCTACCAGATAGTGATTTATCCCATGTATAGCACTATCCAACTTTCTAACAACTAAGGTCTGGTAGCTGTGACTTGCAAAGCTGTGACTGAAGTAAATCATGGAGAAGGTGCTCACTATTCAGTATCACTTTCACTTGTAATATATTCTCTAATTGTAATTTGTTTACCCACGAAACACTTAAGGGTTCTTATGAACTCTTTTAAACGTGTCCGTGCGCTCCAGATCGAAGTGGAATTTGGAAGTGTTGATTTTTGAGGAGAGGGGAAACCGGAGTAATCGGATAAAAACCTCTCGGAGCAAGGGAGGCTTCGAAGGCGGGATTTGAACCCAGGCGACATTAGTGGGAGGCGAGTGCTCTCACCACTGCGCAAACCTTGCTCCTCCTCCTCCTCATCATCATCATCCACCATAATTATCGTCACAGTCTTGCTTTGCCTGACGGCCTTTCCTCGGTATGTCCACCTTTCAACGTCTACCACAATTTGCGCCTAAGGGACCGTTCATTTTTTATAGGGTAGGGGGGGCTGGTGGGATTTGGAGGAGTGTAATTTGAAAATTGTATGACCCCCAATTTTTTTTTTTTCGCCCCCCCCCCATCAGAGTAATTTTTGAAGCCCCCTCATGAACAAAAAAAAATACATAAGGTATTAAAAAAAGTTACTGCATTAAAATTTCGTTTTGTTACATTTCACGTAATTTAGTGAAAGAAAGCTGAAAACTAGAAAGCTGTTTTTAACAAATCCTCACTCAAAAGAATGAAAAGTCAATTTCAGCTCTTCTTGTTACTGCTCGTCCTGAGCGTGTTGTAGCTGGCCGCTCGTCTACATATTCCTCGTCTGAGGCGATAAAAGCAAGAACGACATCATTTGAGTCGTCTTCAGAGTCAGGGACATCACTCTTGTAATCATCATCAGTTTCTTCTCTCTCACTGCTTTCACCACTGCTGTCTAGTTGACCTGATTCATTGCTGCCTCTCACTTCGGCTTGACCTGTTCTGAGAGTATTCATCTGCAGGAAGTGTTTTCTTCCATTTGTAAACATCTCTTATCCTATTTTTAATCTAATTTTTTCGTCCGACCCCCCTTTCCTTCATTTTTTTTCGGCTGGCCCCCCTTTCAAGCCAATTTTTTTCGAGTGTCCCCCCCCAATCCCACCAGCCCCCCCTCTCTCATAAAAAATGAACGGTCCCTAACACCCAGTAATAAGGTGGGGACCGAATTAACACCTTTTTTGGGCAGGATCCCATTAAGGATGTGCTATTTGTAAGTAGTTTAACACGTTGGTTTTAAGGTCGATAAATGTCTTGGTTTTCGATTGGTTGACTAGAAACTAAGAAAAGCATTCTTTGGTTGGTTCATGGTGTCGAAGGAATAAGCTCAAACTCGCCTGTGACTTAAAATCACTTGACCGTAATGAAATTATGCACGTTCTATTTCCTGCCGCTTTCATTGTCCAGTTCCGGTTCACTGATTCTTTGCGCGCAAATCGCGCTGATTTATTGAGGAAGATAGCAAACTAGCTCTTTTTATCACGAAAAACATTTTTTCACTTTCTCTCCTCCCTTTTTTGCTTCCACATTTCTATTGCTTTCCCACCACCACATTTCTATTGTTTTCCTTTCACCACCACTGACACATAATTGACCTTATTTTGACCCCACATCGACCACAGACCGACCCTACGTCAACCCCACACCACTACTACCACCACCACATTTCTATTGTTTTCCCTCGACCATCACGACCACATTTCTTTTGTTTTCTCCCCACCACCTCATTTCTATTTTTTCCCTTCTCCTCCTCCTCCTCCTCATTGGCTGATTTAGTAACAGAGCGGGAACGTTAGTCGATGACGGGAAAGTGCAGGGGCGAAAGTGCGCGGAAAGGACTCAACGCGACTTCTATAGACTACTAGTGCTCAATTTGCCTCTGCGATTGGTCATTCCAGTTGTTTGATTTACGCGCGCCGTCGTCCACTAGCGTTCCCGTTCTTTTGCAAAATCAGCATTATTGTTTTAACTCCTCTTCCTCCTCCTCATTTCTATTGTTTATCCGCTAGTCAGGTCATTTAGAAGGTCAGACAGGTTAAGACCGGACCAAAAGGCCAGAATCAGGAAAAAATAGCCAAAATCAGGCCAAAAATGAAGAAAGGACTCACGGGTCATCTATACGACCTGTCTGGAGGAAAACCAAAAGAAGTAAGTACAAAAAGGAGAAGGAGTGAAAACAAAAGTGAGGAGGAGGAGCTTTCTGTGTGTTTCGTTTTATGACAATTTGTTGTCAAAAAAGCAACAGCAACAAACAACAAAGAAGCAAACAACCTCTCACTTGCTTAACGGGAAAGCGTTTTAACCTTATCAATTGATGCAAGCATATCGCATCACCGAAAGATAATATATATTTTTAATAACAAAATTAAAAGGATCATTTACGAACTTTTGGTAACAAACGTTCGATTTCTCTTTTAAACAGATACTGACACAAGTGCGTTTACAGGATTTCGTGCCTGTAAATGTTTGAAAGTTTTGTACGAAACGAGTTTGTTCGAAGGTTACACACCATATAGGAAACTTGGATTAGAATGTTTGGAAGACTGAAAATCTTAAAGGTGGCCATTGGTGGAAGTGGAAAAACTAGACACACCGTGAACTGTACAGTATGTTGTCCTTGGTCCGCGACTTTTCTGAATATGATGAAATGTTTAGTCCCGAAATAAAATTTTAAAAAAATTACTGTGTCCGATGATTTATTGATTAGTCCTGTTTCATATGACGAAGTTTTGGCTTTCCTGCTGTTGGTGAAGGCACGAAATTCACGTTTGTTGACAGGTAGGATAATTTGTCTTTATTGAAGTTGTACTTTTGCTGCACCGTAACTTACATGGTCAGGTTTACTCGGCTTTACTTGGCTGCCGTTGGAAGCACATGTGCAACCTCGTTCCCGGTGTTATCTCCTACCCGCAACTTCACGATTATGGAGAGGAACGTAAAAGCTATCTTCAGGAGGTATTTCAGGTCCTTAAAAACGTTGACTCGGGTAAGATATTCAAGAAAATAATTTTCAGTCGCGGACCAAGGATCACATACTGTACAAAAACTTCACTAAAAACGTGAAGACTATCTCTTTTACTCCTGAGTTACACAAAGCAAATGATTCCGGCGTTGAATACCCGTATATGAGATGAAACTTCATGGAAACACATTTTCTTGCGACTAGCCCAAAGAAAATTTACAAAAGAAAAACTGTATTAAAAAAACTTATTGAATCGCAATGACTACTTGACCTTCATACAACTGCAGGCTCACAAAATCTTCTTCTGTCTGGGTCATTGGTGTGATTAAGCTATTGAAACCGAACCTACTTCGTTAGAGATTTTCTTGATATTGTTTACTGTCCGCTTACGGAAGGTTATTTGATACCCTGTGGGCCCCAAATAGGGTGTCCTTATCTGATTATGAGAGGTGTCCAATCACGGGAGGTTTGAAAAAAAAATGTATTGAGTGGAAAGGAGAGATCGCCAGGACGGCGGTTCGGTGGCCGCTTACAGGAAGTGTTCGCTATTGGATGTTGACTTTACATTTATCTTTACCCTTCTTGTGATTCATTTATGTCCTAATAAGTTTTTTTGTTTTCAACAGACGAACAAGCTGATTTGGAAGACAACTCAATGGCAGTTCAGTATGAGTTGGAAGAGATAGCTTTTGAAAACAAACTAGAATGCAGTTATGCTCGAAATCCCTTTACGTCAATACAGTACTGGGCGTCAACTAACAAAGACGTCTTACATCGTGTATCTGGTAAACGTGCACAGCTCCCTCATGGACGAGGTAGCCTTAGAACTGTAAAAGGCAAGCTTGTCTACACTGGTCAGTGGCGCAAAGGTAAACATTCAGGGTCGATTATAAACTTAGAACGCGGTTTAGGAAACCTTTGGAACTCAAGATCTCTTCCTTAGTGGGTTATTTTAAGAAGACAAATGCTTTTTTAGTCTACGCCGTTTGCTTTCTTGAAAGCGTTCGGCAACTGAAAATCGCCTAGAACGCGGTAGGCTAAACGTAGGCTAAACCCCGTTTAAATAACCGGCCCTCAGTCTCAATTGAAGTGAATGAAATTTAACATTTCAAGTTTCTGGACTTTGTTTCGTAACAGATATTAATTAAGGCCCTGCCCATACGTATCCGGAGATTTTATTTCTCCATTTTAGACTTCACGAGTAAATGGTCGGGCACCAAAAACGGGCACCAAAAACGAGGGCTTTCGAAAACGGTCCCCAGAGTGGAGTTTTTTTGAAAAAGCTGGCTTTTCGCTTTTGTGGGCAGAAACGGAGGCTTTCGAATACGATAATTTCATTCATAATACAACGCGTTCATCGCTTGCACATTTCCCAGATACACCTTGTTTGCCGCTCAGAACTTTGTCTTTTATTTCTCTTGAGAGTACTGTTATATCCAGGAGGAATCCAAAACTAAGGTTATACGAAGTTTTGGGGGGCAAACAAAGTGCATGATGGGAGATGTGCAAACGGTGAATGTCCTGTAATATGGAGGGACGAAGTATTCCAAAATCCAACGTGTAGACGCGTATTTTTTTTTGTAAACGGAAAAAAGATCTCCGTTCTCAAAAGTATCTGGGTACATGCGGACGAGACCTAAATACTTTATTGCTCTGGTTAGTTTACAGGCACTTCACTCAAATAGTTAGAAACAAATAAACCAAATAAAACATGGAAGCTGGGAGTAAAACTCATAAGTAGCATGCAGGAGGCTTTTAATAATTGTGGTTTAAGTTTGTGTGTATCTTTTTTTGTGTTTACTCAGGCAAAAGACACGGCAAGGGCGAAGGTCTTATATTCTCCTTTAATTCTACCCAATCAACACCGAACTATTTTGCTGCGGAACATGGATTTTACACTGGTGGATGGAAACACAACATGAGGTCAGATCTGCACCATCTCTTGATGATATTCTTTCAATCGTTGGTTGACGAATGTTAAATGTGACTTGCATGTTGTTTCTCATACTCCGCACATTTGCTGTGCCACTTTTATCTGCTCATAGTTCATTCACAAAATCAGAAGAAAATTTATCTCTTCTCCACGTCTCACCGTTTCTCCCTCCTTTTTCAGCACTTATGTACATATATTGCAGGTATACACCATGGAAAGTCTCCATCTTCTTAAGGTGGAGTCACCGTTAAATAATTTATACTTGTCAATAAAATGGTGAACTGTTTGTTTTCCCAAACAAGGCACGGTCATGGGCAGATGACGTTCTCCTCCGATGCTGTATATGAAGGTCAGTGGCTTTTTGACAAAATGACAGGATATGGTACCTTAAAGCTCCCGGATGGAACCATTCAGGAAGGGACTTGGAAGGAAGGTTCCTTACAGGGTTGCGCTCTTTTCACCTGGCCACATGGTGTCACTGAGTACCGGGAGTATGATACAATCCGAGGTAGGGAAACGCAAGTAAAAGTGATATATTTTTGCGTCGAACGCGATTGCAACGGATCCATTGGTCAGGCTTAAAAAAGAACTGCAAACGTGGCACACTAATTTACGTTCCTCTTCTCTTTGGCTGATCAATGAATTTAAGAACCCCGTAACAATTTCCCTTGGTCTTGTCGAGGACGTGTTCGCCTATATAAGCTAGTAATCCACAGTCGAATTTGAAGTTCACGGCTCTTACAGGATAGGTAAGATCGTTGTCAACGGGAAAAACTTTATTTTTGCTCGTGTGTCTTGGTCACTTTAATCATTATAAATAGGTAGAAAGAAAGAACAGACGCATGAAGCAACTAATTGAGGCAAGCGATTGAAGTAACTTAAGAGTTTTCTAATCAGTCTCCAGCTTTCGAATTTTGTTTAATGCAAGGATATCATGACTAGATAGGGAGGCGTTTCTTTTACATCATTGATGGTCCTCATGTAATAACAGTCGAGTCACTTGATGGTATCCAGGAAACGCAGAAGGAAGGCGGCGGCATTCGCTATATAAGGGAGCTTAAGCAACGATGACGACAACAGCAGTGAAAACGTCGCTAAAAAGATCAATTTGCGTCCTTTCAAACTTTTTTGGACCCACTCAATTTGTCAAATGTAGGCGGTTTTTCGTGGAGGGACTTAAGGTTTTTCCCTAGGGACTTTACCCGGGTTTAATGAGAGAAAAGTTGACGTCGTATTCTCTATTTTCGAATTCCCCATAATACACTCTGTTTGCCCTCCAAATTTTGCATAAACCATTGTTTTTAAATGCTCCTGGGAGTATTGCATTTTCCCAAGAGCATTTTAAGACAATAAGTTATGCAAAATTTGGGGGGAAAACAGAGTGTATTATGGGGAATTCGAAAATAGTCAATGTTTACGTCCTGCATCAACGTCGCATTAGACGGTTTCACGTCACGTCATAGCCGTTAAGGAAGTGTACTAAAAAGCGTGATGCACGTGCAAAGCAGTTGTTTTGCTCATAAAACCAGTTGGTTTTAGACGTTGTTGTTGTCGTCATCGTCGTGGTTGCCTAAGCTCCCCACTGAATCCGCTGTGTTTTCTCAACAGGTCAGCTGTCTTCCTGTAAAATTGAAAAAGAAGCCGCTGAAAAGCTGTCACAGATGAGCTCTCTTCGCTCTCAACTCCTCAAGTTAAGGGAACAGGTTTCTGAGCTAAAAGAAGAGAGGAGGTCGCTCTTAGAACTACTGAACACGCAGAAAACAGATCAAGCTGAGGCAAAACGTGAAATAATGTCCAGCCTTGGCAAGTTAGAAGCAAATTTTACCACGCAGCGAAAGAAGGACTATCAGCAACAACGAGATGAATATGAACAAAAGCTGAAAAAAGCAACTGAATCTGAATCAAAGAGCGCTGAAAGGATACGGGAGTTAGAAAAGCAATTAGAGGAATCGTCAAATGCACAGCTGTGTCAGATTTGTTTTGAACACCCACGTGACTGTATCATTATGCCTTGTACTCATTTGCTTTACTGCAGAGCTTGTGTGGCTGAGCATAAAAGGAGCGGGGCTAACCGCTGTCCCACCTGCCGTGGACCCATTTCTGGCGAAATTTTATGTAATGTCAATCATTCATCCTGAGAATGTGCTTTAGATTTCCCTAGATTAGCGTCCTTATGTGACTAAGAAGCTGCCCTTGCCTTCTTTAACCGTTTTCACCACTCTTTTCACATCAAAACAAGTTGTAAACATAGAATCAAAGACAAAGGGAAAGATTTAAAATGTCTCCTTGAGAAATGATGCAAAAGAAACAACAAAGAAGAAGTTAGACCTGAGAGAAAGCGTGAGAAAATAGTCGACATGTCGTGACTTCATCACTGGTAAAAAATAAAGTCTGAGGAACAACCGACTGATGACGCTTCCCTACCCAGATTTGGGAAGTGCTTCTGATTGGTCGAGGCAAATTTTCCTCGCAGCCTGACCAGTGAGAAACACTACTCAGACGTGGGTTGTGACACGACGGTCACGAGTATGGAATTTCAGCAGTCGTTCTTCAGACGTCATTTTGAGAGGAAGCCAGTGGTGGCTTGGATGAAATTTCGTTGTCCATTAGGTGTATTTTTTTAAGTGTAGCCCTTCCAAACACTGACTTTCAATGGCTTTGATATTACTCTAGGGAGCTATGTCACACATTTTAATCTAGTTCCGCCATAACTGGCCACCAAATTGAGTGAAATATATAATAATAGCTTAAAACAGGGGATGAACACTAGCTGGCATAGTAAGTACAAAATAGGCAGGGATGGACAAAATTCTAGAAAGAATCTTTTAGATGAAATTGAAGAAATTATAAATGGGCTGCAGTTCGTCTCTGGAAACTGCTCAGCCTTGCACGATTTCAAAGTTTATCTCTATTGTTTGATTTACAACGCCCATGAGTCCGTCTTGTTTGTCATGAATTCGAAGCCATGCGGCGACTGTGGTTTTGTCATTTAGAAGGAATTTTTTCGCTAAACTTTTTACTTTTACTATTCATGGCGTTGTGGGCAAAATTAGACAAAAAAGACCAAACGGTCGTTACGCAGTGCATTCCCTAAAGGTATTGGCGTGTTTTAATTTAAAAACTCAAATAAAAGAGAGAACACTCGTGGTATAGGGCTCCAATCATTCACGTCAACCCACGACCCATAGCTTACCCAGGAGGTAAGAGAAAGCGAATGGTTGGGACTAAAGAACCTTTCAGCCACTGGTTCATTAAAACGCTATGGAGTCTCTTCCACTGTCCCAGAAATAAGTGTGGCATTTATATAAATGCACGGTACTGCGACTACGATCGGGAACGCCTTTTTTTCTTTTCTTTTTTAACCCATTCTTGGTAAATCTACGTTTTTCTTTCCTTTTTTTTGACACTAACCACTGACAAGTGTCCCCACACAGTTGGTAGTCATTGTATCTCAAACCCTACTCAGGCTTATTACTGAAGATATAAATAATTAATCAGCCCGGACACCTACTTAAAGACATCAGACTTATCCCACTCGAACTTATCAGCACCAAAAGAGAATCCATACATAGAGCCCGCGAACGTTTTTAAATTGAAAAGGCACAAACTATGCAGCCACGGGGAATAAACAGAGAGGACAACCCTTGTATCATTTATATACTTATTGATTTCATTAGTATTATATTCTTTATCTCATTTTAATTTAATTTATTATTATTATTATTATATTTGTTTATTTATGTTATATTTATTTCCAATATTTTTATTTTTTATTATTTATTTTTAATTTTAATTTAATTTGATTTTTATTTGTTGTTTTTGTACCTGTTACCAAACTCTCTCATTTGTCTGAATCGTTTCTCATCATTGGCCAATTCAGTTTTTTACATTACCTTTGTGTCAAATTTCCAACCTGCTACTCGTCTATACTATTTGAATTGTAACGACTTTCCGATTCTTCATTAAATCCCCGGAAGAAGGACGGCTTGTCCTACCTTGTCTGTCCAAAATATCGGGAAAATTCAAGTCGCTTTCCCTTGGCTGTTTTCTTATTTATGTCTATATTTTTGTCTTGGATGAAATAGCACGATTTGGCTGTCGTCATTTTATATAAAAAGTTATTACTGAAGAGCGAGGATAGTTTGGTCTTATTTCGATCAAGCTCCTCGGTTTTCGAGTTAAAAGCTTTTTTTCTCAAATCCTTACGGTTGGGACGCATATCTTGTAAGAAGAAACAAAAAGCAAACTGCGGTGTTAAACATAAGGTAGTATTTCCTTATGTGTTTATCACCGCGGTTCCCTTTTTGTTTCGTCTTAAGCTAAGATGGCCAAAAACAAAAGTATCTTGACTTTGGCAGTACGAGACCGGTGAGCACAAGAAAATTGCGAAACCCGATCCCTCCCCCTATCATAACAGACCTTTTGATGTCTTTGATCGGAAATTACTGCTTGACAACTGCTCCCAGAGACCCTCCCCAGAGAGTAAAGCATTTTTTAGACTTTATAGTGTGACCGCTGACAAGGAAACAAGGAGAAAACGAAAGATACAGCGGACGAAACAAATTTGCAGCTCGGAGTGGGAAAGTATTGAGAAAGCGCTAGCGACCTGGTGAGACATTTTTGAGGTTCGTACACTACCACACTAGCAATCTTAGGTTTTTATTCTTTCCGTTGCTACAAACGTACTGTTGCTGTTTTAATTCCCGATCGAGAAGAATTAAGCTAGAGACTCGAGGTGGGTATAGAACATGCGCTGGGATGTCGAAGCCGGAAGTAGTTTTTGCAATTCCACTGTCATTTTAATTTCTTTCGGATTGTTTCCGTTGCTGCAAAATCCTCATGCTTCTCGAGGTTCATTTATTGTCACACCTCATGAGACCTGTTTTGGCATGGTGGGAAAGTTGAATTTTACGTAATATATCAAACATGACACGCAGTGTTTCATCACCAGATGAAACACCGAGAAGAGAGTTGAAAATACGACGCGTAGCGGAGTATTTTTGACGAACTTCGAGGTGTTTCATCTGGTGATGAAACACTGTGTCGAATGTTTGATATTTCTTCTCAAACAAAATCATTTTTGAAGGAGAAATTAAGGATGCAAAAATGAGCAGTTTTTCATCCGATATCCAAACACTCATTAAACATTAATTTCCTTTGAATTTTCTTTATGAATTATTAATGAGTTTGAGAAATACAGATCAAATCTCAATGTTTCGATTACAAATAATTTTTAACACTTTTTACTTTAATTGTTACACTGCTGCAAATGCCTCAATAAGGAGTACATTTTAAGAGATTGCGATGGCTAGGTATTTAAGCAAAGACTGCGTAATACTCTTCATGGGAAAGGTCCTTAAACTGTTGAATTGAACACAACTAAGAAAAATGTTTTTTGCGTATAAGGTAGAGTCATTAACGAAGACCGGTGTCGGTTATGGACTTTCTGTAGACAGTGAAGGTCATCCATGTTCCGTGAGGGAAATTTGCCTGCTTTCAATGAATTATACGTACATATACACATTTGAAAGAGATATTATGGTTCTCCAGTCGTTATAAAATCATACCAGACGTACAAGCTTATGCGGTCGGATTGCTTTTTAACTCGTGGGCACGCGCGAGCGTATCACGAGTTATTGCAGGGACAGAGATATGCAAATGAGTCACTCGCTCACTCGTAGTAGACGCACTTCGTAATTAATCGGGTCCGAACTCGAGAGCGCGAAGATCTATCGTTTCCAAAGAAGCACGCGCTCGCCGAAGTTCGGTAGCATCAAATTCCTCGCTGGGAGCGTGCATCATGCGCTACAGCACGGTTAGGATAGAGGTCTTACCAAATTTAAGACACGCAGGAATCTTTCAAATTAGTACGATTCAAAAGCCTTTGACCCGTCCAGGCGTTAAACTTGACGAGAAGATGAGCATTTGCTCTTCGACTCCTTCAACTTCGACGCTGCCTTGATCTGCTACCTTGTAGTAGTGTAGTAGGTTATGTGTAAGAATGAATTTATGGCGGTCAGTATAAAACACGGACTACGGACTGCGGACTGGGTATAAAATACGGACTATAAAATACGAACTGGTGAAATGTAAGGTAAATAAAGGCACTTCTTCTTCTTCTTCTTCTTAAGGACTCCCCAAAATCACGGGGGGAAATGGATGTGAGTTTGAGCATTACCTTTAAAATAACAGCGGAAATCGAGATAAGAAAACATAAGCTAATGTTTTGCGTCCTACTTCGCGGAGGAGTTGTGTCGGCTTTGTATCGCATATATTCTTTCATTGCCATGAAATGCGTTTCCATTGTTTTTTACTGTCAGTAGCCTGGTTTCAATTAGCCTTAATTTCATCCGATTGCTTCGAGTCGTTTTTTCAATCGGTTAAAGGAACAGTATCCCGTTACTGCGCATGCACCAAACTTTGATTTTTGGACAGGATGTCGCGAAATCAAAAGATGCGAGGAGAGTAAGAGAATCTTGAAAAATCCGTTTGCATCGCGCTTGGCCGGATTCAATACGACACTGAAACTTCTCAGGATTATAGATCAATGATATATTGTTCCTGTGAAGTTTCGATTTGGGCAAAATCTGGATTTTTTGGCGTTACTTTTATTGCCGTTGGCCGGAGGACCAAAAGATTGAAACCATGTTGATGCCGATTGAAGGCTTATTTCTTCTGCTAGCTTCCATACAAGCTCAGATAATTGTGAAAGGAATACGCAGAAATGAAACAGCAACAATAAAGACTGTAAGAAAGAAACCGTTGAGACATTGATGTGACTGAGGAGATCTTGTGGAGGGGAGCTTCGTGAAGCAGAATGTTTTGCAACAACGCGTTAGTAAACTTTTAAATGAATCTCCCTACGGCTGACAAAATCGAACAAACAGGCGCTACATGTTTTGAAAAACTAGTGACATGAAATCATGATATCATTTTTGACTAACCTTTGTGATGATTCATAGCGTTGAGATTGCATTTTTATTTATGTCTTTCAAACGTTTGAGGCTAGAACGCGAGCAAATCAGGCAGATATTACTGGACCTGGAGCTATTGACCTCTGACACGAGTTTCAAATTAGAAAATATGTTTTTAAAGCGAGCGGAACGAGATTTTCGGGTCGCGAGGCGGCCCAGCTAGCGATAAAATCGCGATGAGTCTTCGAACCGCGAGCCAAATTTTTATATAAGACGAAAGACTTCTTCGAAAGTCCAAAATATTACTTGAGAATATAAACAACAAATCTCTGTCGGCGGTGCGGTCCGGAAGGAAATCTTGTCGAGTCAATTTGACAGTTCTATTGTCTTTTGAAGAAAAAACAGATGACGCTCGCGCGTGCGCATAATCGGGACACTGTCCCTTTAAGTATGGCTCGATCGTTTGCCCCGGTCGTTTGCCGGCGGAAGTTCCATGGAAAAGGATTTAAACTTGAGACCTTTCACCGCATCATGCGACTATCCTGCGTAGTGGCTATGTGAGGTCGGGTCAACCCGAAGGTACCGGGTTCAAATTCTGCCAAGGACCTTCTTTTTCCCTTCTTCCTCCTTTTTTTTTTTTTTGTTTTGTCTTGTTTGCTTATTTGTTTTGCTGGATTTTTTTTTTGTTTTTAAATATATACTTAAATAACTGTTACTAAAGTGCAATAAACAGTAAGAAAAGTATTGTGTTTCCAGAGCAACGATAGTATATTTATAATCTGAATTTCTATCATTTCCTAAAATTCACTGTGAGAAAACCAGAGGTGATAACTAATTGATTATTTTCTAAACAACGTACCCACGAGTTGACGATAGTCTTTCTTTGATTGCAAATTATATACCGTGACGTGTCCAATTTACTAGAAGTATTAGTTAGCTAGTTCAGTCTAATAAAGCCCTTGCCACTGGCTACGCTTTTTGCCATTTTATCTATTCTTCCTTCGGTCATTCCTGAATTAATTTGTTTGTTTGCCTTTTTTTCTCATGATCTTGGCTTAAACAGTTGGCAGAAGTTGATATAGACCCTTGTCAATAATAAACTTTAAGAGCGTTCCTCAAGACTGATTATGCAAATTTTGCGTTGCTAGTGAATGGTCAGGTGTAAACTAAGGCAAACAACCAGAGCAACCCGTGAAAATAAAAAAAAGGTGCATAGAGTTATCGCTTAGGATCTACTTGCTGTACTGAACAGAAGTGTTACCATGTTGTATCAGTTTTGTAGAAGTCCTTAGGCTTCATGTATTTTATATTATTATACATTGTGTTCATTATCTGTCTTCTCATTGGCTAAGAGCCTACAGTTAATTTTGGAAAGCAGCGCAACCCACAGATTAGTTGGCAACAGGGCGTAAGGAGCTAGGGCGTTGAAAGGAGCGGGGTCGAGCGATCTAGCTGTGATGCAAGGGTCTGGGTACTACCAAAGAGACAAAACAAGATGGCGGACAATATACTGGACCGTCAGAGAAGTATCCAGCGAACGTTAGCCATTATCCTGCCGCAGTGGCATTCGTTTGCTGCAAGCAATAGCAAAGGAACAAATTATTTTTTCTCACGTTTGTTTTCTGCGTTGTTTAATTTTCTTCCCCCGCGAACAAATATCTGTATTGAATATAATTTCCACTGCCGTGACCTGTAAACTTGACTTGCTAATTAAAGAAAATGGCATTACAACCCAGATGATAGCACTGACATCATTTTTATTTTAATATTATCTGTTCCCCCCTGCAGTTTAATATCAAGTTGTGTAATTCATCATCTGCTATGCCATTCATTTTTTGTTGCCCAGTTTCAAGGCCAGATGATCTGTTTTCACTATTAAAGTTTGGATTTGTTGGTGTACATTGGTATTCTTGAAATTCACTGCCCTTGGAAAACTAAACAAAGAGGTTGCAAGAACACAAATACTTGAACTAGCTCAGCAAATATTTTTGTTTGACAATAACAGTTTTTTGTAATGAAATGATCACTGAAAACTACCCATACATCATTTTACCGAAGGACATTAGGAAACGGGACAACTATTATACTTTTAAGAATCAGCTAAAGACTTATTATTTTAAACTTCCATACAATTTCTAATTAAACATAGGTGTATATTAATTTTACTCTCTTTTTTATCAATTTTAATAAAACATATAACATTTCTTTTAGTTATAATTATTGTAAGTAATAGGCTAAGAACTAAATAATTAAGTTAGGGGTCATTTACAGATATATGTTTAATTCGATAATTAATTTTTTTTTTTGTTAGCTTTAATAGTTTGTAATGCGCATTAGGTCATTTGATATATGTTAATTTGCGCAATACATTTCCCTGACACATGTACAACATACAAATTCCAAAGTATATCGCAAACAAGAAATACAGAATTATGCACAAATGAAATGGAAATGACCTGTAACAGCTATTAAACCACTGAAAGACAAACTTGTCAGTGTGACCAGTAACTCTAGCACACTTGTATAATTCATGTCCAGTATGATTCAATTTTATCCTTGGCTAAATTTACTAACTGCAGCCAGGCTTAATCAAACTTGATTCAAAAAACACTTTCCTGTTTCCCTGTAACTACTTTATATGATATTAACAGAGAGGAAATATTGCTAGAAATATTGTAACCATAAGTGATATAAAAATGTATACAGCAGTACAATCAAAAGATAAGGCACCTCTAGGAAATCGAGTTGGTCCCTACTATTCTTCAGTCCTTTTCTTTTACTCTCTATAAGAGGTACACCTGTCCATTAATGCAGACATTTTGTGCCAGTCCCAATGGTGTCCATCTGAGAGAATTGACTGTATATAGTTTGTGCAACACCACGCGTAAGCCTCTGACGACAAAAATAACAAAAATACAATGCTATTCAGTCTTAATTTATTCTACTTGCAATCAAACAAAGTGTTACGATTTTTAGCAAAATGGTCGCGTGACACATCATGTGACTGATTAACACAGTATTTACACTTTAAAATGTTAACAAACGGGACGGTGAGTTCTTTCTTTATGTGTGCCAAATTCTGATTCAGCACCATCATCTATGCCGAAGTTATAGCCAATCAGTGATTCATTTTCCACAGGTAAACCCTTTAGTCCCGTCCCGGGCCTTAAACTACTTGAGCTATTCTAAATCAACAGGTGAAACATGTAAACCTGTCACTTTCCATGTAAGCTGAGCTGTTATTTTTGCTGGCTCTTTTTCTCTCTTCATTGTTCTTTTGTCACATTTAGCTTTTTTATAAGCCACTTCCGCATTTCCCATAATGCACCTTATTTGCCCTCCAAAATTTTGCGTAAGCGTTGTTTTCAGTTTCTCTTGGCACGGCTGTAATACCCAGGAGAAATGAAAAACAAAGGTTATGCATGATTTTGGGGAGCAAATAAGAAACATTATGGGAAATGTGGAAGTGGCGTATTGAAATAGTTGTAATTAGCATATTCAAATTGTAACTTCTTCTACAACTTAAGATATTCAAATTGTGACGAGCTTCTACAACTGAAGATGGCATAAGTTTGCCGAAACATGTCTTGTAAATTGAAAACTGTTGTGTTATTTGTTCAAATCGTAACTTTGTATTACTTTTTCTACTTCTTTAGCTTTTCCTTTTGTTCCTTTTGTTTTGCCTTGTGTTTTTGTATTTCTACCAAACGTTCACTACGAGTGGTGATTGGCAATTTTATCTTCAAATATATTATTATAAGATACTGAGTTCTTTAAGCATAGCCAAAAAATCGTTTTTCTGTTGACGGTTTCGAGGTGCTTCATTCCCGGGCTTCCCTTCCCTGACACAGGTAATTTTTGCGCGCCTAGTCAGAGTGTTGTTGGTACTAGTGTGTTTGTGTTTAAGGTATTGTCCTTTGTTTGTGCGGCGTCTTCTCTGACATCTATCACCTCTTTACATTGCTTCACATATAAAATACAGTAAAATTCCGAAAATAAGCCCCTCCATGTATAAGCCCCTCCAAATATAAGCCCCCCAAAGCGGTAACGCAAAAAACCCTCCGTTAAATCGCCCCTCCAAATATAAGCCCCCGGGGGCTTGTACTTGGAAAATTGACCTCAAATACAAAGTAAAACAAAGCAAAAACGGTAAATTTACTTCCAACTGTAAGACTAGCCCAATCGATTTTGAAACGCAAATTTCCCTCTGTAGATAAGCCCCTCCGAATATAAGCCCCTCCAAAAATAAGCCCCTCAAAAAGGGCCTTTGAAAAATTAAGCCCCAGGGCTTATTTTCGGAATTTTACGGTACCAGGTGTTCGGTTGCATCGAAGAACACTTTCGTTTCTATCCAATTTCCAGCTTCCGAAACTTCACAATCACTGATCTTCTTTTTTTTGTAATCTTAATATTCTTTGTACCATTCTCTTATAAATGTTCTGGTTCAACTTTATCCTTGGTCAAATTTCATTTTATTTTGTGTTTGGATATGTTATATATGACAAAGGAAAATAAAATTTAAACCACAACATTTACACGCTGTATCAGCTGCTGTGTCCGCTTTAGCCCAAGACCAAGCTCTCGTGTTTACGGTTTCGCGCCAGTTTCATGTGGGCATTTGCGCAAGGATTTATACCGGCTTAACAAGAGCTAGAGCCTATTAGCAGGCTACTTTCCCTGTCTCAAAATTCTAGATGCTTTTGATAACAGACCTGTTTCTTTCTTATTTAATTTGGTTTTATTTTGCCTTCATAATTTACCGAAAGATCAGATTTCAACCCCAACTATGTCATCTAAAGTGGCTCTAAGGGTTTCTTATGAAGATGATGAAAATCAAGAGACCTTCATCTACTCAGGACAAACAGTTGTGACTCCTTGTAAAGGTAAACTCTGAAATTGATATTCAAGAGGAGAATATTTAATTTGCTAGTTAAAATTTATCGACTATCAAAGGATGTGTTTATTGACCCCTGACAGAATAAATAAGATAAATAACGTGGAAAATACAGGAATGAGTATGAGTTTGGAAATACTCATAATTTAGTACGTATAGTTTAAAACGTCTATTCCATCTTGAAAATTTGAGTAATAGCAAGAGATAGGTATTAGTCATTTTAGCCTGCGAACCGGCTCCAAAGTGGAGACGGGCGCGGCGAAAAAGAAAATCGGCGAGCGAAGCGAGACGAGCATGGCCGGCGGCGGGGCGCAAAAAAAGGCGGGGAGCTTGTAGACTTTCTTTTGATGACGCCCATTCATAAAAGCAGATTCTGGCATCATGATCTGATTGGTCTGATCGCTAACTGTTGACAAGTGGGCGAAGAATATTGGCACATGTTACAAATTTGCATCCGCGCATGTACGCACGAAGGTTATTGAAGCCAATACATACATCATAATTTGATTAATTGACATGTTATTGACATATATGTATGTAATACAGGAAAAGAGCAAGTGGGCAGATGGGAATGGGCGGCATCAAAACAAAGTCTACAGACTCCCTGAGCTTTTTTCTCCCACAGGCCACGCTCGTCTTGCTTCACTGGCGGATTTCCTTTTTGTGCTCCGCTCCAATTTGGAGCCTCTTCGCAGTGTTCGCAGGCTATCGTTAATCTTTACTTCTTAAGACTACTTTGGATTTTGGATTTTGCAGATCATCCGTCCACTGCATGGACTCTTTCAGGAACACCCTTCCAATTTACTGTGAGTAGCCTGTGTGCTATTTTAATCATCACAAACCTTTAACACTTAATCAATCTGTTTCCGTATGGTTCGCTTATAGTATCTGAAAAAAAACCTTTTCTTAATTCAGGATAACAACAACAATGCATTTATTAACAGAACTTTAGGGTCGGTTATTTAAACGAGGTCTACCTTAGACTGCGGTTTAGCAGGTTTAGCAAATCTTTGGACCGTCCGATCTCTTTCGTAGTGGGTTATTTTAAGAAGATAAATGCTTTCCTAGTCTACGCTAAAGTATATGCTTTCATGCAAGTGTTCACGATAAGTGGTGTTTACATAAAAGCGTTCGGCAACTGGAAAATTACTTAGAACGTGGTTTTGTTAAACACTGGCTAAACTCCGTTTTTAAATAACTTGCCCAGAAAGTTTACTTTACTTTATGCCTCGCAAATAGCTTTTACGCTAATATAGGCAGGACAAAACTTTAAATAAAGGTGATATAAAATTCCATACAATAACATACAGAAGGAAACACCTTACTTGTGAATTTAAATTCCTCTCTGTCCCATTATGATCTATTGGGGAGCGAGATGAGATAAGTGGCTAATATAGTTCTACATTTTGCATTGGTCTATTTGCTTGAGTTTCTCAAAACAACCTTCCGACAGCTATTTTACAATCATCATCACTTTTACTACACTCACAGCACAGGGGTGCTATTTAAACATGTCTTTAAATGTGGTGAATGCTTAGGGTTTGTACTTCTTGCAATAATAAATTATAGAACATTGTCGAGAGTGCAAAATAGGCATAAATTTGAGGTCTTCATCATTCTGACACGCTGACGTCCTTGCGTTTGCAAAGGAAGGTAAGCCGGCTTAGCTGGCGGTTTGTTTGGCGAGAGGTTCCCGGTTGTCTCAGCCCTATTCTTCTCGAGGCTTCACGCGCTTTTTCGCAGCTTTTTTCCCCTTTCGCCAAACAAACCGCCAGCTGCGCAGCCTAGCAAAAGTTGTCGTGAGAACTTAACCCTTTGACGACTGCTTTGGTCGTTTGTGTTCAATATGGAACGGTGCATATTTTCCTTCCCTGACCAACAAGCTATAAAGTTGGTAAACAGACTAAACAGAAAATTCATTTGAGGATTTGAGAATTATTGAAAGTTCTATCTAAACCTGTCAGTGTTACACCCAGAAAATCAAATATTCTACTACCTGTTTCACAGGTCAAGTAAAATCACTCTAAGATTTACGACGATATTGTTACTACTGTTTGTAAGGCTTTTGACACCATAACAAAAGGTACCTATGACAGAATCACCAATGGGTTGATAGCCACTTAAACAATCTACTTTTTTAAATTCCCTCTCCTAATCGTTCTCCTCTTTTTTCGATCTTTCTCGTTGTCTACATCTCGAATATATATTATAATGTTGCTATAAATTTCTTTGGTTTTCAATGTATTATTGCTGTTAATCAGATTATCATTGAAAAAACCCGTACAGTGGCATGGTTAAATGTCTAAAACGTTTGAATGTTTTGAATTTTGTTCCTTTGAAGGCCACAGAAAAGCCTCTGGAGAATGATCTGGGACGTAAAGAACGATTTCAAACTATAAGTGTTATGAGTGTATATTCTGTCAAGAGCATTGAGGTAATTATATTTTTTATTTATTTACTTTACTAGTGACTTCTGTTTCTTGATGGCCTTTCTCGTGGACGCATTTAGGGTTTGATTTCCTTTTAAACGCCACCAGCCCATAACCCGGAGCCGGCGAACAACGCCCTTGTGCTCGTGCAACGGCGTTTTTCCCGCGAATTTTGAATATCAAATAAGCCTAACACAAAATCCGCAAAAACCGGAGACTAGAAGATAGTTTTTCTGATGTTTTGCCTGCATTTACTTTTTCTTTTTGTTATTATAGTACTATTCTCTTGGGAAAAAGTACAAACTGCAAAATTGCAGGATACCTATATACCCAGCCAAGAGCCGAGTCAGGACTCGACAAATTTTCGAAATTCCCGCCATATTCACCTCCTGCAAGTCACATGGCCATTAGAGAAGGGCTTTCGTGGCAATCATGGGAGTAAAGCTCGCTGTTAAGGTTAGGGTTAGAGGTTAGGGGTAGGGTTGGGGTTAGGAGTCCTGGATCGAAGTCCTAGCTTTGATGTTAGTATATCTCGCAAAATGATGCTTATAAAAGATTAACTGATCAGGTGGAAACGCCGTTGAAAAAGTACGCACAGGTTGCACGCTCCGGGTTATGGACTGGCGCCACAATATTTAAACAAATGATTCAATGACCATTTTATCCTGTCCTTCTCTTTTGTAGGAGTTGCGTTTTGAAGACCACAAGAATGAAGAAGATCGAGAGGGGACACAATCTTCCACTCTCAATCAGAGAGCAACGTCATCTTCTTTTTCTCCTTCATCAACGACTTATATGCCTACAAGCCCTACGTTTAATCTCCGTCCTTCATATTCAAATGGTAGGTATAAGGTAACTGTTAATTACTTTAAAATAGATCTTTTATTTTTCTTGCTCACTATAACAGTTTGACATATGGCTCCCTTTCAAGTTCCATCCAAACTTTTCAGCAACTTTTTGTTTGAAATTACAAGTAGCTTTATTCAAATTAACTTGAAAGCTTCGTATTTGCTTTACCGATTTCTTTTCTTTTAACTTTTCCTTTTTATGTAGCTTTTACGTTCAAAAAGGCGCCGGACAAATCTAATCGCCAACAAAAGTCTTCAGGTTAGTTCTCTTCAAAGGCCACTAAGCTTGTTTATGAATAATACTTGTACATGCAAGTGCTTACATAAATAGAAAGCAAAACGTTGTTTGCTTGTTCATTTCTTTGCATCCCAGTCGTTTTTCTTCCTGTTTGTCTGACCAAACCATTGAATCAGGTTCAAGTAAGACGTTTGCAGATCAGGTTTTCCATTCTAAGAATTAATCCAAACAAGAGACAGAGGGTGTCGATAAAACCGGGAACACGGAACACGCCGGAACATCTCGAAACATGAAAAAAAAAATGGATTAAAATAATTTTTTGTAAAAATTAATAATAACAAAATAACATAAAATAACGTGAAAACTAAAAAGAAAGAAAGAAAGAAAAAGATACTGATATCATCTCCGAGTATGAGAAATTGTCGCAGTTAATTTGTTGGGCGAGTGAGGGCCCAAGCCTGAATGACAGTAATAAGTGAAGGCTCGCCTCGAAATTCAAAATTTATTAAAATTGGACTTGCGGAGGGGGTTTTAGTCAAGTTTCCTCACACAGCCACCTCTTGTAATTGTTTCAGTGCCATGCAGTTAATCATTTGACGCGTACAGTTATCATTTAGGGCTTTCCAACCCTAAGAACAGATTAGGCCGGCTCTTGGCTTTGGGCTTTAAGTGGACAAGATTCACATTGGCAGTGAATAGTTTCAGTGGTAGTGGTAGCGCAGTAGAAGATCCTTACTGTTATCAGTTATTTGAATTTCAGCCGTCTCCCGGAGTCGCATATGAAGTTTGCGACTCGAGGAGATGGCTGAAATTCAAGCTAGTTCACAATCCCCTATTTTCTTCCGCCTAGTTGAAGATGGCGATCGCCGCTGTGAAAGTGATTTGGGCATCCCCGTACCCAAATCATTAGTAATATGGGTATCCCTACCGTTAGGGATACCCAAAACAATGATCCTGCTTCTGTCGACAAAACTGGTGAGAACGAAGTTATTTGAGAGATAACATTTGCAATCTGTTTAATCCGAATGCTTTGCTAACGTGTTCGTTGCTTTGAATTTTGTGATGTTACTGGACTTTAGTGGACAATATTTCATTTTGAAAACAGTAATGCGTAGCTATTCTCGGCGACTAAACTTTCTAGAATTAAATCCTTATGTTGATTTGCGTCAGATAACAAAGTTGACTATTCATCCCACATAATTACAAAAAAAAAAACCTCGAGTTCCGCAAAATAAGATACCGTAAAATTCCGAAAATAAGCCCAGGGGCTTATACTTTTCAAAGGCCCTTTCTGAGGGGCTTATTTTTGGAGGGGCCTATATTCGGAGGGGCTTATGTACGGAGGGAAATTTGCGTTTCAAAATCGATTGGGCTAGCTTGTAGTGGAAAGGAAATTTACCATTTTTACTTTGTTTTACTTTGTATTCAAGGGCAAATTCCAAGTACAAGCCCTCCGGGGGGCTTATATTCGGAGGGGCGATTTAACGGAGGGTTTTTTGCGTTACGATTTTAGGGGGCTTATATTTGGAGGGGCTTATACATGGAGGGGCTTATTTTCGGAATTTTACGGTAGTGACCTAATAATGGAACTAGAACTTTTATTGGGAGGGGCTGTTGTGATTCCCGTGATCATGGAGATCCATAGAGACTTCTCGGCTTGTTTCAGTCACTGACACGACGGTGCAAAATGGTGTTTACAAAAATAACAAGTCTCATAAGCAAACTTTCAAGTCATGTGTCTTCGATAAATTTATAGGCTTGGGCTCGAAATATAGTGTTGTGAAGTATTTTGAAAGTTATTTTAAAGACGGATTTACCTTGTCTTTTAAGTTTAGTTTTTGTTTCATTAAGTCTTGTTTTTGTCCACGTACTGTTTTCCTGTTTTGACCGTTTGTTTTTACTTGTATTTGAAGTTATGCTTAGCTCGCGAATTTACTTATTGCCATATTTTTTTATATTAGGAATGTTACAGGTGGTCGTGTTTGTGGTATTAGGGCTGACCTTCGTTATTTGGTACTTATCAGTTGCGACTGTGCGTAGGCTAGTCTATTCCCTGACAATAGCAAAACTGTTACAATGTTAGCGATAAGATTATACAATGGAAAGTCCTCCGGTCAGCTAACCCAAACATGTCCAGCTTTGGCTATTAAAACCGCTACTATACTTGAACTAGTTAATAGATGTAGGAGAAGTAGAGTAGAAGTAGAGTAAGTAGAAGTTGTAAGAAGATTAAGAAGAATAAAGGCCAAGATGTAAATCAGATTCCTGGTACCTCGTCGTGTAGCGAGCGAGTTGCTCGAACACGCCCCCACAATAGGGAGGGAACAGCGTTTCAGCACACAGAGTGAACAATATACCAGTTTCTTTTTCTTTCTTTCTTTCTCTCTCTCTCTCTTTTTTTTTTGTTTTTATGTCAGAATTTCTTACACAAATTATTTTATTATTATTACTATTTTATTCATATATTTATTTTTTCATTAAAATTACTTTAATTTTTTCATGTTCCGGAAGGTTCCGTGTTCCGGGTTTTCTCGACGGCCAGAGACAGATAACTTATGTGAAAATGTAATTCAACTTTAACTTAACTTTTTTTAAATCAAGAAGATAACGGACGGTTCTTTTATCCCTGACAGGTCAAAACAGTTCGTTTGAATGTAACGACTGGGTAACAACTGGTATTGAAGTGCAGGTCAAGGATTCAAAGGTGAACTCTTACTATACTGTTAAGGTGGTATATGGGACGGTATACCATAATGTCTTATGGTTTGAGAGTACAAATGCGTGTTAGTGTTTTACTTATTTCCTTAGGATTGTATATTGTTGCTGAGAGAGCAGCGACAAGGCAACATACCGGCCTTTTGGTTGCATTTTCTCTCTTTTTAAATTTTGTCATTTCTCCTTTCCATATTTATTTCAATATTTAGTATTCGCGTCGAAGAAAAACTCTTTTAAAACAATAAAGATCAGTGTAGCAAGAATAGAATCTGTAAGGCACCTATTTCAAAGCTGTGAACATTGTCAAACCGTTCCAGCTAAACAAGCTCCAGATCTTTCTTTTACTGAATACAGTACTCATAGACTTTACGAGTTATAAGGTATACTGGCCACCGCTGGGGGAGATAGTAGAGAAGCTAATAAACGTTTCAAGCGCTAACCCTTAGTCAAAGTGAATGAGTTTGAAATTAAAGAAGAAGTTGATTAAAACAGCGTCAATGTGCTTGGTATTTATTGATTGAATCCATATATATTTTTCTTTCAAATTTAAATCAATCATTTTTGCCACAACCTCATCAGGCAAACAACTATCACGCCAATCGACGTATTAAAAATTGATACTTGGCTTCGAGGCTCAGTTGGTGGGAATAACACAAAAGAAATGTAGTAGTATTCATTACTGAGCAGCAAGATGATTTCTTTTGGTTCCTTATCTAGAACACACGTCACCTGAAAGGTAAAAAGGGTGCTGTCCAATCAGTGTCTGGAAACAAGTGCAGCGTATATTTATACGATGCCATGTATGAAATGAGCATCTCTGTTACTAACCTGAAACCAGAAGAACCAAGAAAACATGATAAGGTGCAACAAACGTTATTACTTAATGTCTTATGTTGTTTTATTGTTCACTACATATAGCATTAACATGTCGTACATGATTTAACTCTCTTCTTCAACTGCACCAGTCTTCACATGTTGCTTAACTTACTTCACTTTACGTTATCTAACCACTTATACCATACCCTTCTGATAAATTAATGATTGAATTGAAACTGCTTCTTCTATGGATAAAAAAGCTTTGGCAAGCAAAAGTCTGGAAAAAAATGTACTGTTTTCCACAATACAAAGAACAACCAACTACTTGACAGTGCGGGTAACTCCTGACATTTTGTTCAGTTGTGTCAGAATTCTAAAAGAAAGACTAGGAGAAAAACTTCGTAATCGCAAGATCACCGTGTGACACGAAATTTCCATTGCACGTACTCAATAAAAACGAAAATACTATCAATAAGTTGTCCGGGACTTCCTGAAAAAACGCAAAAATTAATTCCCAGCAAAAAAAAAAACCAATCTGTCCTAATCGCAAAAATTAGTTTCCTCAAATTACAAAAAATCGCCAATCCGCAAGAATTAACTCCGGCAAAAATTTCGTGCCACATGGTATATATACAGAATCAATTATTCAATAACCTGTTGGTAAGAGTTATAGGATTGATTACCTCGTGGCCAGTGGGTCCGGGAGAGCGGGCGGAAATCGAGCCTACATGAGCCAAGGTAAGAGGTTGCTGTTGCGGGCTTCAATATTTCCATAAAAAATGAAAAAAAGAGAAACTCAGTTTCGGTGGATTTATTTGCATCATACACGTTTGTCGCATTTTTAACGCATACCCTGTTTTGTATAAACGCATTACTAACTCCCAAAAACTACCCGTACGACATCATCATGGTGAGCGAAACAAGCAACAGTTAGAGGTCTTAGAGTTGTTTATCCTCGTACTGTAGCGTGATGTGGTTATTAAACTATATTGGTAAAAATATCTACATAATGAAACGTACGTAGTGCAAGAACATGTACTTATTTGCGTTGCTGATTTGGTTTGATAAACTCGTATAGCGTAAACGAGAAATTAACGGTGCTTTGGTTGATCGCATTCGGTGACAAGAAAATCAGTGACTCGCAGGATGAGCAATTGGCTGTAGACAACAGTCGGCCATTTATCAAATACAAATTTGATAAATTTTTGGTCATCAAGGTCCTAAAATATACCATAAGCAAACGTCGCCTTCAAAACCAATTGTGTTCAATACGTCAGTGAATACGTTCACAGCAGTCTTTCGACATTCCTCATCAAAAAAGTGAGGCCTCCACAAGGCTTCAATATTGGACGACAGGGTTTTCTAATCACGACAACATCAAAATAGTCTCCATGACCCTGAAATTACCGTTACAGTGCCAATACCTGATATGTTCACACGACAAAAGGAATCTGGTTCAGGCCTGAATAATTTCACTGATTAAAAGCCAATTTCCTAATGAAGAATGATTCAGTTGAGTTTGTATTTCGGAAGAAAATTTGTTACTTTTCCAGTCAATATCTTCGTTAGTTAATATCAACGGAACGTTCAATGAAGTGTTTTATTTCAATAGATTGCTTTAGCTTTTATGTTTTGTTTTGCCAATGAAGGTCTTAGAAAAATTTGCCCCTTTGTCTTCTCATAAATTATGCTTACATATGCTCATGAAGAAGACGAAATTTAAAAGAAACAGTTCTCTAGTGTATTGTCACTCGGCCTACGTTAGGAAAACAAAACATACAAGCTAATCTTTTCGTTATGTACATATTATATCCACATTAGTTATCGTATTGTTTCTTTCAGGTTAAGATAATCCGTGGTATAAACCGCTTCTCAATGACTGGAACTTTGATAAATGTCGATGATCCTGATGGAATTCTTAAGTTGGACAATACTGGCGAAGTCGTGATAGTGCCAGTGAAAAATCTTGCGAAACTAGGTGACTACTCATGTCTGTGATTAACATTTTTTTGAGGAAAGGGTTCTTTTTGCCAAACGGTCATTTTGAACGATAGTGTTTACGGGAAAAGGGGGTCATAAATTTCGGATGGACGGGAGCGACAACCAGAAATATGACTGCGTCTTAGGCTACGGAGAGTAGGCAAGAGTAGAGAATAAATTTCAATATTTCAAAGTTGTGAACATTGTCAAGCCGTTTCCAGCCTCTTATTTTAAACAAGCTCCGGGCCTTTTTTTAATACAGTACTCATAGACTTGGCGGTACCGGAACCATGCTCGGACGACCGGGCTTCCTTAAGCCGTCCCTTAAGAAAGGGCAAAAGAGTCAGACTTTTCAAGATTAGTCATTTCACACAAACTCGTATCATCATTAATAAGCTTTTTTTTGCTTTAATTTCCATGAACCAGGTCAGTATACCATCAATATTACATATATGACAGTAGCGCTAGTAAAAATCAAAGATTTTGTTTTATCAAGTGAGTTTATAAGGTACATTAGCCACCGTAGGGAGATAGTAAAGAAGCCTGTTTAGTTGTTTAAACTCACTTATGGTTAACTTTCGTGATAAGTAGTGAACTGATGATCTCGTAATCAGCAGTTAGCATTTTACACTGTTTTATCCATATATGTATTAAGTGTTTTCTTTTTTCGTTTTGTTAATCCACTGTTGTTACTGTTTCTCTTTTAAGGCTTGAGTCCAGGTCGCCCTAGGCCGATTAACGTCCCAGACATTAAAAGGCCGATTGACGTCCCAGGCCTTAAAGCAAGTACTTCTCAGGCAGATTTTGCACAGCCGGGTTTGTCTAGATTCACTTATAAAGCCAATTAACAAGTTTATCCCATGATTATGAATTTCTTCAGCCATAAGTAAATGAACCAATGCTCTGGAAATAAGAAGTTAACATTTCATCTTGTTTTATCTATATATTAACTTTCCATTTTGCGTTTTATCGATCCACCGTTGCTATTGATGTTTCTTTCAGGCATTAAAGAAACAACTCAGGCAACATTTGCACCTAATTTTTCTCAAATTACTCCTGAGCAAAGTAAGTTGGATATGTAAGAAAGAAAAGCCTGAAAGTTAGTGTCGTTGAATATTTATCTAAGTTGGTCCTCCAACAACCAGCTTCGGACAGGCATCTCTGTCAGGTCTTTGCTGTTTATTTAATCTCAGTACTTTTAATGGTAGAGCTTCGTTATCTTTTCTTTGCGAGACTTACTTTTGCAGTCATTGGACGTAGAGTCTTGCCGCTTTTACAACCAAGTGTTTTCCTAGCTTGTTATGTCAGTAATGTAGGTGCAGGCGTGCATGTTTTTCGTCTTTCTCGAGGTGGCATGGAATGAGATATTATTAAGTGCTATTTTTTATGTTATGTAATTAACCATCTTGGCAGGCTTTTCAGAGATTGATGGAGTCGTCGTGGTTATTTTTTTATTGCCTGACTGAAAAAGACGACGTATTTGGAGATAGCAAAGTTATACTTGTGTCTGAATGTATTTTACCACAGTTTATCAGAGGGTATCATCTGTTTTTGTTATGGTTAGAAGGTAACATACATTAACTTTGTCTGCATGGTTCTTTCTATCAGTGTCTTTGGATCTTTCTGAAATGTCAGCTTCGGGGCCATCAACTTGGAAACGCGATTTCGCCTTCACACCAGTCATCGATTTTACTTCGGAGTCTGATCCTAATCTAGGTTTTACTTCACCGCAGCCACAAGGTGCCGACGAGAAGCCACTATCAGAAATGTCTGTTTCAGAAGCACAGGAACTTAAGGATGCGCTTCTAGAGAGTATTGCAAAGTGTATGCAGATTCAGAGCTCTCTCTACAGGCTTGTGTTAGTTAAGTTACGTGCTCGAGTTAAAGATGCAGGTGAGAACGCTACTCTTCATTTTGAAAGCAGAGAATTACAGCTAAATAAAGCATCAAGTGTCAGCGTCACTGAAATGAATGTGAAAGATTCTCCTGACCCTTCGATCTTTAACAATCCGGATGTTGAAGAAGGCTTTGACGTGAGTCTGAATGATACTACAAAAACACCTAAAATGAAGAGTCTGGACGATAGTGATAAAAGTGCCGGTAAGGAGGAGGTAGAGATGACGACTAAGATTCTCAGTAAGGGAAATCTAGAGGACACTCCAGGAAGTTTGCCTGAGGCACCCAACTTAGGAATTTTGGAGGATAATTATCCTTCTTTAAACACAGGGCGAACAGAACAGCATTCTAACACTGCTCCAGGTAGTTTCTCAAGTTTGGATGACACAGGAGCGACTCTAAATGATACTCCCGATGCTACTTTAGAGAACCAAAAAGGAAGTCATAAGTATGCATTTGAAACTCTACTGAACGAGCTTACACAGCCCTTGCAGGCCTTGAATCGCTGTACACTGATTCAGAGAGATCTTTTTCAGAAATTGATCATGATAGTGAACGCGTTTACCAGTAACGATGGAGCTGCTTTATCAGGTATGCGTTAGCATGATCGACTGTAAAATTAAAGAAGATCGATTTCTTTTACGCCGTAGATTATTTTAGCAAACAGTGGTGAATTATTGGCAATTTATTGGCAATTTAATCCGCTTTTTCTTTACATCTTTCTAAAGATTTGTATACTGAGGGACAAGTTAACATGGTCTCAGTTCAGTCCAAGCTTGAATACATTGCATTTAAAAAGAAAATGGAATGCAGCTATGCTCAAAATCCCTATACCAATCACCAGCTACGACAGGCGACTAGCGAAGACGTTGTGAAACCAAAGAATTCGGTCAACATGGGTACAAATGGTGATGATGCGGATAATGTACGTGAGCTCCCTCATGGACGCGGAAAACTGAAAACTGTAAGGGGGGAGGTAGTGTACAATGGAGAATGGTGCAAAGGTAAATAAAGTCTTTCGGCCCGAGTTTCAGGAAATCAAGCAACACCTTTTCGCTTTCTTGATATTAAAATGAATGGTCCTTTAAGAAACTGATGGTGTTTTTCCAAAGAATTTCAGTGTTTCATACGTTTCATGTAATATTTATTCATCTGTATTTCAATGTTTTCTTTTCTGTCAATTAAGGCAAGAGACATGGAAAGGGTGAATGCTTAATTCTTAGCTTACCTGGAATCAACAGCGATGTTGTTGAGCATGGATTTTATTCTGGTGGATGGAAAAATAACATGAGGTAATAGTAGGTTATTTTCAAGAAAACGAACAACAGCTTTTCTGGCTTTTTTTGCTTTTTTGTGTTTTGTGTGCATAGTTCAGAAAAGACAACCAGTTCAGTGATAGCACAGCACGTACAGTTCAATAACAACGACCACACATCAGTTCATTGAGCGTAGACTACATGCAGCTGCGGGCAAATAACTTCATGTACGTGAGATTTTTTAATGTAAATTTTTAGCATTAATAAAGTGGTAGGTTTCCGTAAAATTCCGAAAAGAAGCCCCGGGGCTTATATTTTTCAAGGGCCCTTTTTGAGGGGCCTATTTTTGAAGGGGCTTGTATTCGGAGGGGCTTATCTATGGAGGGAAATCAATTGTGCTAGCCTTAGAGTTGGAAGGAAATTTACTGTTTTTGCTTTGTTTTACTTTGTATTTGGGGGAATTTCCAAGTACAAGCTCCGGGTGGGGGGGGGGCTTATATTTGAAGGGGCGATTTAACGGAGGGTTTTTTGCGTTACGAGTTTGGGGGGCTTCTACATGGAGGGGCTTATTTTCGGAATTTTACTGTAGTTAAGGCTAGCGAGGACACACTGTTATTAAGTTCTAGTGAGCTCACTAATATAAACAGGAACATAGACTGACGGCAATATAAAAGTTAAATAGTCTGCTCAGAAGGTCCGTCATTCTCATCAGGGAGCACATTGAGCAGACCTGCAAAGAGAGTCAGCGCTGGAAGGGAAAGCTAACTCGGTCCGAAAGAAAACTACATATTACTAAATAACTCGGCATGCAAAGCGCGTGCGTGGTGAGAATGCAGAAAAATAAAACGGTAAACGGTGAAGGAATCCTTGTTAAATATAAGAGAATATACCAGTGAAAGGTCATAGAATTTTTTTAGAGTTATAATTTTATACCACAGTTTTAAAGCCGATCAATTTTTCTATTTTCTGAAGAAAAGCACTTGCTGTCTAAAATCCTCGCGGTTTGTGTTGTAAAAAAGCAACAACTCTAGAAGTACTACGTTACTGAACAAAGTAATTTGAGGTTGTCGTTGTCGTCGTCGCCATCATCATCATCATCATCATCATCATCAAAAAATTAAAGATTGTTTATATTTGGTAAAAACATGGCTGTGAACCTGTTCATTGCACTGGTAGCACTGGATAGCTGAATATAGTTGTATAAGTTGTGGATTTAATAAGCTTTTGTGTGTAATAAATAAACGCCGATGACGTCATGAATAGGCATCTACTTAAGATCATTAGACGTTCTAAGTCGTGGCTAGTATTAACCGATTGACAAGTCTTAAGTTCTTTTAAGGAGGATTATGTGGATTACCAGTGCCATGCTTTTTCTCTAGAAAAAGTGAGAAACCCTCACGGCAGTAATTATATCACTAAGGCTAGTGGGGCAGAGCAAATGCATGAAACATATAATGGAAATCAATAAACCTAGTTAAGAACCCCAACTGTAAGGAGGCAAGCCAGCTGGCTATTTTACAAGTGTGGCCGAGGATTTGAACTTGGGAGTGCCCTGAACAAAATTACAGTGTTTGTGCGGGGTTAAGTTACGCTCCTAAAATGTGTAGGAAATACCAAATAAAAGTTAATGAAACGTATTCTACCTAGTAAGTGTCATTAACTTTTATTTGGTACTGCAGAGTAAGTTCCAATGATATTTATCTGATATTTCCTATAAATTCTAGCAGCCTAACTAAACCCCATACATACACTGTAATTTAATAGGATTCGTACTGTAATGATAAAGAAATCAACTGCAAAAACCGTGGACGAAAATCCTGCTGGTTGTCAACGTTGTAGAAAAGAGATCTAATCTGCTAAAATATTAAGAACCAAAAAACGAGAAGTCCAGAGACCACTGCAAAGCTGATCCAAGAGAGAATGAGCTACTCTCTAGGCTGATCTCAACAACGTGTATTGCTTTTTCATAACAACATTTCGGCTGGCCATATCAGCCTTCTTCAGGGATACAGATGTTACTGAAGAAGGCTGGTATGGCCAGCCAAGATATTGCTATAATGAGAAAGCAATACACGTTGCTATGATCAGCTTTGCAGTAGTCTTTGGACTTCTCGCTTTTTTGATTCGTATTGTACTACTATTACTGAGCCTGGGTTACCTGTGGTGCAACAGAAATCAAGTAGGCAAGGTTTCTTAATGGCCAATTTTTTCAACAGTTAAAATGTTCTCCAACAGGGGAAGAGAAAGTAAGTTGTCCCAGAGCGGCTCTAGATATCTTAATATAAACCCTGCTTTTGGCTAGTTGGATAATTTGTTAGACATGCCATATCACAAAGTTGAAACCAGATATACAAATTAAGAAACGTATAACTCTAAGTGAAAATACGACTACACTAAAGGCAGTAGATTCTTTTAGAATTTTAGTCCATATTATTACAATTTTGGTTCTCATCTTTTTATTGTTTTTCCTCCCTGCCCCTATCCTCCTTTTCTCATAGTACTCCCCATAAACAAATCCTATGTTCACCCCGAAAAAAAAAAGGATTACATACAGATTGCCAAAAAATGATGTTCTTCTTATTAGGCATGGCAGTGGAAAAATGATGTTTTCCTCCGGTGCTGTTTATGAAGGTCAGTGGCAGTTCGACAAAATGACTGGATATGGAACCTTGAAGCTCCCGGATGGAACAATCCAGCGTGGTACTCGTAAAGAAGGATCCTTACAGGGCTGCGCTGTTTTCAGATGGCCAGATGGTGTGACAGAGTACCGCGAATTTGGTGGCAGTGGTAAAGGCAGGTTTATCATTATTATTTTTTAAAAAAACGAACTATCCTCAAATGCCTAATGAATCAGTTTTATCGGCAGTAGTGGTGGAGGTAGTCTGAGCAGCAAAAATCATGCAGTTACAAAAATGCTTAAGCCCAAGTAATGTACATTGTCTTAGGTATTTTTGCTAATGGTTCGCGCCATGTAATGGAATTCGGATTCTGGAATCCAGGAAATTTTTGCTTGTGGAATCCGAAATTCTAGGCTTTGGAATCCCGAACACAACTCAAGGAATCTGGAATCACTTACAGTAACGAGTGGAATCCAGAATCCAAGTTCCGCTGACGACGACTAGAATATAGTACAGCGTACCTGGAATCCGGAATCCACTGCGTAGAATCCAAAATCCAGGACCGTCTTGTATTCCCTTAAATGGGGCGAAAATAGTTGAAAGTAGTGACCATTACTGAATAAAATGACTGGAAGAAAAAAACCCTGTTAATATAAATAGAGAAAAAGAAGTACAGAAGGCAATAAGGCAGAGCTGTAAGCAGCAGATTTTTGACCCAGCTAGTTATGTAATAAACTGCTCAATTTTATAACCCAACTGAGATTGTCTTTATAATAATTATAGCTCAATTGTCCCGTCGCCCAATTGAAAAAGACGTTGCTGATGATCTGTTAGAAAAGAGTATCAGTCGCCAGCAGCTACTTGACTTGCGTGAATGTTTAACTGAGTTAAAAGATGAGAATCTCCGTCTTACAGAGAAGCTTAACGCACAGAAAGTGATAAACGACGAGTTGGTCAGCAAAGTTCACACCTCTTTCTTCGAGATTCGTGAAAGCTTTAAGGAACAGCGAGAACTGGATAATCAGACACTTGTAAAAGAGCTGAACAAAGCTTCGGATGAAGTCATAGCCATACAAAAGGAACTGGACGAAGCCAGGGGCGCGCTGCTATGCCTGATATGTTTTGAGCGACGGCGAGACTGCATTATTTTGCCTTGTTCTCATCTGCTATACTGCAGGCAGTGTGTGTCTGAACATAAAAAGAAGGGTGGTTCACGCGGCTGCCCCGCCTGCCGTGGGCCTATTAACTGTGAGCTTCAGTGTAACATCAATCATCCGTGGTAATCTTGAGCTTGAACGTAATGCGCAAGGAATAAAAAAGGACATATGGTAGTGTAATTCGAGGCCTGTAAAATAGAGGTAGTACAGTTAGCAAAGAGTAACTTCTTAACATATTTGTTTGTTTGCTAGCCTCTTTAAATCCCTTAAGTCACATGAAAAACTATTCAAGAAATAACAAAACGGGTGTCAAAATGCTGACATCGGAAAAGTACATAGTTTTGGTCTCTTCCTGTTGGAAAATTGCCACACTTCACTCTGTAGGTTTTCAGAGCAGACTCGTTTAAATTAGTAAGACTTAAAATAGTCCAATAGTCCAATAGTCCAAATAGTCCAATATTAGACTTAAAATAGTCCAATATTAGATACTTTTACAAGAGACTCCTAGAAGGGGAAAAAAAAAGGATACTCAGGGTGCTGTCCAAAAGTCAGAACTGGCCGGCCGGAACGGTAATTTTGAAAATAATTTTTTCCAAGAGTTTTCGCTGAAACCATCACTTTCGTTGAAGTCGTTAAGAAAAAAAGTTCTTCTCGTGACTCTGGCCGGCCTGATAGTAATGATGGAAAGTTGAATTCAGCTGATCTGGCCGGCCGGTTCTAACAAATAGTAAGCGCCCATCAGCTTTTAATTGATGCCCAACTTTAAGTAGATTAACCCACAATTTTTATGCCTTTCTCTTTCATTCCCAATCCGCTGAAACTAGACGAATGACTAGGAGCACGATAATAACTCATGAGCTTACTACATTAACAGGTCAGAATGTTTCAAGTGCGATCTAATTAACATCCTATCAACGTGCGGCAGGTCAGTTCTTCTTCCGTTGTCTTCTCTGCTTTAGTCGTTATCAAAATAACTGTTTTAATAATTTGACTTTTATGATAGTCACAGTTTATCGTTGTAGATTACAAATGGAAAGAAATTCAAACCATTGTCACGAGCCATGTCAATTTGCCTTTCATTTTCGCGACCTTCGACTGCTACGTCAAATTTGGTAAGAAATGGGATTGAGAGGCTTTGCTATTAAACATTATATAGTTATGCAAGAGTGCGTTCATCAAGTAGGAATTTTTAAATCCCACTATATTTAAGGATATCTGTCCCTTCACACAGACTTTCAATCAAGCTTATTTTTTTTAGGAAAACTTTAAAAAATATATGCATACATTAATTACATAAAAGTAGAAAATGGACAGATATCATGGCGCGACAAAATTCCCGTCCGAAGGGAGATCAAGCAAAGGCGTCTTTGAGCGACGCACGTCAACCGGAAGTGAGATCTTTTTCATTTTGAATAAACTAACAGTACCAAATTTGTATTTCTTAGCCTCTTTCTCATTATAGAGACGATTTGTCCAAAAAGTTGGGCAAAAATTTAGCTTCAGACTTCCGGTTGACCTGCGTCACTTAAAAACGTCTTTAGAGGTTTGAGATCCAACGACGCGAACGGCAAAAAGAACGTCAAAAAAACAACAATAACTTTGCACGTGCAGCACACTTCTTTGAACATTTCATCGCTATTTCTGCACGACTACTGTACAAAATGAAAATGCCTCGTTTTATGGAGAACGTAAACAAGCAACGGTGAAATTTTATTTCTGTCTCTGAACTTAAATATTGTTCCTTGGGATTCAACTAAATGAGGGTTCGCATACATTTGACAAAGTAAGTGGGTGGAAATAATCGCGATAAAGAGAAATAACGCAAATGCACTTTTTAAGAGACGTTCTCGTTGCCGTGTCGTCGTTGGATCTTAAAGTCCCCTTTGCTTAAGTTCACTGCAGTAGCCAAGGGACGCATCGGGCCAACCCATTCTAACAGACGACTGAGTTACCTCACGGGCAGCAACATTCGCTAAGACAAAGTAAATGGTAGTGAAAAGGGGAGTTGGTGGGCCTGCATGATTGCTCCAGGGTAGTAAACTTCAGCAAAAATTGTCCCGGTGGGCAAGAGATTTTATACAAGAATTCCGCGTTGTGGGGATGGATAGTTTGTTCTAGTTTTAGTTTTAGTTTTAAATTAGTTCTCCTTTGTCTTCTTTCCTTTATTTAGAAAATTGAGTGCGTAAAGTGGACAAAAATTAACGTAAATAGGTAGTAATGCGGTGTATAAATAGGAACACATATGCTTTTGATGTAAAGCAATAAACGTAGCTGTTTATAATTTTTTTTTTTCATTGAAATTATTGAGAGCGATTTAACATTTGTGTTTACGGCGGTTACTGCGAGAACGATATCCACGAACGTATTCAGTCTAGAACTGTTTCAAAAACCGTTCTCGTTTGGACCAAGCCGTAGATGCAGGAAGCGAGCGCGCTGACATGTTGCGCGTGCACTAAATTCACCAATCAGCGAGGAGCAGTGACCCTAACTAGCAACATTATGACATCAGTTTTTTAAAACGTTCTTTGTATGTTAAGCGCGGTTGTGGCTCTAACGGAATCTGCAAGGCATAAAGTTTTAACTATGTTAGGTGGCAGGTAACTCTCTTTTCAGCCGTCTCTTTGCTTTTTATCGGTGCTGGGGCCCGTTTCTCGAAAGTCCCGATAATTAACGGGCCCGGTAAGCCGTGTCCGTTTATATTAAAGATCGAGGTTTCAAAAGTTTTGCATCTAGCATGATAGAACCATCAGTTAGTGAAACAAAATGGAGTAGTTTGCTTGCCAGGACCCGCGCTCTTATTCTTTATATTTCGATTTGAATATTTGATTTCGGGCCCGAAAAGTTACCGGGACTTTCGAGAAACGGGCCCCTGGATCCTTGCCCATAGGCCGACTGACTGAGGTAAGAAAGAGACTTGAGCGTCCATTCAAAGCCATCTAAATAATACAGAGCAAATGATATGACGCCATGCTTTGCTTTTTAAAACAGACAAGTCCGATACGGAACATTGGCAAACGGAAAGTTCGTGATTCGAGTGAGTTCGTTATATAAAAAAGGTAACTTCTTTTGTTTCTGTTGCCGATTTTCCTTCCTGAACCAATCTTTTAAGAAGCACCAAGAGCTGAAAATTTTGAAACTTACGGTTGAAAATGCGTCAGAGATTCGTTATATTATCCTTTTTTCGGTGGGGGAGTTGCACAACTTTTTAGTAAAAACCATGCGAGAAAACTTTTATTTTACTATTTACAAACCACTCAAAAGTGATCTCCTGTAAGAACAATGATTGATTGATTTACACACGTTCGTTAAAATAGTTTAATTCACTTTTGCCCCTAGATTCAGCCGTTAATATTCCTGTTTCTCCAGCTACGAAGGAAATCACATTGAGAAATGATCAAACACAACTAGTGGTAACATCCAAACTTACTGTATCAGAGACAACAGAGCCGCCAACTCGAGAAATGGTCTCAAAAATCCAAGCGCCAAGGTGATTCGGGCGTCTCTGCTGAAGACTCTTTAAAAGATTTTCAACGCAAACTTTACGGCGATGCCACACCTACTAAAATTGCCGCTTCAAATGTAAAACCTGTTTTGAAGAATCCTGGAGACTTGAACACGGACAAAAACATAATTCCCGAAAGAAGCCTGCTTGAAAATGCAGCTGATTCCGAGTATGAATCTAAGAATCAAAATGAAAAGGCGAAGAAGACCACAGAGTACTCAGCAAACAAGGCTTCGGAGGTTCAACATAATATTCCATTGACCAGTGAGTTCACGTTAAATACAATGCCTTCACAAGATAAGCGCTGAATAATTATTCTCTCAGTGTCGTTAGCTTAAGTATTAAGGACCTTAGACGAAACTACGACAGTAGGGACCTTAAGATCCAGGACGGGAGAGAGGACGACGGCGCGCCAAAGGACGGTAAGGACTGGGCCTAGGTCCCCGTCTCACGCGATGGATAAATGGTCGGCATTATATTCTACCCACCAAAACCACATCGATCGAGAGGGACTGAGATTGAATTTTGAATAACTTAAAAGTCGTAACCGAAGAATCTCGGAAAATGTACGGATGATATGCACGAACAACCGAACATCCGAATACTAGATCGGAGGTTCTAACCACTAAACCACCAGGGCTCTAGCGTTAGTGAAGTCGGAATTCTACTATACCAGCGGAGTGTACTACACTTCTGTACTGGGAGCTGAAAGAAAGAGAAAGGCTCGAGAAAGGCTGCGTCCATTTCACAGTTGTGGGGGTGCACAAAATATATCAGGGGGGTACAGTTTCATGCATAATGACTGAGATGTTAGTAAGATGTTGGAAATGAGCAAAGCAGCGAGAACGAATCGCCAAGCTCGCTGGTAAGTGCTCGTTCTTTCTCACGCGGAGAAAAATCAAGAACAACCTCTGGAAACAGGGTAGCTAGGTGTAAATTACAGCGAGCTTTATATTCCCTCTCCCCTCTCCCCCCACTCTGCAAGAAGAGGATTCTTTCCGGCATGGATTTTATCGACTATATTGACTTTCAAAATTATTTATGATTGACTTCCAAAATTCTAAATTTGTAAGACTTATTAATGTACATTCACAATGGCGATTTTCGCTGCCCCCAATCATAATTACAATCACAAGCAACGAACCTTGAAACACAGAAACACACAAAACGGATCGAAATCCACCAATCACAAATCACAAACCTTGACCTTTTGAACCCGTTAAAGGAAAGTTTTGTTTCCTAAGAGGTCCGTTAAGATAATTGACGGCAGCGAAAAACGCAATCGTCAGTTGGCTTTTGAACTTCAGAATTCGCATGTTTGTGAAAAGCGCAGTAATAGATGAATCTTAGATACACACCAGTGTTCCCAAAATCTTTGTCCACTTTGAAGCAGGAAAACTTGATCGTCGATCTCGTTTCAAACTCTGCGATGAGTTTATAAGCCTCTTGGACGGAAGAAACATATCCAGAATTCTCAGCAATTTCCTATCGAATGCGGGTTCGTAAATTAAAATTCCCGCCATGATGTTCCTGTTTATTTCCCGGGAATGATGGGATTAGGAAGGTCGCGAGTTCGATTCTCGCCCGGGACACGAAAATTTTCGTTGCCCCGGGCGAGCATGGTTTCTCCTAAGTTCTTCCAAGTGAAAATGTTCACTGGAAGTGTAAGTGTGCTGCTCACAAGTGCACATTAAAAAATAATAATAATAATGATAATAAAAATATTTATAATAATAATAATAATAATAATAATAATAATAATAAAAGTAAAAAAACAAAATATTTTGTATGTGTAAACAATAACAACTCATATAAAAACCATGATTAAATTTTTCATTGTGTCAATGGTTATTATGCTTTATCAGTATGGTCTTAAAAAGTCCGTCAGTACTTTGCATAAGCGTAACTATGTGCCTAAAAAAATTAAAACCCTTGCCTCTTTGGAGATTTAAGAATGGTTATAGGTAAGGGCTCATATGTGCGGTATGGACAGGTCGAGTGGTTTTGGTGGATGTAGACTTCAACATCCACCAAAACCACTAACAGTGTTCGGGGCTAGATGTGTATCACGTAGCCCCATGAAATATCTGAAACATGTTTTAAAACGTCATGTACAATATTTGCCAAAATACAGTTATACTCGTTATATTCATCCTTTGTTGGTATAATAAATAATAATAAAGCTCAAAGCAAAAGAGTGTAAAATGGGGTTGACAGGCCTACACGACTCCCCAGCGCGTGTTTAAAATAGCCTTTCTATAGTTTGGCTCTCACGAGTATGTCTTTGAGCGACCGCCCTCTTTTATAAGATACGAGGGGCGGTTTTTTGTAGATTTCGCTCAGTAATGGTTGTTGTTCTATTAAATGCCAGTTTTTCATGAGAATTTGCTTTAGGTTTGGCACTGATGGTTGGTATTGTGTGACAAAAGGCAAGATTCGTTGGTTTGTCTTTGGTTTCTGTTGAAGGGCTAGTTTCCTGTCTTTGAAGTTCACCTCTGAGAGGGTTGTGTTAATAAGATCCTCTGGGTAACCCCTCTGTAGCAGATGCGCTTTGAAATTTGTAATTTTCTCTTCGAATATTAGTTCGGAAGAGTTTGTTCTGAGGAGTCGGAGGGCTTCCCCTTTAATGAAGCCTTTTATAACTCCTTGCGGGTGACAGGAAGCAAAATGGGTATACTGAAATGTCTCAGTTGGTTTGAAATGAGTACGCACATCAAGGATTGCGTCTCTTTCGAATCTTTCCCCTTTGTAGATGTAGGTGTCCAGGAATGTTGTTTCCTTATCGGAAATTTCAGCCGTAAATTTGATCGTAGGGTGATGATTGTTTGCTTGTTCAATGAAATGTTTTATTCTGGCTCTATTTGTAGTCCAGAGCGAAAAGATGTCGTCTATGTAACGTTTCCAAACGAGCGGTTTGAAAAGGCTTCGGCTAAGGATTTCCGTCTCTACCTTGTTCATGAATATATTAGAAAAGGTGACTGCCATTTTCGTGCCCATGGCCGTACCATGTGTTTGAAGGTAGTTTTTTCCATTAAACTGGAAAGAGTTTTCTTGGAGAATTAGCCTGAGCGCTCGTTTTAGTAGTTGTGTAGGGATAGGAGGTTCGTTTCTATACTACCGACTTCGTCAATTTCATAGAAAATACGAAAGTCCCAGTGGACGTCATACTTGTTTCAATGGACGTTACGAGCTTGTATACAAATATACCGCAAGAGGAGGGAATAGACACGGTATGCAGAGCATACGAAATATTCTATAGAAACGAACCTCCTATCCCTACACAACTACTAAAACGAGCGCTCAGGCTAATTCTCCAAGAAAACTCTTTCCAGTTTAATGGAAAAAACTACCTTCAAACACATGGTACGGCCATGGGCACGAAAATGGCGGTCGCCTTTTCTAATATATTCATGAACAAGGTAGAGACGGAAATCCTTAGCCGAAGCCTTTTCAAACCGCTCGTTTGGAAACGTTACATAGACGACATCTTCTCGCTCTGGACTACAAACAGAGCCAGAATAGAACATTTCATTGAACAAGCAAACAATCATCACCCTACGATCAAATTTACGGCTGAAATTTCCGATAAGGAAACAACATTCCTGGACACCTACATCTACAAAGGGGAAAGATTCGAAAAGAGACGCAATCCTTGATGTGCGTACTCATTTCAAACCAACTGAGACATTTCAGTATACCCATTTTGCTTCCTGTCACCCGCAAGGAGTTAAAAAAGGCTTCATCAAAGGGGAAGCCCTCCGACTCCTCAGAACAAACTCTTCCGAACTAATATTCGAAGAGAAAATTACAAATTTCAAAGCGCATCTGCTACAGAGGGGTTACCCAGAGGATCTTATTAACACAACCCTCTCAGAGGTGAACTTCAAAGACAGGAAACTAGCCCTTCAACAGAAACCAAAGACAAACCAACGAATCTTGCCTTTTGTCACACAATACCAACCATCAGTGCCAAACCTAAAGCAAATTCTCATGAAAAACTGGCATTTAATAGAACAACAACCATTACTGAGCGAAATCTACAAAAAACCGCCCCTCGTATCTTATAAAAGAGGGCGGTCGCTCAAAGACATACTCGTGAGAGCCAAACTATAGAAAGGCTATTTTAAACACGCGCTGGGGAGTCGTGTAGGCCTGTCAACCCCATTTTACACGGAGGAGCTCAATCTAGAAAAGAATTTTCTTGGCACTGTTGTCCTCAATTTGATCTAGAAATATGGAGGGGCGGGGACCTCCCTAGATCTACTGCTGGCCTCTTCCAGCCTGCCCATGTTCACCTGCTATCTTTTTACATTTACTAGAAACTCTAGTATCAATTCAAATTATTTATCCTAAATATTAGGATTTTTGCAAAATTATTTATAGTTGCTTTTTTGCACTTGTATTTTGTTTTGTTTTTTTTTTCAAATCCTATGAGCCTCATTTTCACCAAAACTCTCTGCCTTCCATACCCTATTCCACACTGAACTTTCTGACAACAGTCCTCAGCCAAGTGGTACCATCATGGTGTTGAAAAGTGTGGAAATGGATCCTGTTGATCCTGGGATGAATTATTTTTCTTTTCCTTCCCCCTTCCTCCACTCAAGGGGGGAGGGGGGGGGGGAAGATGTTTTCCTTCCCCTCCCTGTAACCTTTTAACTATTTCCTTGATTGCCTTCTGAGCTCCTGATGAGACAAGACCTTCAGCATTAAGCTGGTTATGGGCTATTTTTTGTTTTTCACTCAGTATGGTGAGCTTATCATAAATTTAAAATGGAATAAAAATGATCATGCAGTTATATCCATGTTGCAGCTGTAACAGGAGGAGGAGTTGGCGATCCGTTGTTGCAGTCAAATGCTTGTGAGGAACAGAGAAACCAGTTGGAGAAAGAAAGGAAGAAATGAAGAAAATTGGAGAAGGCTTCAAGAGAAATAGGAAATAAAATGAAAAAAAAAAAGAAAGAAAGAAAAAAGAAAACAGGAAAAAAAAAAAATTTTCATTGAGGCCAAGCAGTTGGCTGCTCAGTTGCATGTCTGGGTAGCTTGACCATTTGGTTAATAAAATTCTCAAAACCACAAACAAACCACTCTAAGACTTTGATAAAATGTGTAAAAAAAATTGTTTATTACTTTATAAAAATAAAGTTGTTTGTTTACAATTCTACACCCATTTTTTCATTTCTTCCTTTTCTCGTAATTCTTTCCTCTGTTTTACTTTCCTCTTACTCTTTCTCCACTTCCACAATGTGCTTTTATGTACCCTCTATACCTGGGGTGGAAAGTCACCTGAAAATTTGAAATTAGCCATGCATTAAATAAAGCTTCCATTATAATCATTCTTTCAGGAAATAAAGTTGCTACTTTGGCGGTAATTCTAAAAAGCACTGTGTTCCACGATACAGTGCCTTGATTCAGCAAAGAAGCCTTGGCCCTTCTGTTTTAAAAGTTAAAGATTTTCTTTTGGTAGCAGAGAAAGGCCCCCAGTTCAGTGCATTACAAATAATTATCACCTACAAACTTATCTATCATCTAAATTAAAAAGGAACAACCAAATCATTTCCTTGTGGTACCTGCCTTATAACAAAATGAATAACTAAAATACTGATAAATAAATAATAATTATTGAAGTAGGGTATATCCAGGCCGTTTTAGCTTAACAAAACAAAAACACAAGGTAAGTCATTCTCATTTCTATTTTTGTCAAAAAATGGAATTTAGGATGTATTTTGTTTATTGTCATACATTCTCTTATAAATTCAAAGTCCAACAAACTCCTTCAGAGTTTGGGCTACCTGTGGATGGGGCAACATTTCATGACAGGATGGACAATAAAGGGGCTGCATTTTCAACACCTTCAATGTGACTGGAAATTACAAAGGTTCACACAGCAGATTCAGGAATACAAAATGACTAACTTGGAATCACATAGTTTACATTTGCCAAAAGTAGCTAACATTGGGCCTTTTGGTCATAGAAAAGACTGTAAAAGGATTTGGGTTCTGGTTAGCTAATTGTGCCAGATACCCAGCGTACCAAAAGGTTGACCCGAGTATCCCACAGGTTGAGAGGGTCACTTTGGTTTTTATAATCTCATGAAGTACCCATTCTTCTCACACTAAACTAAACAGCAACTTACCACTTAAAAGTGAAAAAAAATCAACCATGATATATAAGAAAACAGAAATAGTTTATGTTGAGCCATAAATTCAACAACTGTCTGCTATCCCTGGGGAGGCGGGGGACTCCCTTATATGGCCTCCATGGGGATGTGCCGCTGGACAGGGTATGGTTTTCGTCCTCTCTGTCCTGAACAGGGTATATAGTTTGGCACAAGTCTGTCCTAAACAGGGTATCCAATTTCCCGCAAGTCTGTCCTAAACAGTGTGCATGATTTGTGCGAGTCTGTTCTAATTATAAACAGGGTGTTTCATGCATGATCGATTTCGTCTTAGTGCAAATGTTTGCAGATATTTAGTACGTCATCACCCAAAGCATGTGCTGGAATAAATAAAAATGTTATTGTTCTTGGCACCCTTGTCTACATAAGATAAGTACGAGTTGAGAGGTGTGCTTGATAACCTTGTCCCCATCTAAGGGAGTTGTCCTATCTGGGTACTAAGATGAGGGTGTTATCCTAAACAGGGTATGGGTTTCAAACCCTCAGCGGCTCACCTACATCCAAATATTGGTCTAATACCCCTCCCACCCCCCCTCCCCCTACACCGGGCTGCTATAAGCAAGCTTCGAATTACCTGAGCCATAATTACACAATGGTTTTGACTGTGTTTGTACCCTCTTTGTAAACGTAACAATCATGTTTGTATTGGGAAGTTCAGTAATAATAATCCTGATGGCCAAAACTTCCATATTTTGGCCATTCTTATTCTGAAGTATCCACCTTACTCTGAGCTATCCAAACAGATACTTTGCTATGAATAAGCTTTACACGGCAGTCGCGGTAGTGGTACTGTAATTAAACAGACATTGTTTACTCCTTGCACTAAATTCTTACAAAGAACGTGAAAAACAACTAACCTCTATGTATACTTATCTCGAGAGTCGGAGCAATTTGCCGAAAAATAATTTTATTCAGTTCCAGTCTCCGAGCGGATACCTGATTTTGGAGTATCCATTCTAGTCACGACCGTTACTGTTATACCCAGGAGGAATCCAAAACTAAGGTTATACAGTGTCCTGTAAAAGACGCTATCGGTGGGGGTGGGGGGTGGGGGTGCTATACAGCTAAGTCCAAGGAGCAGCTGCTCACTCTCCCCACCCATGAAGCTTATGACCAGGCAATCACTTCCCCCAAGCTCTGCTATAGTAGTGTTGTGATTATGAATCACCGCATTGATTTGGCTGGCCTAGCCCACAGGGAAAATTCTCTGACTTTGCACTGCTTTCTGACATGAAACTTCTAATCAAAGTGACAAAATCTCCCCTCCCTACCCCCCCCCCTGGTTTTCACGCAAAACAAGTCAGCCACCCACTCACGGATAGGTCTGGGCCTGGGCTCTCTGCTGACACCTAGCAAGACGCCAAGCCCCATGGTTTTTTTCCGGCTACACTGGCAATGCCCGTGTTCAAGCGAAAACTTAGCGGGCGCCCTTTTAGCAAAATCACACAGCAATATATTACAGCTATACACCATGGAAAGCCTCTTCTTAAGGTGGAGTGACCGTTAAATAATTTATACTTGTCAATAAAACGGTGAACTGTTTGTTTTCCCAAACAAGACACGGTCATGGCCAGATGACGTTCTCCTCCGATGCTGTGTATGAAGGTCAGTGGCTTTTTGACAAAATGACAGGATATGGTACCTTAAAGCTCCCGGATGGAACCATTCAGGAAGGGACTTGGAAGGAAGGTTCCTTGCAGGGCTGCGCTCTTTTCACCTGGCCACATGGTGTCACTGAGTACCGGGAGTATGATACAATCCGAGGTAGGGAAACGCAATTAAAAGGGATATATTTTTTGCGTCGAACGCGATTGTAACCGATCCATTGGTCAGGCTTAAAAAAGAACTGCAAACGTGGCACACTAATTTACGTTCCTCTTCTCTTTGGCTGATCAATAAATTAAGAACCCCGTAACAATTTCCCTTGGTCTTGTCGAGGACGTGTTCGCCTATATAAGCTAGTAATCCACAGTCGAATTTGAAGTTCACGGCTCTTACAGGATAGGTAAGATCGTTGTCAACGGGAAAAACTTTATTTTTGCTCGTGTGTCTTGATCACTTTAATCATTATAAATAGGTAGAAAGAAAGAACAGACGCATGAAGCAACTAATTGAGGCAAGCGATTGAAGTAACTTAAGAGTTTTCTAATCAGTCTCCAGCTTTCGAATTTTGTTTAATGCAAGGATATCATGACTAGATAGGGAGGCGTTTCTTTTACATCATTGATGGTCCTCATCTAATAACAGCCGAGTCATTTGATGGTATCCAGGAAACGCAGAAGGAAGGCGGCGGCATTCGCTATATAAGGGAGCTTAAGCAACGACGACGACAACAGCAGTGAAAACGTCGCTAAAAAGATCAATCTGCGTCCTTTCAAACTTTTTTGGACCCACTCAATTTGTCAAATGTAGGCGGTTTTTCCTGGAGGGACTTAAGGTTTTTCCTTAGGGACTTTATCCGGGTTTAATGAGAGAGGAAAATTGACGTCGTATGTTCACGTCCTGCATCAACGTCGCATTAGACGGTTTCACGTCGTAGCCGTGCAGTGGACGTTAAGGAAATGTACTAAAAAGCGTGATGCACGTGCAAAGCAGTTGTTTTGCTCATAAACCCAATTGGTTTTATACGTTGTTGTTGTCGTCGTCGTCGTAGTTACCTAAGCTCCCCACTGAATCCGCTGTGTTTTCAACAGGTCAGCTGTCTTCCTGTAAAATTGAAAAAGAAGCCGCTGAAAAGCTGTCACAGACGAGCTCTCTTCGCTCTCAACTCCTCAAGTTAAGGGAACAGGTTTCCAAGCTAAAAGAAGAGAGGAGTTCGCACTTAGAACTACTGAACACGCAGAAAACAGATCAAGCTGAGGCAAAACGTGAAATAATGTCCAGCCTTGCCAAGTTAAAAGCAAATTTTACCACGCAACGAAATAAGGACTATCAGCAACAACGAGATGAATATGAGCAAAAGCTGAAAAAAGCAACTGAATCTGAATCAAAGAGCGCTGAAAGGATACGGGAGTTAGAAAAGCTATTAGAGGAATCGTCAAATGCACAGCTGTGTCAGATTTGTTTTGAACACCCACGTGACTGTATCATTATGCCTTGTACTCATTTGCTTTACTGCAGAGCTTGTGTGGCTGAGCATAAAAGGAGCGGGGCTAACCGCTGTCCTACCTGCCGTGGACCTATTTCTGGCGAAATCTTATGTAATGTAAATCATTCATCTTGAACTGCATATTACTTTCATTGATCGTTCAGAATAGGCCATTTGCACTAAGAGGTCATGTGACATCGTTTTTATGAAAATGAAAGTTATATGATTTTGCCTTCGAAAAAAGATTAGTGGGTCATATCTTAAACAAAATAATAGTGATTTGGTTTTTCAAACCCGCACCATTTTCTTAAAATGAGTAAGTTCATAGCTGATCACGTGGCAAAAATGTGATTTTTAGAATTATGAATTACCTCTTTTTGAACACAAAGTTTGCACTTGAACTTCAGGGAAATGTTGAAAATGATGTGGTAACGTTTACAGCACATCTGAGCGTAACTATAAAACGTTTAACAAGATATAAGCAAAAAGTAGTTTTGGTCGCCATGTTGGAGGGCAAGAGTAAGCCCTCCAACATGGCGGCCAATACAAATCATACTACTTTGATGAAAATCAAAGTGCAATAAAATGTCTCCCTTAAATGCGTTTCCTCTCAAATTTCGGGTGGCAAGATAATTTTAATGTGCTCTGTCAATTTTTGGCATCAGCAAGATTCCAACTTATTGTTTAAATGAAGCACTGGTCACGTGACCATTCAGTACAAGTTGCCTATTGATTGCCATAATGAATTGTGAGTCTTGGATAAGTAGCGTTAATTTAATCCGGATTACTAAGTGTCCTTTTCTGCTGGTTATAGAAAGGTTTAAGGTGTCACCAGTCATTTTATTACCAAACGAAATATTAGTTAGAAACGTAAAATTAAGTAGAGAGCCAGACGCGAAACTACCACATTTAAAGTGGCTCTGTATTCCTGGAGGAAAATAGCGTTAAGAAAATAATAAGGAAGAACTGTAACCTATGACAATTATTTAGTTTTTCATGTTTATTCTTTAAAATAGTTAACTACTTTGACAATACTTTGAACAAGCAAGGTCGCGTCTTCTTAAAATATGAAACTCCAGTGAAAACATGTAACGCTCAGTCTGTCACACGTTATTACGTTAACGGGGGAGTGATTTTCAGCCAGCCTCGGTTACTAATAAATTCCCACATGGGGGCACTTGTAACGCAAAAACGTATATATCACTAAAATTCGCCGTTCTCAGCTACAAGAATAACAATACAGAACTTTTCAGACAAAAATATGTTTATTGTGAACTTATAATTAACACATTTCCTCAAATTCAAACGTACGAAGGCTCCCAGAGTGTAGGCGCTCTTTTATTTCTCACACAAACATTGGCGCTTAGGTAACCCTTGCTGCAACGCTTGTATCGTTTCCTTTCCATTCACAGAGATTTGTTCATTCTAACCAAAAAATCGGGCACCCTTGTTTTTTTGCTTACTTAGTTTTCGTGAAAACAAAAAAGGGGCTCCGACAGCCTTCTTTAAAAATTGGCCGTTTTTATGCTAGAGACGTTAAAGTCGTCTAGACGCATTTAACGTCTGAGACGTTAAAGTCGTCTAGTGTAAAAACGGGACGCATAAAAGTAGACGACCTTATTTAAAAAAGTAGATTTTTCTGAAAAAAGGACTAGGCTCTACTCTCGGAAGATACTGGACGCGAGTTAAAGCGGCGCCAAAAATGAACTTCAAGCCCGCGAAATGCGAACAAATTGTTCCAACTCTAACATGGCGGCGGCGTTACAACTTTTAAAGTCTATTTCTCGCCGTCGCCAAGAAAGGCATGACTTAGAAATGCAGATGTTGGTAACACAGAAAAGTGAATCGAGAAAGCGAAAACTTCAGATGATGGACGATGATGAAATAGACACAGCCAAAGCAATAGGTTTGTGTGCCGTCCGAGCCAAACGACCCAGAAAGGAAAGAAGCCCAGACGAATATAGGAGTTCCTCGTGGTGGAGACATGGCTACCGAAATTGTTTTGCACTCGTCCCAGTCGTCTCTGGACGAGTCGAGCATAAATGCGTTCTAGTTTACGACGTCCCGTCTTTATACCAGACGACTTTAACGTCTGAGACGTTAAAGTCGTCTGTTAAGTGCGTCGTTCGGACGCACTTAACAGAAGACGTTAAAGTCGTCAGACGTTAAAGTCGTCTGCCTTATTTACCGTTTTTATACTAGACGTCAAAGTCGTCTTAAGACGACTTTAACGTCTCAGACGACTTTAACGTCTCTAGCATAAAAACGGTCATTGCAAGCCAGGCAGCCTCGGAACCCTCGTCTCCAGGGTTCCCTATATTGGAAAAAGACAACACCCTGGGGACGAGGGTGACCTCGGTTGAGCAATAGACCAGAAAGAAGGGGTGAAAGCGGGAGGACGAGGAAATATAGTAATGTTAAAGGTGCGTGAAATGCAACTTTTTTCTCTTAACGTTTGCTTTCTTTACTGCTTAATCCAGTTTCCATTAATTTAGTGTGTGAACACGATCTTTAGCATGTTGAACATTGTACTCACGTTACACTCGTACATTGAGCAGATTGAGATCTCCAAGCCGGAAGTAGTTCTTCTCTAGGATTTTTTACGTATTGTGTATATAAGTCTTGATGTTTCTCAAGGTTTATACACCGACATGCTTTCAGGAGACCGGTTTTGGGAGCTACAGAGTTTAATTTTGCATTTTTTTTAAAATTACAATCTGAGTGGTCTAAGTTCAGCTTGTTAAGTAACGTCATATTTGGGATATAAGACAGCCTTCACAATAACTAGAATTATTTAACAGAAAGATAAACTGTCCGGTAGTGAGATAATTTAAATTAACATAACGCGAGAAATTACTGATGGAAAATGGACCACGTAAACACCTAATTTAGCAGAACAGAAATGAAGCAAGTGGCTGTCAGTAATGATTGCCTGCTACTGCAGGTCCGTAGGAACGAATTTGAAAGTGAGAGGGCACGAAAAAAAATTAGCCCTAAGAACATATTTTTTGAAATCGAAAGGGGAATTGCCTTGTGTTATGAACACAGTATTTTTGACGGTAAAGTGGTAGTTTCCTTTTTTTAAAATTTTTGCCCAAAAAGTGGGGAGGGGGCATGGGCCAACTCGCCCCCCCCCCCCTTCCTCCCGCTACTCCTACGGGCCTGTACTGCAGAGGAAGTTTGTAACTTCAAATTTTTGCCATAACACAGATCCCCACTATCTTGATTTTCAATGATTGGTCATGCATTTTAACCAGCGTGAGAAAGGTATACTCATAAACGATTAGCAAATTTGGTGGTTAGTTTTTTGATAACATGTAAAATGGGGTGATGGGCTAGCTGGCAGCATTCATGTGGGCAGTTCCGAACTGAGGGAAGATCCCTGTTTAACTGATGCAAGGTATTAAAACAATTCTTTGGTGGTTCAGGCCTATATATAGGAAGGGGGCTGTGCATGGCGCACCTTCCATGGACTGCTGAGTTTCTTCTGATTGGTAGACTACATAGTCACCTGCAAATCCTGGTTCTTTGCTTTAAATTGTCAAGTGTGTGGTACTTAGAGGGCACTTAATTTGAGTAAATACAGATCGGCAGATAAAAGTAGAAAATTCATACACTCCTACTATAGTTCTAATTCAATTGTGTACTAATAATTATTATCTCTTGTTTTCCTAATATATGACAGAGAATTAGCAGATCATTTGTGCTTTCTGTGAATAGACTAATGTTTAAACCTTGGAAAAATTGCATAATCTGCATAATGTTGGCCACAGACATAATAAGGCAAAAATTACTGCTTAATGTTTTTATAATTATAATTTTGATTTAAGAAAATCAGGTTACAATCCAATTTTTGAAAAACATTTGGGGTAGCATGCCCTAGATAACTGCATGCCTTTATTTTGCTATTTTTGTAAGGTTTGGTACATGTGGATATTCACTTGCACCAGCTTTTTGTTGCTCATATATGTACCTCCCAATGCAATTTAGAAACAACTCTTGAAGAAATTTACTTAGCTAGAAATATTGTTAATTTCATAAATTCATTCATTTCATTCATTTTATTTCAAGCCATTTACCAGAAATACAACAACAGCATACAGAAATACATTAAAGGTAATATACAATATTCCAACTAAGTTATTTACAAGATCAAATGCGGTAAAGGCAAGGAAGCCTATATAGAAGCCACAGGCTTATAAACTATAGGCTTCCTGGAACTATAGGGTAAACCATACAAATTAAGGGTACTGAATGAAAATGTGGATTAATTTTTAAAAAATAAATAAATAAATAAATAAAGAAGAGAAAAAGAAAAAGAAAAGGTGTGTAGCTCAACAAAGAGTCAAAAAATTTAACTAAGAAAGATGGAATTTTTTAAGTCTTTTGCAAAACAAACTGATACTTTTACTGTTTTGAATTTCCCAACTAAGCGAGTTGAAAAACGTAGGACCTCGAATATTTACCGAATTAAGAATTTTTGAAAATTAGTTCGACAATGAGGTATAATTAAGAAAAGGCTGGAATTTCTTGTGTTATAAGAATGTATCTGGCTTGCAAGAGTTAACATATCACGAAAATAATTAGGATGTAAGCCTCTTTTAAAAAGATACATAAATTTGTTTGGTATGAAACAAATGTCCGAGAATTTTAAAATCTCCTGCTCTTTAGAAAGAACACTGGTATGAGCATCAAAAGAAACATTAGATATTATTCTGATTATCTTCTTTTGCAGAAAAATAATCCGATTCAATTAAATTAGACTGATATGTCGATCCCCACAATGAAACATAATAAGTTAAGTAAGGGTAAACTAGACTACAGTACAAGGAGCGCAAGGAAGTTTTTGGAAGGCAAAAACTTAAGACTTATATAATACCTATTGATTTTGATATTTTTCTAGAAATGCTAACTAAGAACGTGAGGCTTCCATATGACAAATGCTCATGTTTCTTTCACACGTTCAATATAACATTTGTTGTCAATTTGAATAGATTATATCAAGTGCCTCCTTTGGCGTGGTCTGAAAACCAGCCTTGAGTGCTGTTTCCAAAATTTTGCAATAAATTAATTCCTTTTTTATTTTTGTAGGTCCATGCTTCTCATTTTATAGTGTTATTTTGTAATACCAGCTG